AGATGGATGACTTGGCTCTACCTCCTGGCCTTCAGATGCATCAGACTTGCCATTCAATAGAAGGTTGAAACTTTTAAAATGTGTGTTGGTTGACTCGATGTGTTGGGTCAGTCAGGCACTCCCAGTGACCACCGCTGAATTCAATGAGAAGTATTCCTCCTTCGAGATCCAGGTCGCTGCACTTATCTTACTTGGCTGGTCAGCCAGCAGACAGCACAGGGATCTCTGTTCTAAGAAGAGAATAGAAACCTCCTCACTGTCTTTCAAACTGCTTATGATAAGAAGCACCAACCTGTATCTGGCCTTTGTGATTGTCTTTGACCATATGTTTTGGAGTTGAAGGAAGGGGTTCTGTACCAGAACTTCCATGCCAGTAAAGGCAACAAGGAGATAGATGCAAGCTCAGTCACCAAGACTTTATCTTGTATCCCAGCTTTGTCATTGTCTTTCAAAACCAATGGCTTATCTAGAGTATTTGACTCCTAAAATTGATAATCCCACAGCCCCCCAACATTTTATTAAGAAAAATATCAAACATGCAGTCGAAAAAATTCTGTAGTGTAAATACATATGTAACCATCTGGATTCCACCATTAATATTTGATAAACTTGCTTTATCATGTATCTCTCCATCTAGAGTGGATCCTTTTTAAACAATCCTTTCTTTTACACACTGCAAATCATTTCAGCAATAATCATGAAATGAAATGAATAATAACTTGAAAAAACAATGAAAATGTTACTCAACATTATGTGTATAGTTATGCAAGTAAAAAATAAACAAGATAAATATTGCACACAAAATATTATGTAAGTAATATACACTTTACAGTTTACACCTTTGTGTGCCTGTTTTAAATTTGTTATGTAAATTAACTCCAAGTGGTCACACAGATTAACAAAAACTAAATAATTGAAGTTCCACATCTTCATCTTTGTCATAGTGCTATTGTTGCTTAAGCTAACTTTCTGTTTAATTGCAAGAATATGTAGCTCCATGGGGTTTGTGGAAATCCAGGATTCTGCACCAACTAAGTTCAAATGATTCCAGACCATTAGAATCTTACTCCTAAAAAAGCATGCGTCACAGAGTCCTTTTGTGTTTGAGACCAAGTGTACAAATGGGAGTTCTCCCAATGAACTTCTACATGACATTCATTATTTATTGAAAGATGAGAATAAAAATGTGCTCATGTGAAGCTTGTATATAAATATTTTTTAAAATTCTTGCAATGATGAGCAGAAATTGGTTCAAAGTTATCCCAGTCAAAGCTTTTTTTCAGGGAGGAGTATTTTTTTGTTTACACATTATTTAGATTTTTAAATTTTTATTTATTTATTTTTAAAATGTTTTATTTATTCATTCACGAGAGACAGAGAGAGAGTGAGAGATAGAGGCAGAGGGAGAAGCAGGCTTTATGCAGGGAGCCTGATGTGGGACTCGATCTCGGGTCTCCAGGATCATGCCCTAGGTGGAAGGTGACGCTAAACCACTGAGCCACCTGGGCTGCCCATTTAGATTTTTTTTTTTTTAAAAAAAAGATTTTATTTATTTATTCATGAGAGACACAGGGAGAGAGGCAGAGACATAGGCAGAGTGAGAATCAGGCTCCGTGCAGGGAGTCTGATGTGAAACTCGATCCCAGAGCCCTAGGATCAAGCCCTGAGCCGAAGGCAGATGCCCAACCGCTGAGTCACCCAGGCATCCCTAGACATTTTTAGAATTGCTGGCATATGGCAATACTAGAAAGCAGACTTTAGTTGGCTTTCTGGTTGTTTTAAAATTCTGTGCATAAACCAGCCTTCCATTATTTGCTAACCCTCCCCACTCATGGTGATGTCAAAGAGAAACAGAGCTGGATGCCCAGCGAAAGGCTCCAAAGACATATTTTATTCAGTACTGTTGCAATGGGGGAAAGAGACTGCAGGATATAACTTAGCCCAACTCCAAAAACAGTAAAGACAGCTGGTGATTTGCAGTCAATGAGCAGAGTAAGGGAGCCCGTGGGTGGAAAATCACTAAGAGAAAACATCAAGGGTTAGGATGATTCTCGCTAAAGACAGGCCTAAGGATTTTATACATCAATGGTGAGGGATGAGGATCTCGATCAGGTGTCAAGGGTGATCAAGATGTCAAGGTGGGGGTAGGGATTCTCACTAAACCGACAACAGGATTCTTGCTACAACCAGTAGGCTGAGGACAGAGCCCAAGGAGGTACCTAGTCAAAAAGAGGGCTCAGGTTTTTCAGGGCTCTTTGCAAGGGTACTTAGCACGAAGTTGTAGCAAAGCAGTCACCGCAGTTGCACCGTTCTGCCTTCAGCTTCAGGATGTTTCCCGTGGCCAGAAACGCTCTAAGTCGTCTCCGAGTTCAAAGCATTCCACAAACAATGGCAAGGCAGAGTCACCAGAAACGGGCACCTGATTTCCATGATAAATATGGTAATGCTGTATTAGCTAGTGGAGCCACTTTCTGTATTGCTGTGTGGGCATATACAGCAACACAAATTGGAATAGAATGGAACCTGTCCCCTGTTGGCAGAGTCACCCCAAAGGAATGGAGGGATCAGTAATCCCAGCTGGTGTAATAATGAATTGTTTCAAAACCAACTCATAATTGATGCCAGGTGAAAGCACTGTGCACCTACTAAAATATGGCATGATTTAAGAAATAAAGTACATTTGAAACCTTCAAAAAAAAAAAAAAAGAGGGCTCAGAGGAGCCTGTCTCAGGGTTGACTCTCAAGCAGAGAGTCTTTGTTAGTGTCCACTGCCCAGGACATGGGGCTTACTTACACTGGTAAAAGGAGTTGTTCTTGAAATAAGGGAAATTATACAGAAAAAAGGGGCAATCTCTCTTTAGATTTAGATTTCCCAATCTTATGATGATGATAAAACCTAAAGCATTATTAGTTGTTTCATCAGTGTTATTAATTAATTGCAAAGCCAGACAGGGAATCAGTACAACATGACATAGTGTGTCTGTCCTGTCTTTACCTGACTAATGTTGGACTGCTTTCAGCAGCCAGTTTCTCACATGCTTTCTTATGAAATGACTCCGGACATGGCATCTTGAGCAGTGCTTCTCTCCTAAAGGGCCATTGATCAGCTTTCCAGGAATGCTTGGTGCTCACAGGAAAGCCTATGTGTGTCACAGGGACGGACGAGCCGTGTAATGTGTGAGCAAGCCCGGCCTTTGCCTCCCCTGTGTGCTAGGGGCAGATGGCCCTCACGATTCCCCAGTTCCCACCCTGGAACCGAATGCAGCCTGGTTTGGGCAAGAATGGGAGAGATGACTGTATCCTTTGCTGTGCAAAAGCTTCTTATCTTGATGAAGTCCCAATAGTTCATTTTTGCTTTTGTTTCTTTTGCTTTCGTGGATGTATCTTGCAAGAAGTTACTGTGGCCAAGTTCAAAACTCAAAGACAACCTACAGAATGGGAGAAGATATTTGCAAATAACATATCACATAAAGGGCTAGTTTCCAAGATCTATAAAGAACTTATTAAACTCAACATCAAAGAAGCAAAGAATCCAATCATGAAATGGGCAAAAGACATGAAGAGAAATCTCACAGAGGAAGACATAGACATGGCCAACATGCACATGAGAAAATGCTCTGCATCACTTGCCATCAGGGAAATACAAATCAAAACCACAATAAGATACCACCTCACACCAGTGAGAATGGGGAAAATTAACAAGGCAGGAAACCACAAATGTTGGAGAGGATGCGGAGAATAGGGAACCCTCTTACACTGTTGGTGGGAATGTGAACTGGTGCAGCCACTCTGGAAAACTGTGTGGAGGTTCCTCAAAGAATTAAAAATAGACCTGCCCTACGACCCAGCAATTGCACTGTTAGGGATTTACCCCAAAGATTCAGATGCAATGAAACGCCGGGACACCTGCACCCTGATGTTTCTAGCAGCAATGTCCACAATAGCCAAACTGTGGAAGAGCCTCGGTGCCCATCGAAAGATGAATGGATAAAGAAGATGTGGTCTATGTATACAGTGGAATATTACTCAGCCATTAGAAACGACAAATACCCACCATTTGCTTCAACGTGGATGGAACTGGAGGGTATTATGCTGAGTGAAGTAAGTCAATCGGAGAAGGACAAACAGTGTATGTTCTCATTCATTTGGGGAATATGAATAATAGTGAAGGGGAATATAAGGGAAGGGAGAAGAAATGTGTGGGAAATATCAGAAAGAGAGACAGAACATAAAGACTTCTAACTCTGGGAAATGAACTAGGGGTGGTGGAAGGGGAGGAGGGCGGGGGGTGGGGGTGAATGGGTGACGGGCACGGAGGGGGACACTTGACAGGATGAGCACTGGGTGTTATTCTGTATGTTGGTAAATTGAACACCAATAAAAATTAATTTATTAAAAAAAAAAGAATGGGAGAGATGAGTGCAGGGAGGTTTTATCCAAAAAAAAACCCAGGACTGCAAGACTGGGGAGAAGAAAGCAAAAATTCCTCTTGAATGGGGATTTTCAGAGCACAGCACTGCACAGTCAAGGGCAGAATTGGAGAGTGAGGCTTCTGGAACCTTCTTGGATCCAAGCAAGAGAAAGGGTGGTGTGGAGATTTCTAAGAAGCAGAGGACTGAGGGTTATAAGTTAGATCTCTCAGTAAATTCTTTAGAAGATACAGGTAAAATTTTTTTTTGAATTTTTTTAACTTTTCCTCCCTGTTACTAATTTTATAACCGGGAGGCAACATTTTAATAATGGCTTGTAAATATTTTCAGTTTGTTGAATGTGTCCTTATGAGGCAATCTTGCCTTGAGGCTCTGCCCCGAGGGCCTGCCTCGTAGAGTTACATTCAGCAACCTGTGGTTTGGGGTGCAAAGTTGGGGTGCTAGGTCCCTTTAATACTCACTATATAGCAATGAGGCAGCTTCAGTTTCTGAACTGAACCCGGTGGAGGTAAATTGATTCCTTCCCTCTGAAAGCTAGCTTGAACACAGCCACCAATTCTTCCCAAGCGAGAATGTAAGGGGATCAAACTGGCTTTGAGACCCCTCCGGATGCTCACACATGGACAAACTAACAATGGACAAAGAAAGCGCTGATGTTTCCTCCAAGCCTGCTGACGTGAAGGTAAGTAGGGTATGGGAAGCCTTCTGTCTTACTTGAATGCCATTTATTGGTGACCTTGAGAGTAAAATGAGACCGGGTTACTTTATACAAAAAAATAAATAAATAAATAAAAAGAGAGACCAATAATGACAGACTTTATCTTCTTACGGCGCTTAATGGATTCTACCAATGTGAGCCTGTTTCAAAACCCTGTACTTGGCATTTGATTTGCAACTGTTTTTTCTAAGACTCCAGGGAAATTGTACTGATCTCTGTACAAATTCCATTTTAAAATTTAATCAGTGCTAACTGAGACTGCCTATAATGTGTTCCTGCCCTGAAAGCCCCAACCTTGGCCTTGTCAGTCCTACATGTGCCAGCATTCCTATGTGTTTACCTTTTTTGCTTCATTGGGGAAGTATTTGAAAGTAGTTTGACCCCAGATTTAGCTCATTGTGCAATAGAATGCTTTTTCTCTGTAGAAACACCACCCTCGTGTCTGCAGGACATCAAATGAGGCCTGGTCTAGTTCAATTTCACCAGGAAGGATGTAAGCTACATTTCACTCCAGGGGTTGACAAGGGTGTTTGGCAAAAAGAATGAGGGGGCCATGCATAATTCAGAATGTACCTGGCCACGTATTACCTCATTAATTGGTAGGATTAAAGACTGGAAGACACGGACTTTGAAGGGGAGAGTGAGGGTGAGTAAGAGAGAATGAGAGAACTCTTTAAGAGGACTCAAAAGAGAGATGATTTCTTTGCAGTTGGTGTTCTAGATTGTTGCCTTTGAAGGAATGTGTGGTTAAAGGTTATTTCATCACCGGAGTTTAGTTACCCTGACATGTATAAATCTCTCCTTCAAAGAAGCTAAACTCTTGCATACATTATTAAAGAATTCACAGCATCAGGTGACAGAGGGTAGAGGAGAAAAAAAAAAAAGAGGAGGGAAACAATTAAATAATGCATTTTTTCCTCTTGCACAGAACACTTTGCATATCAATACGCTAAAACCAAGAATTTTCCAAGTCCTCTGTTTCATTCTTTATTTTCAAATAATTCTTTTATTTGCCATTGAGAAACTGGGTCCCTGATCGTCTCATTGGTAATCTTAAAAGTGCATGCACGGGAGGCACTGGTTCCTATCCCACAGCCCTACATGAGCCAGAGCATCATCATCCTTAACTTTTTTTTTCCCTATCACCCAGTCAGGAAGCCATAAGTAAGAAATCAATCTGCTGCTATGAGGAACTCACTTATGTTCAGTCCTGCCTTAAAAGAAATTGATGGTGGGAGTAAAGCAATATAATACAAACACGTGAAAGACACACATATTCCCACAGCTGGCTGTGTACACGCCATGTTACCTTCATTGACTCCTAACCTCCTGACCTTCGGGTCTTCTGGGCCATGAGGGTCCATGAAATTCAGGCCCATTCTCTACAGCATCTACTTAGCAGAATTGAAGAGTTGAGGAGGGGATTCGAGGACTGATTCATTGTGGTTCATATAATGTCTGATTTTTCTGATTTTAATTGCATGATTTAATGCAAGTCCATTCATTACACTTATATCAATGAATTGGTGGATATACTTAGGCCTTTTAGCACTAGGAGTCTCCTGACTGGGTGGCTCCATTCCAAATGTGTTCTAAACTAATATATCTCCTCCCTCCCCTTTTTTTCTTCCTCTTTCTTTCTTTCTTTCTTTCTTTCTTTCTTTCTTTCTTTCTTTCTTTCTTCTTTCCCTTTCTTTCTTTCTTCCTTTTTTTTTTTAAGATATCCAATATCTCAGTTCAAGTGGTCAGTGCCCAAGGGAAGCTGCCAGGTAGACGAGCACCTCGAAAACCCATCGGCAAAGTCAAACCCAAGAAGCCATCCAAGAAGAAAGCTCCCTTTTGGAATGTCCAAAACAAAATCATTGTCTTCACAGTGTTTCTATTCATCCTAGCAGTCATAGCCTGGACGCTTCTGTGGCTCTACATCAGTGAGTGAAAATCCATGTTCGTTTGGGGCTAGGGCTTGGCCTATGGATTCAGCTTCTGCAATGCACACCCAATCTGCCCCTGGGTGTGTCTGATAGAATTTCCCAAGTTCCCAGACTGATAGCCACTTCCCAAGCTGTTGAGGTCTTAAGGAGGAAGAAAGCAGAATTGTCTTTCCCATTTCTTCTTTTACGACTGCTTTCTTCCCACAGGGGAGCGGGAGGAGCAGAGATGGGGGATAGGATGACAAGAGCTGAGGAGGATGGATGCTCAGGAGCTTTGGACTAGTTCAGAAATGTAATGCATTTTTAGCTTTAAGAAAAGAATGGAATTCTAAATTGTCTCATTTCCTCATTCCACCCACTGCTGGTTTCTAGGCAACCTCACACTTCCAGCTCCCTGAGTTTCCTTTTACTCATGCATCTTTCGCTCCAGTGTTTTTGTCAAGCTGATGGGTTGTGTTTTTGTCCATCAGATTGATCCTGTTGGACAGGAGTTATGACTGAGCTTTTTCTTAAAGAGCATTTACCCGTGCAGCTCAGTAACTATAGCATTTGTCGACTTATGCTCAACTTCCAACCCCCATACATGTTAATATGTTTGCTACAAGATATGTGTACTCTTGAGGGTATTAAAAATTGGTTGCAAAGCAAGATTTATAGGCAAAGAATTAATGAATATTGTATTGAACAGTTCAGGTGACTTATACATATACAAACTGATTACTTGTACTTTCCATGGTACATTGTAAGACATCAGACATACCAAGATATATCTCTTACCCTCAGAAAGCTCACAGATGCATTTTCTACTTTCAGAAAAATTCACAATTCAGTACTGGAGAGGGGGTGTGAGTTGGCTTTTTATTTTTATTGATGTTTATTTATTTATTTTGCTGAAGCAATTACGTTTCAATCACAGGAGAGAGGGATCTAACCTGCCGAGGAATAGACTTCATGAACTGGTTGTCCAAAATTCATTTCCTTCATATCTTGAGCAGGCCCACAGGAGCTGGGTCCTGTGATCAGCATGGAAGCAGAGTGGGAAAGCAGACAAGATCTCTATCCTTAAGGAGCTTAAAGACTAGGGAAGGAAGTCAAGTCATTAGGCAGTTAAGACAAACACAAAACACAACCTCAACCTAGAACAAACCAACTTATTTCCCACCAGTTCTCTGCTGGCCCTCAACTGACACACTCACATTGCCTCAGCATTTTTGTGTAAAGTTTTGGAACATCCCTGTGTAGAAGCAGTCTGCTGCCTGTGTTACAAATCAGAGAAAGACATTTCAGGAAGATAGACTAGTGTGAGCAAAGGGAAACTGGTAAGAATAATCGAGAATTGTTCAACAAACAACAGTGTTGTGACCATGCAGGTTATTGTATGTTGGGCTGAGCTGAAGAGTTAGGTAAATGTAATCTAGTTCAAGGTTAAATTGATCTTGTTTGTATTGTGGTTATCCTGACCCTTGAGTACTTACTAATATAAGTGCGAGCTTCTAGATGGAAGGCATGGCTTTCATTTAAGTTTTATTAAAGAGTCCGTAACAACAACAGCAATCTAAGAAGCACTTCCCTGCAAAAATCAGGAATAAAAACAACTATTGTTTTATATAGGAGACTAGTGACTCAAAGTGATCCGTCCAAGGGCACACAGCTTGAAAGAACAAATATAGGACATCAGCTCAGGCCTTCTACCCCTGTGACCCTTTCCCACACCTCCACAGCCTGACTCCACTGAATGGGACTAATGTCACCCTGGATGGCTCACACAAGGGAGGTGGCTTCCTATCACTGGCATAGGTGGCCCTTCTTCCTAATTTAGCCATCCCTTATGGAGCATTTCCATGTACTGGGCACCGTGCTAGCAGAGAATACTCTCTCCCTTTCTTCCTCTACCACCCTTCCTCTCTCACTTCCTTCCCACAAACATTTATTGAGCTTCAAAACTACAGAAGAGGCTGAGAGACAAAAAAGAAGTTGCTGTGGCTCTTAAAGGACAGACAGACAGAAGTTATGATATAGTGGGACATATGTCACAGGCGGGAAATGTACCATGGCCGTGGGAGCCTGGGGAGTGGTGTCACTTGGAGTGAGGCCTCGGTAACACAAAGAAAAGCAGAAGGAAGAACCCTTCATCTCCACCCTCCCCCACCCCTCCCCAAGCTATTCTCTGGTGCTCTAACACAGCTCAGACACAGCAGTGTTCCTGCTCCTGTTGTCAGGGGTTTCCGGGCAGGCCTGACATCTAATCCCATGGTCCTCACTGGGCGGAGTATTTAAGCAGGAGTGACCTGACACTGGGCTGGGAACCAGGCTTTGTGGCTCATGAGAAAAATGAATTCTCCATGTATCGCAGAGCTGCAGACCCGCCCAGCACCCTGCCGAAGAGCCACACAAGTCAGTTAAGGAGGACCCCCAGGAGCTCAGGGAAGGTCAGCTGGAGGGCCCTTCCCTCTTCTCCCACTATGCTCACTTCACCTCGGAGCTTGAGAGTATATATTTCTCACCTCCTTACCTTCTACAAACTCAGAATCCATGAAAATTGCATATGCTTTTTTGGTCCTTTAGTGACTCTAGGACATGTATGAAGTCAAAAAGGTGTATCTTTTACCTTTTTTATTTTTTTAAGATTTTATTTATTTATGTGGTAAAGAGTGAGAGGGCACAAGCAGGCGGAGCAGCAGAAGGAGAGGGAGAAGCAGGCTCCCCACTGAGCAGGGGGTCCCACATGAGCCTAAGACAGACTCTTAACCTTCTGAGCCACGCAGGTGTCCCTATCTTTTACCTTGTATCTACCAGAAGTCAATAGAATAGACTCTCCTAAGAGAAATGAGGATTTGGTGCTGATGGAAGTGTTGTTATTGACTACATTTAGAGCTTCACAGGCTACGAACCAGTGATATATGTAGCTGTCTAATAAAACCATTTGAATAGCCCGATACTGACCTAGAGCAGACCATGCCTCACCGCCCCCCAGAAGGAAGGCCTCTTACCGCTTCTTCTCCTGTCTTATAGGTAACACAGAAAGCAAAGATGCTTTTTACTTTGTTGGGATGTTTCGCATCACCAACATTGAGTTCCTTCCTGAATACCGACAAAAGGAGTCCAGGGAATTTCTGTCCATGGCCCGGACTGTGCAGCAAGTGGTGAGGTGATGGGGCGGGACTGGGGTAGGGCAGAGAGTTGTGTGAGAGGCTGGGGAGAGTGGGGTCAGGGGTCAGGGGATGAGGAGTTGGGGTGGAAGGGTCATAAGTGTCAGAAGTGAGCAGGGTGGATGAAAGAAGAAGTCACAGGGAAACATGGGATTTGGCTCATCTTGGCTGTCATTGCTTCTCTGATAGAATTGCTAATTAATTTATTTGTTTATAAGTAAGTTATTTATTTATTTTGTTTATTGCTGAAAGTAAAAGCAAATAGCTGTCTGAGCTCCAGTTTTTCTCATCTATAAAATAAAGGAATTGGATTGGGTGATCGTTAAAATGCCTTCCAGAACTAAGGTTACATGCATGTTGGTTAATTCTTGGAGCTGTACACATTTATCTCAACCTCAACACACTAAAATCTCTTCACTTAAAAAAACCCACAAAACTTCTCTTTATAGAACTAAAATGTATTTAACCATAAAGAATTAGAAAATTACGAAAAGAAACATTAACATTTCTTTAACATCATCTCCCGATATGGAGCCCCTTTTTATTCTGGGCCCCATAAACATAGAGGACAGAATAATATTGGAATATTAGTAGAGATATATATTCAGTTTTATAATCTGATTTTTTTTTCCTTTTAATGTTAGGTTACATGTTTCTATGCAAGTAAATATTCTTTTAAAAATAGAAGTTTTGGGGCACCTGTGTGGCTCAGTTGGTTAAGCGTCTGCCTTCTTGCTCTGGTCATGATCCCAGAGTCCTGGGATCAAGACCAGCATCAGGCTTCCTGCTCAGTGGGGAATCTGCTTCTTCCTCTCCAGCTGCCCTCCCCCAACTTGTTCTTTCTCTTTCTCTCTCTCTCATGCAGTCTCTCTATCTCAAATAAATAAATAAAATCTTTTAAAAAATGGATAAAACGTAAGTTTTAATGGCTCCAAAGTTAGCCTTTTAGAAAACAAACTTATCAAAATTCAATTTAGTTCACACATAGTGTATTATTCATTTCAGGAGTAGAACTTAGTGATTCATCATTTGCATGTAACACCCAGTGCTCATTCATGACGTGCCCTCCTTAATGCCCATCACCCAGTCACCCCATCCTCTCCAGCGACCCTCAGTTTGTCTCCTAGAGCTAAGAGTCTGTTAAGTCTGTTTCTCTCTCTCTCTGTTTTTATCTTACTTTATTTTTCCTTCCCTTCCCCATATTCATCTGTTCTGTTTCTTAAATTCCACATATGAGTGAAACCATATATTTGTCTTTCTCTGACTTATTTCCCTTAGCTGAATGCTCTCTAGTTCCATCCACGTGGTTGCAAATGGCAGAGCTTATCCCTTCTTATCAGATATTTAAATGGTCTCTCATTTTTGCAACGATGGATAATGCTACAGAAAGTTGCTACGTAGATTGTGTATATATGCGATTACTTCCTTAGATGATCCCCTAAAAATGTATAAAAATATCTATCCGTGGCTCTTGGTATATATTACCAACTAGAAAGCTGTTGCCAATTTTTATCTGCACAGTAACAGAGATAGTGGCCCTGTACTGTTGTGACAGGCACCCTGCAGTGTAGACTGGGGCAAGGCTGGGAGGGAGGGAGGGCAAGCTGAAACAACAGTGGGCACAGTGGCTCCTATTTACCAGAGGCCACCTATATAGGGACTATGTAGCTGAACTTAGCTTTACCTTTACTGTATATCAATTATTCCTTAAATTAGCCCCAAGATTATTGGTAAGCATTTTGATCACCTTATAGAAGAAAGAAAAAGAAGAGAGAGAGAGATAACAAGAAAAAAAAAATAGTGGGGCTCAGCAGTTTTAGGTAACATGCTCTGTGTTGCATAGTGAATTTAAACCCCACAGTTAGGTGGGTGGTTTTGCCATTAGGTAGGAAGGGGAACAGGGGAGGATGAGATTTGGCAGAGACTCAGTTTGGCTTTAGAAATGCTAAGGAAGGGCAAAGAAGGTAAATTGAAATAGCTCTCCTTTGGATCCAGCTGGCATTTCAAAAGGCCTGGGTGTTCCCCAGAGAGGCTGCGGAGTAGGAAGGCGGGCGGTAGACCTGTCCTAGGGCCCCACCTGCCCCCTGGTGGCTAATACGGCGATGTGTCCCTAAGAATATACATTTTCCCTGCTGAGCGTTGAAAGGAAAGAGGTTGGTGGGGTCCTTTGAAAATATACTCAAAGGCATTAAGGAGGGCACTTGATGGGATGAGCACTGGGTGTTATGTTATACGTGGGCAAATTGAATTCAAATAAAAAATTAAAAACAAATTCAAAAAATTAAAAAAAAGAAAATATGCTTAAAGGAGTTTGATTTATTCATTGTGGAGAAGATTAAACTTTGAAGTAGGCAGAAGACAGTTAAGCTTGATTAGGGTGTCCCCAGATGGCAATGAATGAATGAAGGTAACGGGTTCTTCTTCACGGAAAGATGTCAGACACCTTGGTTTTTCTTTTTCAGGTAAACCTGGTTTATACAACATCTGCCTTCTCTAAGTTTTACAAGCAGTCTGTGGTTGCCGATGTCAGGTAGGGTATGTCCCTTGCTTTGCGACCTCTGCATTGACACCTGTGAATTCCTGTCAAGGCGGTGGAAGGGCTCTGATCTTACCATTCTGAGTAACTTCCTGGGGGTGGCTTTAGCACACCTGGTGACCCCACTCTGCCCTGCTATCGTGCTGAGTTTTTCTCTTTATCTGCCCAAGTCTGTCCTCTCCCCACGGCTGGGATCCTGGGCTCCACCCAGGGGTTAATGATTCTGGGCAAGATGGCCCCACCATGGCTACCATGGGTTGGGGGATAAACAAAACACAGTCTGGTATTTCTCAAAATATGATCAGTAAAAAACTGGTCACTAGAGATTTCCTGAGGGAAAGAAAGGATCTCGTGGTCAAATAATTTTTACTAAAATTTATTTTATTCCTTTTCTAGCTGATTTATTTTATTAAAACTTATTTTTTAAATTGTGTGCTATGTTTCCCCCACCTCCAATATATCTGCAGAGACCCACAGTTCACTTCGGCATATCAAAGGCACTAAAATGTCTCAGAGGAAAGCAATTTGTTTGCTTTCTATTTCCTTATTTACTATAGAACACTTAAGGTTTATCTTTCATAAAACATGACAGCATTTGTGCACTTAGAGGTCTCGCTCCAGGGTTTGGCTAAAAACCAAGTTGGGCTCGATTCCTGGATTTGCTACTTATTAGCTTTATGGTTTTGAGTTGTGGTTGGCCTTGGTTTCCTTTTCTGTAACTGGAATGATAGGACCTTCCCCATAAAGATTAAGTAGGCTAAAGTAGGATTTAGCACTGTGACTGGACATGGTGAAGTATCAAAAATCATAATTGTTGTTATTTGCAATAACAGTGAATACTGTTACCCATAAAAATCATATATTCTCCAGGCAAATGCAACTGTACACGAAGGATTCCAGATGTGAACCCAACACAGGAAGACACGTACTATGATGCTTTCCCTTCCCAATCCCCACAATAGGAGTCAATGACTTCCTAAAGAAGGAATTTTGGAAGTGGGAAAGCTGTCCCCACTGGCTTTACCTTAAATCATTCAGTTGGGTCACTGGCTTTCTATGAGAGTCCACTTCCTGAGATAGATACCTGAACATCTCTCTCTCTCTCTTTTTTTTTTTTTTCCTACAGCAGCAATAACAAAGGTGGCCTCCTTGTCCACTTTTGGATTGTGTTTGTCATGCCACACGCCAAGGGCCATATCTTCTGTGAGGAGTGTGTGGCTGCCATCTTGAAGGACTCCATCCAGACGAGCATCATAAACCGAACCTCTGTGGGGACCTTGCAGGGCTTGGCTGTCGACATGGACTCTGTGGTACTAAATGGTGACTGTTGGGTAATTCTTTTTTATGCTTTCCTTCCTGCAGGACTCCTGATCCTGCCATTAAACACAGTCAATATCATAATGAAATATTCTCTTCCACAACCCCAGTGAAATAGGATTAGTCGAGGACATTGATAAAGGAAGTTGCTAAATGTTATATACAATGATTGGACAATAGGAGTGGGTTCAAAATTCATACAAAATTGAATTTGTTAAAGTGTATCCCTCCCTTTATTTAATTCAGCTTCATGAATCTTCAAACTAAGGCTCCAAGTCCTAAAGAAGAAAGAATTTTGCTGAGGCTTATCTTGTCTTTTGCCCTGTCCAGACAGAACTGCCCCTGTATTATACCGTGTTGCCCAATGTTCCAAGTAAATTATTGAAAGTCCCACCAAATTGCAAATTTCATTATTAGATTTGCTAGTAAAATACTTTAATTAATTGAGTGACCCCAAAATTATGCAACTTTCTCCCTTTAAATATATATATTTAATATATATTTAAAAAATAAATATTTATTTATATATTTATTTATTATATATAAATATATATATCTGCCAAGCATGTAATGTAATAGTGTGTAGTTGATAAATATTGTTAAATGAATGAATAAAAAAATCTCTAGGGGAAAAGTCTGTACCACTAATACTACCCCAAACGTAAGACTAATTATTATTTTATTTGTTTGGTTGCTTTTTAGCTTTAATGATGTTTAGAATGTGCTACTATGGACAATTTCAAGCATCATGTAAATAGACTAGTATAATGAACTCTAGTACACCCTTACTCAGCTTCAACAACTATGAACTCATGACCATCTCACTTGCTCTCTAACTACATAAGCAACTTCCCCTACCCTCCCTGGATTTCTTTAAAGCAAATCCCAGATATGAGCAAAATGAAATGCTGGAACTGACTGTCTCTTTTCCATGTGTTTTTTCAATGCAGCTGGGCTTCGGTCAGATTACTCTTCAACCATAGGATCTGGTAAGTTATGGCAGGCAGTTTCTCCTATGCTGCTTCCATATTAGGATTCCTTTTGGCTATAGTTTTCTTTTTCAAATGATGGTATTGGCTAGTGGTCTTTCAGTCACCTGTGACAGAAATACACTTGAACTGGCTTAAGCACAGAAGGCACCTGATTGGCTCTTACAGCTGCGACATACATGGAATATGCTGGCTTCAGGCATGTTTGGGGCCGGGTTCTAAAATAAAATATCATCAGGACTCTGCATCTCCTCTTTCCCTGTTGAAGCTTCGTTGAGTGTATTCTTGTAATGCAGTGTCATTAATGGCAACCAGTGGGCACAAGCTTGTAGTTTATCAGTAGCAACAATGGCAGGGGAAAAAAAAAAGGCCCACACAAATTTCCAAAAGTTTTGCAGAAGTCCTGGGGCTGAACTTAGTGTTTCATATTGGCTGGCATGCCCATTTATGAACCAGTCTCTTTGACTCTGATTGGCCAGTCTGGGTCATGTGCCCATCTCTGGGCCTAGAGATGAGCATAACCCCAACCCAAACACAGAAGCAAGGTATAGTCAAGTCTTGGTGCTGTTACCAGAAGAGAGGGGAGCAGACTCCAGGGTGGCAAAAATAGCAGATGTCCTCCACATGAACTCTTTGCTCCTTACTCTTTGTAAAGATGTCTAGAAAAGTCATTCCTAAAACAAAACAAAAATGTTGTCTCCCCAGACAAAGGCTGCTCTCAGTACTTCTATGCTGATCACCTGTCTCTCCGCTACCCTCTGGAGATTTCGGCAACCTCAGGGAGGCTGATGTGCCACGTCAAGCTGGTGGCCATTGTGGGTTATCTGATCCGTCTCTCGGTAGAGTCCGTCCAGATGGAAGCTGACAACTGTGTCACCGACTCCCTGACCATTTACGACTCCCTCTTGCCACTCCGGAGCACCATCTTATATAGGTACTCTGGTTGGCGAGGGAAAAGATTCTCTTCCAGTGTCTTTTTTTGGCAGTATCTTGTTTCCCTTGGACTTTTAATACTATTTTTGTGTGCACTCATGAGATCAGAGACTGACTCATGCCTTACTTGGTATGCCCTGTACTGGCCAGAGTCTATCAGATGCAATGTTTGCTTTCTACACAAGGATCAAAGTCAGTATAGCAGGAACTTCAGCCAATATTCCGGAAATCTAGCAGAACTTTTCATTTCATTTTACGTTTATTGCAATTGCACTAGAAGCTATTTCATTAGGGTGTGAGAACAGATATTCTCTGACGGTCGCATAGCATTAGTAAAACAATTAAAAATTTTCCCCTTATTATAGAGGTAACACAATGTTCGTTGTGAAAGCCAGATCAATCAGAGAAAAACAAGATCAATATTTCACAGTCCCATAACCCAGAAGAAATGTCTGTTATCTTTTTGCACAAATATCTTCATTCCTATATAGATATGTAGTTACACACATATAAACACACCCTAATATTTTTTACTTACAGTAGACATCTTTTTTAATAGAAGCAACATCCTTCTTTTTTTAAGATTTTATTTATTTATTCATGAGAGACACAGAGAGAGAGGCAGAGACACAGGCAGAGGAAGAAGCAGGCTCCACGCAAGGAGCCCGATGTAGGACTCGATCCCCGGTCCCCAGGATCACGCCCTGGGCCGAAGGCAGGTGCTCAACTGCTGAGCCACCCAGGTGTCCCCTAAAAGACATCTTTTTATGAGTGCTTACTATCTTGATAATTTAATAACGATAGTTACACTTTATTAAACATGTACTACTTGTTACTAAAAAGGCACATGAATTATTTTATTTTTTTAATAGTACTTATATACGAATGTATGTATATTTTGGTGATGAATATGCAGATGGTAGAAATTCCAACAGTATATAATGGCTACAGGGAAAAGTTGGTCACTGGCTCCCATTCCTCAGTCATTGTTATTGTTTCTTTTCATCCTTCCAGACATACTCTGCTATTATCTCATTTAACCCTCACCTTATTATTACCATATTCCATATTATTTCATAGTAGAGGAACAGGCACTCATGAAGCTTAGTTACTCCAATGCCCAGGCTCCTTCAGCCAGTTGTGTGACAGAGCTGAGTTTTGAACCCGGTTTTCCTGAGGGTAGAGCTCAGGACCGTAGTAGCCATTTCAGTGGTTGTCTATGCCTCGCTTGCTCTCAAGGGAGGTCCGGTGGCAGCCATCCAGGAAAATTCTTTGATAGTTACTGGACAGAAGTTTCTATACTTTTATCAGCTCCTTTCCAGCGTGCCCTGGGGCCAATGAAGATCTGGCTGGCAGAGTCTGGGTAACAAGAACTGTGTGGAAGGTCCGGAAAACGTGTGGAATTAGTGTTGGATGGAGGCTCCCTGCTCAATAACCTATTACTGATGGACTTTTGTTCTGTTGTCTGGTTTCAGAATTTGTGAACCCACAAGAACGATAATGTCCTTTGTTTCCACAAATAATCTCATGTTGGTGTCCTTTAAGTCTCCCCAGATACAGAGGCTATCAGGAATTCGGGCATTTTTCGAGGTCATTCCAGAAGAAAGTAAGTCTTTCCTCATTGAAAAAAAAGTCACCTTGGAAAGCATCTACTGTGATACTCCAGCCTCATTCTCCCGAAGCTGTGTTGTGATACCAGTCCTATGAGTCAGGGACGACCTTGACTCAGGGTCCAGAGGAGACAGATCATATTATTTAAACAGAGAGAGTCTGGGGCGCCTTGGGTGGCTCAGCTGCCTTGGCTCAGGTCATGATCTCATGGGTCCTGGGATCCAAGCGTGTTGGGCTCCCTGCTCAGGTGGGGGTGGGGGTGAGGGAAAGGTGTCTGCTTCTCCCTCTGCTCCTCCTATCCCCAGCTCATGCTCCCTGGCTCTCAAATAAATAAATAAAATCTTAGAAAGAAAAAAAAACACAGAAAATTTAATGGGAAGAACTATTAACTCTGCACCAAGGTGGCAGCTAGGTCCCTCAAAAGGCAGAAAGAAAACTAGAAGGTGTTACGGGGGTAATACAGACTGTGGGTCTGGGGAGAATGAAGGAAAGCAGTCTCAGTGCTCACAATTTACAGTTGGTGGGGGTGAGGGTGGAGGGTCTGTGGACAGAAACTCAGGCCTTGAGGAGTGGGGAGGGGTGCTGCTCAGCTGGTGCTGCTGTCTCTGAGTTCAGAGGCAGGTGCTCATGGACTTGGGACCCAGACTTTGGGACCCAGACTTTGGAGGAGAGGGTGCTAGACCAGCCCAGGCTGGTATCTCTGAGAAAGATCCAATAAAGTAGAAGCTGGGAAAACTGCTAAGAGGCTTCAACTCTGCTAGAGGACTGAGGTGTAGCTGCGCAGGAGGGGTGGGGGAGGGGACTGGGAGAGAATGTGGGGAAATGGGGGACGGGGTAAGAATCCTTGCTGGGCTGGCTTTCCCAGGAAGAGGAAAGGAAAGAAACCCGGAGGCCCCAATTCCCCTCCTCCAGTCTTCTGGGCTCCCCGTAGCACCCCCCTGTTGGCAGGGCCTGGCAGGAAGCCCGTGGCAAAGGAGAGAGAAGCCCTTTGCAGGGTGTGTTGGGAGCTGTGTGATAATAAAGAGTCACCTGGCTCCCTTGCATTCTTCTCTTAGTGACTTGGGTGGACAGAGTAAAACAAAACAAAAAGAGCCTTCACCGAAACTCTAGTCTTTTTGTAATATTTGTTGCCTTGTAACCGGTCAGATCTTACAGGTCATGTCTTGGTAACTTCGTTATCAGCACGGACAAGGCCAAAAGGATCAGAATGAGAGATGTGGGTGGGGAGGGCAGTGCATTTGGCTTGAGTTAAATGGTCATAGCTTCGTAGGTCCACCTCTATGTTAAGGCAGTGGCTTATTTTGATAGGTTCCTCTGTCGAATTGTCACAAAACTAAATGTAAAATTGATTTATTGAACCTCATTGAACTCGCTCTTTGAGATGTTACTGGGTTGAAAAGCATCTCTAACTCCAAACTTAACGTTTAGCTCAGAAATATTGCAGTGGAATTTGTGAACAACAAACATTTATTGAGCATGTAGTATACGTCAGAAATGATTCTAGGTGTTACGAAAAGTAGCAAACAAAATAGATAAAAATCAATACTCTCAAGGAAATTATGTTTTAGCAGAACGATAACCAGACAGTAAAAATAGATGTTTAGATTGTTTTATTTAAACAGAACAATATGTTACGTAAACTGGGTATATTCTTCAACAATATACACTCTTTTGAACAAATAAGTTCAGAAGCTTAAAAAAAAACATTTAAGCTATGTTTTTATTTTTTTTATTTTTTATTTATTTATTTATTTAATGATAGTCACAGAGAGAGAGAGAGAGAGAGAGAGAGAGAGAGAGGCAGAGACACAGGCAGAGGGAGAAGCAGGCTCCATGCACCGGGAGCCCGACGTGGGATTCGATCCCGGGTCTCCAGGATCGCGCCCTGGGCCAAAGGCAGGCGCCAAACCGCTGCGCCACCCAGGGATCCCTAAGCTATGTTTTTAAAGACAGTAAAAGAATCCTATAGATCTGTAGTCAAAGTATATGATCTGAAAACAAATACAGAATTTGAACGAGAAGCTTAGCTATCCATCTATAGGCTACTCGTTCTTTTTGGAAAAATTAGTTTAAATTTCAAAAAGTATATAATCTTGTTGATCAAGGAGGATGTGTTTGTAGTTAAATGTATGCAATACATTTCCCATAATCTCGCAACTGCAATCATTGTGTGTTACTGGATATTTTTTTTTTCAGAGTGTGAAAACACAGTATTGGTCAAAGAAATCACTGGCTTTGAAGGGAAAATTTCAAGTCCATATTATCCAAGCTACTACCCTCCGAAATGCAAGTGTACCTGGAAATTTCAGGTAGCCTATTGCTATTTTAGAAAAATACTGTTATCTTATGTTTAGTAGCAATTTATTTTTAATTTAATTACCTGTATTTTTTACCACAAAAAGTATGTTAGTTAATTTTATAATATTTAAACTTTAACTAAATATATTACCTAGAATATTAAAGTTCTTTGTAATTTCAGCCCTTTGCCCATAAATTAACCGTTCTTTGCAGACAAGCTTATTTTTCCAAATGTTATTTTGTTTGTTTGTATTAAAAAATGCAATGATATTGTTATGGAATCAAACAATTTTTTGTTTTACTGTGATAGAGCTCATTTATCAATTTTTAATTATTTCACTATCAACATTTTAGTAAGAAATAATAAAGACATAATAAGGTGAATTAGGCAATGCATATTTCAGCTATGTAAGCAAACCAAATTTTGTAAATTTATATAAAATATATGTATCTCTGTCTGTCCTTAACAGAGTTCCTTCTTTATTTTTTTCTTTAAAATTTTATTCTATAACTGTTTTTCTTTCTCCAACTGTAGTGTCATGTGGAGGGACATAGGGCAAGGCTCTTTCAACATGTATGTATGAAATCATCTTTTGTGAGGCATAACATTTAGATCTAAGTGGCAGGCAGTTTAGGGTTTGCATTCATTTAACATGTCATTATTAAATGCCTACTATGTGTCAGGCAGTATTCTAGACACTGGGATCCAGGATATCTGACAGCACACAGAGCAAAAACTCTGCTCTCATGGAGCTTACTGTACAGTAGGGGGAGACAGGCAACAAAGGAACAAAAATGTGTACAGAATGTGACCTGATGGTAAAATGCTGCGGAGAAGAACAAAGCAGGGAAGGGGGCTCTGTAGCTGAGTGGGTGGTCCAGAGTATGAAGGATAGGATGTTAGCAAATGATTGCCTTAAATAACATGGTCAGGGGAAGCCTTGTCTACAAGCGGACATTTGCACAGAAACCTGAGAAAGATGAGGGAACTAACCCAGTGCATCCTTAGGATCAGAGTGTTGCAGAGAGAGAACAGCTGAGGCAAAGGCCCCGAGGCAGGAGCCTGATGGCTGCATATGTCATTTGTACACAAAGAGTTAAATATTTTTTTTATTTATTTATGATAGTTACACACACAGAGAGAGAGAGAGGCAGAGACATAGGCAGAGGGAGAAGCAGGCTCCATGCACCGGGAGCCCGATGTGGGATTCGATCCCGGGTCTCCAGGATCGCGCCCTGGGCCAAAGGCAGGTGCCAAACCACTGCGCCACCCAGGGATCCCAAGAGTTAAATATTTTTAATAATTTTATTACACCCAAATGTGTACTTAGTGTCAGTGTCCTGATGGCATACATCCTCAAGTTATTTATTTTTTTCATCATCATTGCATTGCAAATATTTCCAAAATAATTAAACCCCAAAGGTTCTGGGCTCTTGCTCACCATCAGGGCAGCAGAATCTCAGTGCCTCAGGTGACTCATGAGTTGGGGAAGGAAAAAGAGCGGCATCAAACCTGTCTCTTCCATCTCTCCCCAAAGCAGGGGTATCTCCTTTATGACATCGAGAACAAGAAAGGCCCATTCCCAAAAGCTCTGTCAAATGTTTGGAGTTCCTTTGAGCTAAAATAAACATTGATTCTGTGATAATTTCTGAGACCTAATGTGAAGATCCCTAAGCATTGTTCTGGTTGGGATGTAAATAAGAACATCAGATTCTGTTTTACTAGGGGTCAACGGTTAGAAATGCTGAGAAGAAAAAAAAAAACTCTTTATAAAGAAAAAAAGCATGTCACTGGGGGAATGGAGAATGGGAGAGGGGAGACAGGAAATACTGGGAACAGACTTTGGTGGGTGACAGCATGTCCCAGAGGTCAAGGTTGGTCCTCCTCAGTGTGGAGGTTAAATAAAGCTGTTCCTTCCTCGGACGGCTTTGAGCTGTGTGCTAGCATGTACCTGCAAACAGACATCACATAAAAAAATAATGTCACCTGTAAAATAGCTTTGAATTTATTTCAAACAACTGAGAAGAATGACCACATGACAAAAATATTGACTCAAGTCATGACAAAACCTTTTCTACACAAGAGTTGATTTCTATCATCCTCAATTCTTCTCAGGCCTGGTCCGATTTCCAAATGTAACTGAAGCGCCATCAATCCCTTTTGCCAACATCCTTTCAGCTGAGTTTTCAAGGTCTCATTTATCTGAGGATTACCTCCTGCTCCAACTTAAAATCCGTCTGATTTTTCTCCCAAGAATAAACAAATGTTTATTGAATGTCAGGTGCATAACCAGAGGGAACCCTTAGTAGTGCGGTGAAGTCCTTGCTCTCCCAGCGCTCACAGACTGCAGCAGGGGAAGAAGGTGACACAAGAAAAAGCAAAAAAGAATATTGAGGCTTATAACATGTCACCTGCATTTGTTTAGGGCACACACATTTTTATTTGCTCTTAAAACATACCTCTGATGTAGGAGACTCGTGTCACAGTCTATAGGTAAGGAAATAGAGCCGGGGCAAGCCATTGGCCAGAAGCTACTCAAATGGAAAGTGACCCAGGCAGCATTAAAACAAATCATGCCCCCCCCATAAGCAAATTCTGCACCCCCCTCTTTTTCTGGGTTCTTAAAGCTGTTCAGCTTCCCTATGTTTCATAACAATCACTGGGTCGAATATTTACCTCCCTCTCTTTTCCTTCTTTTTGCTTTCCAATTGATACATGTTGTTGTGCAATCTTGGAAGAAAAACACGGAGTGGAGTTTTGAATTGTTTTATCACAGATGCCATGAACCTAGCATACACTGATCCAGGTGCATCCGACACAAGCAGAGATGACTGTGGGCCATGTGAACTCACCTCTTTGAATCACCTACAAAATAGATGGGATTCCCCAGAGAGGAATCCCTCTTCCCTGCTTCTGTGGCAAGCATCTAGCCACGAAGTTTCCAGGGCCCACTGGAGATGGGTTGAGCTGTGCGCACATAACCACTGGCGAGTGAGAAGTGACAAGCATAAAGCTTGCCCTGCATCCTGTCCCTATCACTGACGAGAGAAATATTTCAATACAGCAGGTCCAGATCAGGAGACATGCTCCCCTCACTTGGTAAAAGGTCAGGGGTCAGGCGGTGGGAACAGAGAATACAGGACATAGAAGGTAATAGCATACTTAGCAGTCTTTCCATTTTTGTCCATTTGTTGAACAAAGTAGCTCATAATGCTTTGTGGGACTGCACTGTATCACCCCACTCATCAAGCTGGCTAATATCAATAGTGCTTCTTGGCCGATCTGGGCGCAAATGTAGATTTGTGTGCAAATCCGTGTCAGTGAAATCTGGTGTGCAAGGGGACTTAATTCCTTTCACTGTGGAGAGGCTTTGTAGATTGGGGAGCAGTGACGTGTTTAAATCTGTTTTACTTTGGGGGCACCTGGGTGGCTCAGTGGTTGAGCGTCTGCCTTTGTCTCAGGGCGTGATCCCAGAGTCCCTCATCAGGCTCCCTGTGGGAAGCCTGCTTGTGTCTCTGCCTCTCTCTTTGTGTCTGTCACGAATAAATAAATAAAATATTTAAATCTGTTTTACTTTGGAGCAATGGAACACAGTGAAAATGCCTACATAAGCTTCCTATGGAGAATTGCACTGGAATATGTCCTTATGCTATATAATTATAGTGATTACTCAAGACACTTACTATCAGTTTGCATTTTTTTTTAATGTAAAGAAACAATCAGATAACAAGACGGGGGAAAAATTGATGTGTTCTCTCAGGATCTCTTAGTTTTTATTGAACATAGGACATCCCTTTTCCTCTTGAGCCCTGACTGTCCGTTTCTAGGTCCATGATACAGTATGGCGCCTGGAAAGATCACCATGTGGCCTTCAGGGAAATGCAGGGTAACCTTGGGCATGTCACTTATTTTTGATTAGTTTTGATTTCTTCTTTAAAATAGGGTTCATACTACCTTCCTAACCATGTTATTGTGATGCTTAAATGAGAGACATAAAGAGCCTGATTCATTCCCTCTCAAAGATAGGTTGAGAGAGGAAGGCTACTATATTTAAGTACATGTTAGAAAGAAGTATATACACACACAACCAAGAAATTGTAACATCAAATATGATGACGTCTCTAAAAATACGTATCAGGGCAATAAAAATCCGGGGTAAAATCTATCTCTTAAAAGAAAAAGACAACAGGACTGAATCAGAAAATATCGGCTAAAACTGAATTGTGTGTTATTTTCAAAAGATGGCAGAGTAAAAGGTGATTTAATAAAGCTGAAAGTAAAATCAATATCATTCCAGACAATATAAACAATAAACAATATATAAAAACAATAAGCAATATAAACAAAAAGAAAGCTGGGATCAGAACCTTAGCGCCAGACAACACGGGAGTCAACATTAGGGCAACAACATTGGGTGAGGAGTAGAAGGTGATCTGTAAGGATAAATAGGACGATCCACATGAAGGTCTGTGACTTTTATATACCAAAGCACATAACATCAATACTCGTAAATCAAAATGTATAAGAAATAGAAGGAGAAATGGACAGTGCTTAACTAAGATATTTTAATTCCTCTCCATTGGTTCCTGACGGAGGTGGTGAGGACAGTAACTACAGCTAGGAAGGATATCATACCACACAAGTAATGGGTTTGGCCTTATACATACATACATACATACATTACCCTTTTCCTTCAAATAACCTTGGAGCATTCACAAATTCGATCACGTCAAACTCCTTAGTAAATAAAAACATTAAAAAGCAGTATAGGTGGGCACCTGGGTGGCTTAGTGGTTGAGCATCTGCCTGCAGCTCAGGGCGTGATCCTGGGATCCTGGGATCAAATCCCACATCGGGCTCCCTGCAGGGAGCCTGCATCTCCCTCTGCCTGTGTCTCTGCCTCTCTCTGTGTGTCTCTTATGAATAAATAAATAAATACTTTTTTTTAAAAAAAAGCTGTATAAGCAGCAAATAATGTCTTATCAAATTAGGATAGAATTAGAAAATTTGAGTGGGTGAGCAAAAATGCCACTCCCTGGAAATGTGTAAACTCTCTCTATATATAATTCCTGGGTCAAAGTGAAAATTAAGGCTAAAATCATGACAAAACAAACATAATGTATGTGTATGTCATACAGTGCTGTAAAAAGGTCAGCTCTGTGTGTGTGTGTGCGTGCGCGTGTGCCCACACATGCTTTCACATGGGCAGATGCAGTGTGGGGAGCCTCTTCTTGTTCCATCCTGTCTGAGCAGACGTAGGAGTGACTCAGTAACTACCTTTAGGAATAGCGAGGTTGAATATGAGGGGAATACTGATTCATTTCTTCTTTATCTAAATAATCTGAATAGTGCTTTAAATAAACTATGTCATTGTTGTTTACCGAAGGAGGAAACTGTGCACTCATTACAAGGGGGTGTTTTCGAGCTCATTTACAAGGGGGACCTGACACTTGGAGATAATCTAATATGTCCCATGTCACCCCGCTCACTCAAACTGGGGCCTAATAGCCACTCCCTGAGCACTGGGCCACCCACTTCCCTCTCTATTATGTTTACATCATTCTGGTTTGTTGGGGGCAGGGGGGCCAGGTCTACCCCACCGAAGGCCATAAGGCATAAAGAATAAAATGCCCTAAGAACGGCAAGTCAAGGGAATGAGTTTTGAGAGAGGAATCAGTCTGAAATATGTCCTTCAGTTGAAACGTTTTTCTGACTTCTGTTTGTTTTTCAGACTTCCCTATCAACCTTTGGCATAGCACTGAAATTCCATAACTATTCAATAACCAAGAAGAATGTGAAAGGCTGTGACCATGGATGGTGGGAAATTAATGAGCACATGTAAGTGGATTTCAGATGTAAGGAATCTGATGAAAGACCTGACCCAGAGGGGCTCAAAGTCTTGGATTCCTTGTCCCCAAAGAGTTCGCACTTTACTATTTATGGATAGGGACAGCAAAGGATACCGAGGTGAAAGAACTTTCTCAAAGGCACTCAGATCATAGGTGATTAAGCCAGGATTCAAATCCATGACTTACGGCTCCCAAATCCTTGCTGCACCGCTGCTCTTTGCTGCTGGGCTATGGGTGTGCACACTCCACGTTTTACAAAAATAGCTTGGCAGATAAAGTCTTTCAAACCATGGAGCTCTGGAGGAGATCGTAAATGAGGTCATGGTGACAGGAAAGTTAGAAACCATTGGCCAATTCTGTGCTGGAGGAGAGGCTGGATAGGCCTGCCTGTATCCTGAGGCTGAGACGTGGGTTGGGGCTGATCAAAGAAATCTAGATGACTGAGCTTCCTGAACTGACCTAGGAGCTCCTGACTCTCACCCTTAATTTGTCCTTTAGCTGTTGGTATTGTTTATTTGCTTCTCAAATTGTGATAGATGTTGTATTGAAAAAGATAGAATGTCCTGTCTTTGCAGCAGAATAGCTTCTAAGTTTACTTTGAGGTAAGATTTTTTTGTGTGTGTGAAGTTAGCCTAAGGGATTTGCCTGCTAATTCTTTGCACATTGTTAATCCAATGAATGAGACCTTCCTTTTCGAAATGATTTTCCTGCACAACCTTCTTTCATTTCCTGGAGACTCTTAGGTTACGTGCTAAAATAGCTTGTTGGTCTGTCTTCACCGGAATAGATCCTATCTGATTTCAGAGCATTCTTGGTTCCATTATTAAGATGTGGCTTATACTCCTTTTGGGAATATATTTGAATCAGGTTCTATTATGTAGGAGGGAGAATGCCTGGGCTCAAATTCCAGCTCTGCTAATTAGTAGCTATGTTAACTAGGACAAATTATTTAACCTCTTTGATTTTTCAGTCTGTAAATGAGTTAATAATTCCTACTTAATAAGGTGGGGTTTTTTTTGGCAAGCATTCAATGAGATAATGCATACGACATACCAAAAAATATTAGCCATTATTATAATTAATAAGATTGTTTTGGGTAGAGTTGTTGGATCATCATTTTGTATACCTGGAACTAAGGTAACATCGTGCGTCAACTAAAAAAAAAAAAAAAAAAAAAAAAAAAAAAAAAGAAGAAGAAGAAGAAGAAAAGAAAGAAAGAAAGAAAAGAAATACTAAAAAAAAATGATTGCTTTGGAAATGACATTAGATGGATAAATACTGCAGAATGTGATCCCCCTCCAAGTTTTAAGAATACTGCATTCTGATATTTAATTAGATTGAGGTCTAGAAAACAAATCTTTCTAATTCTTTTATAAAGTTGTAGGCATAAGATAGAGCTATGCTTTCAAAATGTGATACCATTTTTTTTTTGTCCTAAGTAACAACCCCACCACCCACAAAGTGTTGCTGCCCAACTATGAGCAAGATCTTCTCCCAAGCCATCAATACCAGGAAAGCTCTCTGTCCTAAATACTTTCTCTGAAGGGCCAGCTCTTCACTTTATCTTGCGGGCTGGCTGAAATCCTATCAGATTCCTTTGATGCTAGTTGCACCGGTAGGACTTAAACACCAGGCCTTCCCGTTATCAGTTCTCTTCATCTAAAAAGGAAAGGCTCTAATTGAACTAATTTCTGACACCTTGCTGAAATGTTGCCTAAAGGCGCTGGGTTTGTAATGGGGAAGTAGGAGAAGGTAATGCTGACACCAGGAAGCCTAGTGCTCCTGAGTTCAGAGAACTCCAGGATGGGGTGTGCATGCTCAGAGTAGCTAGGATGCAGCAAGTGAGCCCTGGAGGCATGGATGTCCTTCCTGTGATATTTTGCAGAGCAAAGTTCCTGATGGGAAAGCTATTAGTACGCTAGAAAGTACTAGTGTTTTAGTACCAGGCAGACTTGTATCCTAATCCTGCTTCTACTTTCTTGCTATTTTGAACCTTAATGCTTTACTTCACCCGTTTAACTTCTGTTTTCTTTCATGTGTCTGTACCTGTAAGCCAATTCTTGCTGGTTTCTCCAATTTCTCACTTTTTTTAAAAAAAACAAAAACGTTTGTTCCTTTGGCTACCACTATGCCCCCATTCTATACTGTTCCCCTCTAAACTTCAGCCTAAGCATGGACTCAAAGATCCCTTTTTCCTTACTCCATACCTAACCAGTATGATGTTATTACTATAACTAAGATGTGATTCATCTTTGTTAGAAAGCTCTAGTAAATTTTGATGGAGAACACAAATAAAACCACTATGAGACCCAAATGACAATGATCATGTTTTCGGCACACAGGATTTGGATGCCAAGATGACCAATTGGAGTAGACCCTGGCCCCAAAAGGTTAATGTGGACTTCAGGTGCCTCTTAGAGCCTGGGTCCCACTTGGCCAGGGGGCCACCTACCTCTAGCAGCTTTCTCTTCCTCTGTTCCTAGAGCTGGTCTGTCAGCCCATCAGGGCCCAAGCTTTAGCCAGCTGTAAAAGAATCCTCTCGAAATATATGTGAACACTTTCCTTCTTTGGACCTTAAGATCACCACTTCTGTGGTTGTCCCACCAAAAGCCAGTGTCTGATCCATGGAACTTTCGTGGTTCCCAAGTGCCTTTAGGGGCCAGGAGTGATTGGCATTCACAGATTCCAGTGGAGGATGTCCCTCCTGGCCCCCGTGTGTTTGCTATTTCCCTTTGAGACCTTTCAGGTTTCACCCTGTGAAGAGCTTTGCCTACACATGGCAGAGACCTAACTTATCATGGGCCCCCAGCAGAGTAGAATTTCATGTTCTACTAATCACCCTGCTTGAATAAGAATTACTAACAAGAGGGGCATTTTCTCTTAGGTACAAGAAGTAAGAAAAATCAAGGGGAGGAAATATTGCAGACAGACTTTACTGCTTTGAAATTTAACAAGGACAAGCCTCAAAGTGCACGTTGGTTTTCAATTTAGTTTGAAAAAATATTGTCGTGTTTTACTTTAAGTACTGCTGGGCCTCTTTGCATGCTTTCAGCCTGAGCTCATGGATTCTACTCTGCTCCGTGGAGAGGTTTGTGGGCAAAAGCAGACAATTCTTGTTGTTAATGGTTATTGACGCAGAAGAAAGAGAGGAGCCCTATTTCTTCTGATTACAAGTATTGGTGAGGAAAACAGTAGGTGACAGTCAGTAGTATCGCTGTTGTATTTAGCAGAGTGGAAAATCAAGGGGACAGAAGTTACTCCATCACAGTCACTTAACAGACTGGATAACTACCATTAGCTCTGTATACGCATCTCCGCTTATGAAGCCCAGAGTACAAAACCATCAATGTGTTCATGGTCACTGGGAATGCAGTTGACAGGGCCTCATGCCACACCTCTTCCCTGACTCTTATCTCCTCAGGTACTGTGGTTCCTACATGGATCACCAGACGATCTTCCGAGTGCCTAGCCCACTCGTTCACGTTCAGCTGCAGTGCAGTTCAAGGCTTTCCGACAAGCCACTTTTGGTGGAATATGGCAGTTACAACATCAGTCAACGTAAGCCTGGGATGAACTCTTTAGAAAATCTTCACAAATGGTTAAACAGAGCCTAATACTTTGTAGCTCTAAACCTTGAGAAATTAAGGAGTAAAAAGGGATTTATTTATTTATTTATTAATACTTATTAGTATTAATATGTAAATATACTATAAATATATGTCATATAAACAAAATATATAATAAATGAAACCAGAAAATTATGTATTTGTGACTCCTACAGTTTAAATTATAGGAGAAATAATATAATTATTTATTACAATTGAAAATGGTTTTTTGCATTATTCCTACAATATGGGACAAACCCATTTGTTGAACTATTGTTCCCGCTACTCATAAATTTTTGTATATATGATGTTCATACCAACATTTGGTGGATCAGAAGGCAACTGTTATGACTTACTTAGGCCCGTAATGCATCGGGAGAGCTGGTGGGTCAAGGAGAGTTCAAACATCAGCCCCAAGATGTCACACTTTACATGAAGAACCACAGGAACGGTGGCCAGGAAATGGCCTGTGGTGAAGGCAGTGTTTGAGGGAAGTCTTCAGAACTGGAGAGAGTAGATATTGACTCAGGAAATTCTCAACCCGTTTTAAAAGGGGAAAAGTAAGAAAGTAAGGGTGAACCACAAAGGGGTCCATGAGGTTAAGACTTGAGAGAAGGCTCATGTAGAACCTTTCTTCTTTGGCAATATACCTGCTTCTGGATCTGGAATATTACACTTCTGAATATCAGAATATTACAATTCCCAGCAAGAACTACAGGTAAATAGTGAGCCATCTTATTTTCAACTGTTTTTTCAAAGCATGAGTATTTTCTAGAAACTCACCGTCCCCATCATGTGCCAGTGAAATAGTTGTTGACCTGACCGCATGTTTCCCCCCATTCTTATGCACAAGGGGAGTGTCCTGATCTATTCCTGATACTCTAACAAAATATCACAGCCTGGGTAGCTTATAAAGAACAGAAATTTGTTTCTCACAGTTCTGGAGGCTGGAAGTCTGAGATCAGGATGGTCCGGTGAGGGCTCTGCTTGGGTCACAGACTTCCTATATCCTCACATGGTGGAAGAGGGTGAGGGACCTCCTCGGGGCCTCTTTTTATAAAGGCATTAATCTTATTCATGAGGCTTCTGCCTTCAACACTTAATTCCCTCCCACAGGCCCTACTTCCTAATATCATCACATTGGGTGCTAGGATTTCAACAAATTAGTTTGTGGGGACACAAACATTCAGACCATAGCAGCAGAGAAGGATTTATTATTTCTAATATATTTAGTAATAAGCCCAGGATTTATGATTCAAGATCAGTCAGGGAATGGATCTTTGATGAGTAGCCCGGGTGAGGTGAACTGGGAGGTAGAAGGCAGGAGTCCTGAGTTTTGAGGCCAGCCGCTAATCTCTCTAGGTCCAAGTGTCTAAGAGAGCAGTGGCTACTAATGTATTTGGGGACAGAGATAATTGATAATGTAATTAAAAGCACGGACTCCTCAGAACAGTGCGTCTGATCATATAGGATTCAGAGATACCAGAAGGCTATTTGTAATTCCCTGGGGAGTCTTAAAGATTGCACACTAAGAGTGCTGGACTCTCTAAACCATATTCCAGCTTAAGCTATCTCCGAGTCAAAGACAAAGCCGGGTTGCTGAGGGAAACATGTAAGTAGTAGAAAGTTTGTACACGTGACTTGGATGCAATGTCCACTTTCTTTGTTCTCCTAAATCACCTATTTGTCTTTCATTGACGGCCCATAGCTGGATTTGATGGAGAAATCGTATAATTACTATTGCAACATTGCCAATTCCTTAACTACCTAATACTCATAGCCCTTTGTTCATGTGGCCTAATGACTTTTAGAGACTCACAAAGACTTCCTGTGTTTTATTGTCTCTAGCCTGTCCTGTTGGATCTTTTAGATGCTCGTCTGGTTTGTGTGTCCCTCAGGCCCAGCGATGTGATGGAGTAAATGACTGCTTTGATGAAAGTGATGAACTTTTCTGTGGTGGGTATTCAAGTTGTACTATGGCTTTGTTAGGAATAAGTGAACTTTCAGGGCCATTTTTGCTGTTGGCATATATCCTGGGTCTTAGCAGCTGGTGTCTATTGAGGCATAACAAGCTACCCCAAAACTCTGAGACTGACAACAATCATTTATTCTGGACCATGCATCCATGGGATGTTTGAGATATGACTGACGTAGGCTGGCCTCAGCTGGGTGGCTCTGCTTTAAGCAGTGGGTCCTTCTAAGCTTGGTTCTTCCCAGGTTGGGGTCAGGTGTAGTCCTCATGGCTGTTTTCCTCATTGAACTAGTGGTAGAGCAAAGGAGGGGTGAGCAAAAACACATGGTTCTTCTTGAGTTCTGGGGGTGGAACTGGCACACCATCACATCATATTCTATCAGTCAAAGTGAGCCCTTTAGCTGAGGCCATAGTCAAGGGGCAGGCAAGTTTATCCTGCACACTTTGGGGCCATGGCAAGGGTAGAGGTGTATAATACTACCCCAGGGAGTGAGGATCTGTGGCTAGTAATTCAATGAACCACAGTCTTAAACCAACAATCCTATTTTAAAGCACAGATCTTTTATCTAGAGAGGAGCTCAGAGTCTGCAGAAAAGCAAACACTTTCAGCACATTCATTTATAGAGCACAGGTGTTGTGAATGAGAGAATTCTTATTATTACCGTTATTACCTGTATAATTTGCAACAATGTCATACCTGCAATGATTAAGGGCTAGGGTATTGGATATTCCTATTTTGGACAGAGATTCTCTCTCTTGGTTTTTCATTACTATGTGTACATCATTCCTGAATCTATCTCCAGTTTCAGGGAGTAATATGGGGAGGATAGTTCACCAGACCATATGACACCATTGGCAACACTTTCTCCTAAAGACCCAGAGTTTAATTCAAATATAATTGCAATGGTGAAGCTATTTAGTTTCTTTCATATTCTTGGAGAAATATTACATACAGTTAATATAACTATGAAAAATTATATTATGAAAAATAACCTATGGCTCTACACCTTTGGATTTTTTTTTGACAAAACAAAATAAAACTCTCTTAACTTATGGTTCATTGACCTTTTCAATCTATCGGGTTTTCTGTTGCTTAAGCAAATAAATACTGCCTATTATATAGTGAGTGAGGCTGCTGGTGTTTTTTTACATTATTATCATTCCTTGCTATGATGCTTCAAACAGAAGGGATTATTCTTGCTTTATAAGGACTGTTTTTGGCAATCATTTTTGTCATTGTGCCATTTTAGAAAGAGTTCTCTAGGAGTCAGCTAGGTCCACCCAGCTCAGTGAGCTAGTTCAGGGCAGCAGCGTCCTCCCCTGCGCCCCCTGCCCCCTAACAAAAGATGCCACTGAAAAAAAAAAAAAAACCAAGAGCAGATAACAAAAATGATCACTTTTCACAACACCAGAAATGTCTAAGGAATCACACCTCCCAGAGGTGCTTACTATAATATAACTGCACCTGTCACTTGTCCAAAGGCAATTCCTGAAAATATTCCAAAGAAGAAAAATTGTGATAATTCACAGTGGTGTTTCTTAATTCAGGAAACGGGTCCCTCAGGACAAAATCATTTTAAAGAGAGGGTTCCTTCCACACAGACTACAAGCCTGTTGTCCTTTAAGACTCATAACTGTAAATCTAGTCAGGAAAACTTAATATTTTAAAATTCTTTTTATTTTTTAAATTTTATTTATTCATTTGACAGTGAGAGAGAGAGACAGAGAGCGAGCAAAAGCAGGGGGACAGTAGGCAGAGGGAAAGGGAGGAGCAGGCTTTCCCTGCAGCAGATAGCCCGATGTGGGGCTCGATCCCAGGACCCCGGGATCATGACCCGAGCCAAAGGCAGACAGACGCCCAACCGACTGAGCCACCCAGGTGCCCCAAGTCAAGAAAACTTTGGACTCAGGGGCTTGAGGTACAGAGATGAGTAAGACAAAAATCGATGTAAGGACACTCCCACTTTTGTTTAGGAGGGCAGACAAGTTCAATTTCATTTATTTATTCATTTATTCATTTAATTTTTTAAAAAGATTTTATTTATTTATTCATGAGACACACACACACACACAGAGAGAGAGAGAGAGAGAGAGAGAGAGAGAGACAGGCAGAGGGAGAAGCAGGCCCCATGCAGGGACCCCAGCGCGGGACTCGATCTGGTGACCCCAGGGTCAGGCCTTGGGCTGCAGGCAGCACTAAACCGCTGAGCCACCCGGGCTGCCCATTTAATTTTTTAAGAGAGAGGGGGTGCAGAGGGAGAGAGCATCTCAGGCAGGCTCGCCCCAAGACAAGCAAGCCTCGGAGCCAGAATCCCGGGTTCGAGCTGACTGAGTCACCCAGGTGGTGCAGGCAAGCTCAGTCTCGATAGCGGCCTATGATTTGGATTTTTCCCTAAAGCAACACAGCACAACACAAAACACAACACAGCAACCACCTGACGCTGCCCTGAGCTGCAGGTAAGCGAAGGCGCAGCGCCGTGGAGGGCACGCTGCTCAGTCCGCTCTCGTTCCAGCGTCGCTCCCGCCCGCCTGCAACGCCAGCTCCTTCAGGCGGCTCGGCCCCCTGCTCTGCGACGGCTTCAGGGACTGCGACGACGGCCGGGATGAGCACAACTGCACCCAGAGTGAGGGACGGCCCCTGCCCGCTGCTCCTCCTCCTGGACACCCTTCTAAGTCAGAGCCCAAGTACCTGGGGGGGGGGGGGCGGGGGGAGTCAGGGCAACGGACGTGCCTCAGTTTCCCCAAGACTTACCCAGTTGTAGCACGGAAGATCCCTGTTCCCTGGAACCCGCTGGGCCGCAGGCAAAATGGGAACAGTTGGTCACTATTGGAGTTGAATGTGTGTGTTGAGTGTGTGTGTGTGTGTGTGTGTCCTTGTGACTACTGGAAGGTTTTCATCACTTAGTTGCTTTTAATGTTGCTGGAGAGTAAAGGACGCTGAGGATGTGATGCCAGGGACTGTGATGGAACACGTTCTGTTGTAGCCCCCGCAGAAACACACACCATTCGAGTTGTGAACAAATGGGCTGTGGCTCGCAGAGTCTGCCCATTTTCCCCATAATGGCATAAAAAGACTGAGTAGGGTGTTGATTTTTACTGAAAATTTTCTTGGAGAACAAGACAAAATAATGGATAGCAAAGGGGCCATGGCCTAGAGCAACTAATAGGGCCAACTGCCTTGCATCTCACCTCTAGTGGAAGAAAGGAGGGGTCATCGGATTGATCTCAACAGGTGCCTCCCTGCCTGCCTCCCAAGGGCTCTGCTGAGGTGAGGGGACTGGTCACCCGGGGCTTCTTCCGTCACCCTCTGCTGTGTTTCCCAGAGCAGCAAATGCTGATGCAGTGGCTAAACTATCCTTGGAGGACAGAGTGAGTGCCACTCAGTCAAGTCTGTTTCTGGGCAGGAAAAACTCTTCCCTCTTTTATTCATTTTTAGGCATTCCATGTAGCAACAGAACTTTTAAGTGTGGCAATGACATTTGCTTTAGGAAGCAAAATGCACAGTGTGATGGGACTGTGGATTGCCCAGACGGAAGCGACGAAGAAGGCTGCAGTGAGTAGAAATACGTTCCTTCCGACTCCCTATGCATCCTCCTCCGTTTCCAGTTGTTCCTTTGCATTCCCTTCCAGGGGTAAATCTCCCTGGCAAAAGTTGGGGTCCAGGGAAGAATAGTAAATCTTGGTGAACTGCATCTGACACGGTTTCTCAGAATTAAAAACTCTGGAGTGGATTTTGTCTGCTTTCTTGACAACTAGCATTAAAGCATCAGATGTCTATAATGAGAACTTTCACTTTCTGATAACTCTAATCAAGGGAGAAGCTCCTAAGTGAGAAGTCCATGAGAAAGGAGACGTCCTGGAACAGTGGATGACGGTTGTTTAGGCCTTAAATTATAATCGGTACCAAGTGCTGCTTCTCTCTTTGGCTGTGACTTGAGAACTGTAATCTGCCGCATGTTATTACGTGGTCTCTAACTGGCCAGCTGGCAACATGTTATGCATCCTTATCCATACAATTTACCCTGGAAAATAATTGTTCTGATAACTACTTTTTCTTAATAGGTTTTCATTTGAAATTTAAACATTTCTCTTCCAAATGCTTTCTCTCAAATCAGCACACCTCCAAAGACAAGCTCAGTTCTGTTGCCTTTGGACCTAATCTGTAATAATCTGAGCCCCACCACCACTGCTCATATCAGGGCAGCTACTGCTAACAAGTCCCGTCTTCCTTGAGTAAATGTACTTTATCGTATGGAGACTCTGTGTCTGAGCCTGTTCTCAGGAGGGAGGAAGTGGTTTCCTGGTGCCTTTTCTCCAGATAAGCAAGAGGTTTCCAGTTGCTTTCCTGGTGCATCAGTTCTCAATGCAGCTCTAAACCTGACTTAATTTCCAGTTTTTCTTCCAAGTCGGCTTTTAAAGCATGTGACCCTTCCTTTCCTAAAGGTTGCAGCAGGAGTTCCTCCACCCTTCACCGCATCATTGGGGGTACTGACACCCGGGAAGGGGGTTGGCCGTGGCAAGTCAGCCTCCACTTTGTCGGATCAGCCTACTGCGCAGCCTCAGTAATCTCCAGGGAGTGGCTTCTTTCTGCAGCCCATTGTTTCCATGGAAACAGGTAGGGCATCTCAGTTCTTACTCTAAGATCACACTCTGGGATCACAGACCATACATCTGCCCTCGGGTTGTGGAAGGAAACTGCCTGCTGGGGACATTTGATCAATTCAAATGGTGTGTGTGTGTGTGTGTGTGTGTGTGTGTGTAGAATGGGCACTGGAATTCTATTTAAAGTGGACGGGTAATGACTCTGCACCCAGTTTCCAAAGTGGCGGTTGGAGGGAGGGTTCCCACACCACTAAGAAATTCTCTGACACCAGTTGAGTGTCTTACAATTTAACTCAATTCTGACCCTGTCTGCCTGCAGATAGCATCAGATTAAACAGGTGAAGGGCTCATACCTACGAGACAGTCCCTCCTCCCCGACTTCCGACGCCAGTTATAAGTCCAGGTTATCACCATACGTCTGGCTTAACAGCTATCAGTTGGAGATTCCAACCATCCCTTCCTTGGGTTCAATTAATATGCTAGAGCAGTTCAGAGGACTCAGAAAAACATTTTACTTTCTAGATCCCTGTTAATTGGAAAAGGGTATAACTCAGGAACAACCAGTTGGAAGAGAGGCATGGGGCAAGGTTTGGGGAAAGGGTAAGGAGCTGTCATGCCCGCTCCAGGTGTGCCACTCTCCCTGAGCTACTCTCCCTGAATCTCCACCTGTTAAATAGCCTTGAAGCTCTCTGAAACCTGTCCTCTCGGGTGCTTATGGACGCCTCATTACACAGGCATGATTGATTAAATCATTGGCCTTGGCGATGGATTCAATCTCCAGCCTGTCTCTCCTCTTTAGGGGTCAGCAAGTGTCCGGGACTGAAAGGTCAAACCCTCCAGTCACATAGTTGGTTCTCCTGGCAACCAGCTCCCAACCTTAGGTGGGGTCTGACAGTCGCTCCTTAACACAGCAAGACAACAAAAGACAGCTTTGTGGCTCTATTCACTTGGGAAACTCCAAGGGTGTTTAGGAGCTCTGCCAGAAACAAGATAAATACCAAATACATATTTATTATAAATCACAATATCACAGAGGGGAATCAAGCAAGGGTCCATTATTAGGGTTGGCATTGGAAGGGCTCTGTCTGCCTTTACCAATGGGATTATTGTGGGGAAGATCCTCTTCCAGCTAAGGGCGAAAGGGAAGCTTAGAACAAATCACTTCACTTCAAAGGTAACCTTATTTAGAATCTACTAGATCTTAGGTACAAAAGTATATCATTCATTTCTCATTCTGAATTTTTAAAAGTATAGTATGTCAGTCAATTTATACAATTTAAGTATTCGCTTCTTTTGGAAATTATAGAATTCACGTTCATGACTAAAATGGCTATGCTTCTGTTTGATCATTAGTCTTCTATGCTATGACACTGCTCCGAGTACTACGTTAACCTAAATACTCTCCCGGGTCCCCAGCGCCACCCATGAGATGTTAGCTAAGCAGATTTGGGGCTATCCTCTTTGGACTCTGTCCCTACATTTCTTGCAAAGCTTTTGCAAGGTCTTCACCCCTCTAGAACAAGGCTGCTGTGCAGGTGGAGATGGCTGCCTCACATGGAGACTACAAGACCCTCAGTGACTGACTGTGCAAGGCCACAGAGGTCAGAAGTAGAGTTCTGGAAGGGGTGACAAAGAAAGAGTGGGGCCCCTGTGAATGGTCATGCTTGAGCAGTGATAGCAGTGATCTTTCAGGCTTATGGTAGATGACAAGAAGGAATTTCATTAAATTCCTGTTTATTGAACTTTCATTTCTAAACTATCTTGGAATTCATATCATTGGAATTTGGCAAAAGGATCCCCAGACCACTGTCCCCATCAAATGCCTATCTCAGCATGAATAGGAGAATGTAACAAATTAATTCCAGTCACGTTCTTGACCTGTATGTGGTTCATGAGATGGCAAGGGCAACAGAATTTCTAGCAGTTCCTTAGGGTGGGTGAGGGCACCACCCCTACTACACCTTCCTTCATCTCTGGTTTTACTAGGAGACAAAGGAGGCTCAGAAAAGTTGTGCTTTTGCCACGTCCATGGACAGAGCCAGGGGCTACGATAGGAACCGGAAGGCAGGCCTCCTTCCCTCAGCCCTCATCTGCCTGCAGAGGGCTTGTGTCCAAACCTCGGATGGTTCTGCAGGCCACTGACTTCATGTTTCCTTCCTTTTCTACCAGGCTGTCAGACCCCACGCCATGGACCGCGCACCTTGGGATGTATGTGCAGGGGAATGCCAAGTTCGTCTCCCCGGTGAAAAGAATTGTGGTCCATGAGTACTATAACAGTCAGACCTTTGACTATGATATTGCCCTGCTACAGCTCAGTACGGCCTGGCCTGAGACCCTGAAACAGCTCATTCAGCCCATATGCATCCCTCCTGCTGGCCAGAAAGTGCGCAGTGGGGAGAAGTGCTGGGTAACTGGCTGGGGGCGCAGGCATGAAGCAGGTGTGTGTAGAGTGAATGGTCATGCCCTCCCCTTCCGGATAGTACAGCCTGGGTTGATGTAGTGCTTTGGGGCTCATAGAGAAGTTTTGCATATGGTCTCACTCAAGCCTCCTGATAATTCTAGGAAGTAGAATGGAGGAAAATGTTATTAAATCCTATTTTATGATGTTTTTCCCTCAGAAGAAGCAAGACCCACCTCAATAAGGGGCGGGCGGGGAGGGGGTGTCTACAGGCAAAGCAAGATTGAATAGATACTATGGGCCCTTTTCAAACCTGAGGGGGTTGCTAGGTTTTCTGCTATCGAAGAGCAATTCCTCACTACTTTTAGGTTCCCTTTCATCCAAAGAAATGATTCCTTTTCTTAAAGAAGAGGAAGACATCCATGACCAACCCCTCTCCCCACCCAAAACACACAGTCTATTATGTCAAATCACAGGCAACTGTCTGGAGGATTATGTGAGTATGCCCTTCACAAAGGCAACTCTTCAGGTAGATGAGAGTTGGGATGGAAAACCAGCCGGCTCTTAGCTCCCCGGACTGCCCATTCAGGCGTGAAGGTTACACCAGCCTCAATCTGTCCACCCAGAGGGGTCACCTCTTTACAATCCCTTCACCAGAGCAGGCGCCTCTGCCATTATGCACAAAGGTCAGAGCGGTAGGGAAAATTCCCTACATCTGCTCTGTCAAGGTGTTTCATGGTCTAGGATTCATGGCCGATTCCCAGTGTGCAGTAAGGGGAAGAAGCCACAGCTCTGTGAGCGCCTCCCCAGAGGCTCCTGCTGACGCTTTCCATTCACCTCCCATGCATCTCAGATTCCCATGCAGCCCTTTCCAAGGGTTTAGGACAGACGCATTTTCCACAAATCTTGAATCGTACCCTTGGCTTCGTCTCTAAAGATTTATTGTGGGCAGTCACTCCCGGCCTCACTGCCTGCATGTGCCCTCATATGGCCTGCTGGGGTCTCAGAGCCCTAATGAGGGAGGGGAGGGCTCACAGCTCCAACACCTGTAACCTATCAGGACAGTGCTTGGGGCTCTAATTACAATATCCTATCTCACAGGAGGGAAGAGTCTGTTCAACCAGCTTCTCATGAGACATTTTCTTTATAAGCATGACTGTGTGTTTATTTTTCTGAATCACTGTAGCTAGACAGGATAAGAAGGAAGGGAAATCACTATAACAAAACATATTTTTATAGTTCCCAGGACTCTCCATATGTCGGTTTTGCTGCTCCATTTAAGGAGTAGGCCTCTCCACCAGTAAGTATTGGTAACTGTTGGAACTCACAGTCCTATGGAAAGCAGGAAGTACATAGTTAAGGAGGATGGCTCAGTGGCTCAGATGATTGAGTCAGAAGTTGGGTCTGAATCCTGCTCTATTACCTGCAAGGTAATCCCTCTAACCTCCTCCTCAGCCTCTATTTATTCACCAGCAAAATGACGATTATAAGAGAATTTACATAAAAAATTGTTATGAGGATAAAAGGAGATAATGTGAGTAGATGGTCTAATAACACCCTGAATAAGTGTAATCATCACCATGATTTCTACTTCCAATGTGTTTTCCAGACAATAAAGGCTCCCCTGTTTTGCAGCAAGCAGAGGTAGAGCTCATTGATCAAACCCTCTGCGTTTCCACCTATGGGATCATCACTTCACGGATGCTCTGTGCAGGGGTCATGTCAGGGAAGAGAGATGCTTGCAGGGTAAGTCTTCATACCTTTCCTCTACCAGGCTCTTATACTTTCCATAAATACTTTCACATTTAATTTGCACAACACTGGGAAATAACCAGGACAAATATTTCCCTTAATTCAGATATTAATTATAATCTAATTGTCTAAGATCAGGGAAAGGTGATTAAATAATTAGGTCTATAAAACTCCGTTTTCTAGTTCCCATGTATTTTCCTCCAGCATTTAGAAAATGAGGTTGGGGTTGATCTTTCTGCCATGATTTATTTTCTGATAACCCAAAACTGAAAAGCAGTTCTCTCCCTCTACTCCACGCGCCCCCGCCTCCCCCCGACACACACAGTGTTTTAGGGTGGCTACCAAACCATTTCCCTTCTGAAATACCAGGGTTTTATTCACTTGCTCCTTTGATGCATAGGCTGGGGGAAGGGAAAGAGGAGTGGGAGAAGTGATGGAGGACACTCATTTTATGCCTCTGATAAGGCCTCCAGACAGCGGTAAAGTTGGAGTTCATCTTCCTGGGGACGTTTCTAGGTCTCAGATTCCAATCTATGCAGATAGCTATATGATTGCCAAAAAGTGAACAGATGATTTAGAGGATGGAGAGGGCTGTGGTAGCTGTTCCCACATCTCTCCACAATCTTAGCCACCATGCCACAAAGACTCATTTTAATATAATAATGGATTTTATCTTCTGAGCTCCTATTCTCTGGCAAGCACAGTGCTAGATCCTTTACATAAATGCAGTCAAGTTTTTCTTTCATGCCCATTTTACAGAAGAGGAAACAGGGACACAGAGGGTAAGCAAATTACCCAAAGTCACACAGCTAGTAAGTAAATGCTTGAGCTGGAATGTGAACCCCCATCTCTCTAATGCTAAAGCTCCTACGTTTTGGCTGCTTCCTGAGACTAGTCAGTTTTACAGTCCTCTTCCACGCAGTCACCAGAGTTTACAGGTCAAGTTAGACTTAGTAGAGCTGGTGTGGCAATAATTAAAATAAAGAGCCCAGTTTCTCTACTAGTCAGAATTTACCTAATCAGGGTTCGAATTGGGGAGTGGGATTCAGGGGCAGATTCAGAATGGTTTTTTTTTATCTTTGCCTCTAGCTAAGTTGCAGCTTTTCCTGTCCTCCCGACTAGAAACATAAAGCCCAGATGTTATCATTTAAAGGATGACACTATGGGAATTATGTTTAAACTTTGAGTTAGTTTTGCCTTTGCTTTGTGGAGTTGAGTTATCAGAAGGGATTCTCAAATGAGGGTGATTTGTCCACGATGGCTATGGCCCAGTGAGCCATAGGGATTACCCGGGGCTAACCAAGTGGGGCCTCTTCTGGAACCAGCCACTCAGTTTGCACGGCCCAGAGGCAGAGGTCAACTTTCCAAGATGACTATGCCTCATAAGGTTGTTGTCAGGGCTAAAAGACCCAAAACAGTGTTTGGCAGACATCTCATGCTAAATAAATGTTATCCATTATTACTATTACTACTACTACTATGGCCACTTCCGCTACTATTGAAGTTCGTTCTTTGTTTGGGGTTTGTGAGAGTTGTTTCCCCTACAGGAATATTCTAAAGATATTCTCAGCCTGAGGATTACATTTCTTGTGATAAATGCAGCTTTTTGATTTTAGGAAGAATAGTTCTAAAATGACATTAGAAACTCACATTATTTCCTGACTCTTCTCTCTTCTCCAAACTGCATTGTAATTAGCCAAGCGAAAACTTTCCAGAATGGGAGTTTTGATACAGTCCATTAGACTCATTAATGACAAAATTGGTGCTCACGGGAGAAAGGCACTTCATACTTGCATTCTCTTCCTGTGTAGGGAGATTCGGGTGGACCTTTATCTTGTCGAAGAACCAGTGATGGGCAATGGATTTTGACTGGCATCGTTAGCTGGGGACATGGATGTGGAAGACCAAACTTTCCTGGTGTTTACACAAGAGTGTCAAACTTTGTTCCCTGGATTCATAAATATGTCCCTTCTCTTTTGTAAAAGTTCAAGTTGGAGTTTTGACTATGATTTATGTGACAGATTCTTTAAAAAAGAATTCAGTAATTATCCTTAAAATGAGACCCAATTTTTTTCGTCTGTAAATTTCAGCTTGCATACATTTAGTATTTATCGAACGACAAAGAGTTTTACATGTATTTTATTCCATGAAAAATTGCCTCAAGGGTAGAGCTGTATTCATCTTTAAGCATCAAAAGGTCATTGATTCAGAAATGGAGGAAACCTAAAGTAAAGTCATGAATCAAGACTCTAAAATAAGGTAAGAAATAGATGAGCTGCTCAGAAATCCATTCTTTAACTTATGTTTCTATTCAAGATATGGATATTTATGAAGACTAAGGAAAAACAGATTTATTGATATAAAAATTTCTATTAAAAATTCCTGATTTCAGTGTTCTAATAAAATAAATGCACAAAAATGCCTCCTTTATAAATGTAAATAAACCCAAGCTCAGTTATTGACAAAGGGAGTTCCTGAACTGTTGGTTTCCATTCCAATTTTGTCTAACCACATCATAACAGGCTTTCTTCAGCCACGGCACAGGGTAATATCGTGTACAGAAAAACCAATCAACTAACCAACAAAATTGATGGTAATCTTCACTAAAATCATGGAATGAAACATCATGGCAGTTCGGTTGAAAGCACTTACATGGGATTTAAGGAATTGTGAATGCTGGTCAGCAGTCAAATGATAAAGGAATTTTTAGATGATTGTTTTGAAAGTCACAATCTTCAGAAATATTATCATTTGGCTTCTGATTTTTTTTTTAAATAAAACTCCAATGGCCTAGACTTACTTCTGTTATCAGGGCATTATAATACCCAACGTAGTTGTAAACCTGTAGTACATGCTCAATACATCACAGTTATTGATTTATTTGATCTTGATTTAGAGGATTTCAACTTGATCTCAGAATAAGCTTTCCATTAACAGAGGCCAGACTTCACAATACCTCTCTCTGATGAGGTAAAAACAGCAGGAAGAAAAATGATATTATTTGTTTTCCCTGGGACAAAGTCAAAGGAGTAATAACAATACTATTTTTATTTTTAAAGATTTTATTTATTTATTTATTTATTTATTTATTTATTTATTTATGAGAGACCTAGAGAGAGAGGCAGAGACATAGGCAGAGGGAGAAGCAGAGAGCCTGATGCGGGACTGGATCCCCAGACAGGGGATCACACCTTGAGCTGAAGGCAGATGCTCAACCACTGAGCCACCTAGGCCTCCCAACAATGCTCCTTTTAAGTAGGGTCCAAAAAAAAAAAAAATAAGTAGGGTCCACAATAATGAAAATAGTTTTCATGGGGCCTCAGAAGAGGCCTTAATGTAAGGATTACATTACATCCTTAATTACATCCTTAATGTAAGGAGAGAGAGAGAGCAAAAGGGGTCATTCCCAGGATCCAATAGAAAAACTGAAATATGGATTTAATAGCCCTGAACTAGTGAATGATTTCCAGTTCACAGGACATATTTTGATTTGCCAAAAGACTGGTTCTCTCAGATAAAAGACACAACATTTTAATGATACCTTTCTGAACAGGTCCCTAAGGATTCAGTAAACCTGCTGTAGCATAGTATAATTCAGGGTGTCAAGTGCACCACCTGAGTCACAATGGGACTTAGCTACTAAATCCACTGTGGAGAAGAACAAATTAGGCGGATGGTTCTTAAAACCTGGGTTTATTTTGCCCGGGATTGCCATGACCTAGGTACAAGGTGAATTGTACTTTTTATTCATGGTCGGTTCTAAGGAGATTTATGATTTAAAAATATCACCAACATCTTGCATAAGTTTGTGATCGCAGTTAGGAGATGAAGGAGGCCTGGAATGATCTATTAGATTCATCACAGGGAATTTTTTTCAAACCACATGTAAGGGCTACCATTTTATGCACTTGCTTGCACAAATGTGAGTGTACCGTGTTCCTCAGGTGTGCAGGGGTGGGGAAAAGCTTCAGAAGCACAAACCTGACTTACTTGGCTATTTTATGCCAAGATGCCAGGGAGACGTGGAACTATATACTTTATTCTTACAAAAGTGTGAATAGAGGCAAATCCAAAGACTGTTTAGTTGGCAGAATGGAATGGCCTCCATAAACCAAGATAGGAACATTTTCATGTGTCAGACTCCTGGGGACTCTTGCTCTCCTTCACAGTGTCTTCAAATCGGCAAAATGTAACATCACAAACCAACCATTTCTCAATTTTTTCCTGTTTGATTAGTCTGAGAGGCTGACCCAACTGCCTACGTGTACAGTAGTTGTGCTTGTCACCTGACAAACATATGGATACACTCTGGCTGTGTTTTCAAGAGGCACAGACCTGTTTGAAGGTAATCAGATGCTTTGGTACTTTGGTGATGTCACTTAGATGATGTTACTTTATTTTTTGGTTTATACAATAATCATTTGGGAAATTATTTGCTCTCAAAGGAGAGAGGGAGAAAGAAGAGCAAGTACTATGACAAGTAAAGCAAAATTGAAAATCTATACTGGTCGGTGAGTCTTGGCAACAAGTAGGTTTTAATTTTTTAACGTTACTTACATTTTACTCCTTAAAATAATAATTTGAGACTATATTAAAAAATTATTTGTGCAAGAACAGTATACGTTAAAAAACATGTTTGAATGACTTTAGGAAAGAACAATATCTTTTAAAAAGCTACCTCTATGAAGAAATGGCAAAAGCAAATCTTTTTTTTTGGGGGGGGGGAACAAAAACAAATCTATGTAGAATTTGGTTTCTCACCCAAAAATCTTTCAAGAAGTGGTTCATCTAAATTTGGGGTTAACCTCAAAGGAGAAACATTTCTTTCTAACTGAATCCTTCATTTACAGTCAGACTGACTGGTAGCATGAAAAAGTCCTCAAGAAGAGATTGGGACACTTATCTACATTCAAGTATCAGCTCTCTGGAGATTAAGAAATTTGCAGTTATCAGAAATCAGGGACAAGTTGCAAGTAAGCATTTAAGTAGTCCGGGTAATATAGGGAGGTGTCAGCAAGTGTGAGTGATCAAGAAAATGTGACAGGATCGGAACACAAATCAATATCACAAAAAAAATCTATTAAATCAAAGACTATTGCTGGCTGCTAAGGGTTGGAGGTGGGTGGGTATTAGTTAGGGAATATTTACTGAGACCCTGATATTTGTCCGGCACAGAAATAAATGCTTTACTCTAATTACTTCATTTAATTGTCATTACTAGGTAGAAATGATTTTATAGTGATGAAGAAGCTTGGGGCACGTGGGTGGCTCAGTCAGCTAAGCATCCAACTCAGTTTTAGCTCAGGTGGGGAGATCAAGCCCCACACTGAGAATTAAGATTCTCTCTCTCCATCTCTTTATGTCCACCCCCCTGCTCGTGGGCCTGCTCTAAAAAAAAGAAGCTCATAGATATTAAATTTGTGCCCAGGAGCACAAAGTAGTGAGAGTCCTAAATCTATTTGTCTTTAAAACCTATATTACCATAAAGACACCAACTGTCTGCAAGGGTTATGTTTATGGAATTCTAGAAATGCATACTAATCTAGATTAGGGATTACATAAACCCTGCTTTGCACTACTCAGAAAGCATTAGGAGATCTGGTGCAGAGTGTTTGTGATGCTAAACAGTAGCTTTTTGATCCTCTGGAGGATGAAGGAGAGTTTAAGCATTGATTCCTGGGGAAACCAGTTTGGGGAAAGAGCTACAATTCATCTGACACAGGGAGGGAATGTCCCACTGAGACTAAGCTCCTGCAGTCAAACCAGAGAACCTGTGAGAAAGGTTATTTGGGCCCTGGGTAAGGATGGGGGTCAGGGTTTGAGGGGTCTTTGTGACTCTAGTTGGGGTTTCAGGCCTGGGCCTAGCAAACCATCGTTGCTGGGAATACCATCCTATCATTCTAACTCACCAACATTTATATAGGGCGACATAGGGCTAAGCACCGGGAATTTATAGATACTTCAAGGAGCTTAAACAGTAGTAAAAAATTACTGCTCATACTTCACGTTAGCCACTCTGGCTGCTTGACTGATTCTCAGACAGACAAATCGAACAGGCTCCAGTTTACAGTCCTTATCCTGAACTTCCCTCTTCTTTCCGCACAGCACAGCTACAGTCCTTATCACCTTTAACTCTTGGTTCGAATTTCACATGGATGAGGAATAATTGGCATATAACATGGTATTAGTTTCATGTGTACAACATAATGATTCGATATTTGTGTAAATGATCACCAAATAAGTCTAGTTAATGTCCATCCCCACCCACAGGTTTTTTTTTTTTCTCCTGATGAGAACTTTTTAAGATCTACTCTCTTAGCACCTTTCAAATATGTAACTCATATTTTATTTTTATCTTTTTAAAATTTTTTATTGGTGTTCAATTTACCTGTAACACATATTTTAAACTGTAGTCGCCGTGCTGAGCATTGCATCCCCATGTCCTATTTATTCCACTTCTTGATGGGGCCTGAAGTGATTGCCCTATTTATAATTGTACCTCCTCTTAACCCTAACCTTCACTACTAGACACTCCAGCCTCCCTTACTCTGCTTTATTTTTTTTTCCCAATGCATAAGGCATTTCAAACATTCTAGAAAGAAGACTGCTTAAGTTTGTTTCCCCTCACTAAATATAAGCCTCACGTTGGCAGTGATTTTATTTTTTTATCTATCTCTTCAGACCTATATCAAGCACCCAGAAGAATGTTTGACACATGGCAGGCACTCAGTACTACTTGTTGAATTAAATTGGACTAAATCTGATGCATTTGGCATAAGTACAATGTGTACTGGTCGCAGAGAAGAGTGTAGATCACTCCTGGTGGAGGAGGCAAGTCAGGGAAGGGTTAGTGGAAAAAGTATGTCTCAGCTAGAATTTAAAGATGAATGGGAATTGTCCACGCAGAAAGTGGGTAGGAAAAAATTGTAAGCAGAGAACATCACATACATTTAAGTGGGGGCGGGGGCACCTGGGTGGCTCGGTGGTTGAGCGTCTGCCTTTGGCTCATGTCCTGATCCCCGGGTCCCGGGATCGAGTTCCTTGTCAGGCTCCCTGAATGGAGCCTGCTTCTCCCTCTGCCTGTGTCTCGGCCTCTCTCTCTGTGTCTCTCATGAATAAATAAAATCTTCAATTAAAAAAGCCCAAAGAAGTGGGGGTGGCCCTAGAGTGGGATGGGTGAGGGCCAGCCTGGAAGAGGAAGCTAATCAGACAAGAGAAGTGTCCTGACTGCTGAATGTCTGAGAAGGAAGACAGGATGTCAGTTGTAGGGAAACGTACGGTGCAGAGTCTCTTTCTCTTCATACCCCGTTTTCATTTTCTTCTGTTACCAATGGGAGTCAAGGAGAGGACAGTGGCAGGTGGGGGGGGGGGTCAGTGTTTATTCCTGTCTGTTTCCTTCTTGCCAGGCTGCAGCCCCGGCAGCAGCTGCAACTGGTTTGTCACTACAGATCCTAGCAGCAGGACCCTCTTTAAAGGTTCCAGTTTCTTTTTTTTTTTTTTTCCAGTTTATTTATTTATTTATTTATTTATTTATTTAATTTATTTAGAGAGCCAGGGAAGGGATTGAGGGGGAGAGGGGAGGCAGAGGGAGAGACTCTCCAGCAGACTCCATGCTGAGCATGGAGCTTGAGGCTGGCTGGATTCCAGGACCCCCAGATTATGACCTGAGCCAAAGCCAAGAGTCGGAGGCTCGACAGACTGAGCCACCCAGGCGCCCCGAGGGCAGGTAGCTGGGGTCCAGGTAATCTGGTGCCAGGCAAGAGACAACTAGAGACCCAATATTTAGGAAGGCTCTGACCAGTAGGCATTGAGGATGTCAGACTTTGGGACACGAGTCAGCATCTTCTGAAGTGAAGCTTATTTAAATGCATCCTGTGCGCACCTCAGACTGGTCTCAATAGCTTTTGGGGGGAGGGGGGGCAAGCCGGCTCTGAACACAGCTTTAAGAGGATCCACCCACATTTGTGCTTAGCAAACATAATTCCAGGCTCGGCAAACCAGAAGTTGTCGACTATGGATGGTGTGGGAGTGTGTTGTTGGGGATGAGGGGGTGTCTGTGACTCCTCACAGGCCCATAATCATAAGCATCTGTGAATGTTTCCTACGTGCCAGTCACTGCTGAGAGCTTGACTGCCCCCAACTCTTTTAATCCTGGCAACAGTCCCATTATGTAGGCGCTTCCCGGAGGCCAAGGTTCCAGATGAGAAAACCGGTAGGAGAGAGAAGCTCCAGGTGTCACCTAGGATCCTGCGACAGGGGATCAAGCTGGGCTGGGCGGCCTGGTCCCGGGCCTGCCCTCTCCTGCACCCCTGGACCTGGGGCTGCGCTCCCGTGCGGTCTTCATCTCCAGCGGCTCAGCACCTTGCACGATGCTCTGCACGCCGGGGGTGACCTGTCGGGGGGCGGGGAGGGGGGGCTGTGTCCCCTGTGGTCTTCATCTCTAGCAGCTCAGCACCTCGCACGATGGCCCGCACGCCGGGGGTGACCTGGGGGGGGTGCTGTGTCCCATGTGGTCTTCATCTCCAGAGGCTCAGCACCTCGCACGATGGCGGGGGTGACCTGGGGGTGGGTGGGTGCTGTGCTCCTGCGTGGTCTTCATCTCCAGCGGCTCAGCACCTTGCACGATGCTCGGCTCCCCGGGGGTGACCTGGGGGTGGGTGCTGTGTCCCGTGTGGTCTTCATCTCCAGCGGCTCAGCGCCTCGCACGATGGCCCGCACGCCGCGGGTGCTTCGTCGTTACCTGTGGATGCAACGAACGACGTAGTTGCGCGGGGCCGGAGGAGGGGGGGGGCAGCGGCCGCTCGGGACGTGGCCGAGTGTCGCCGGGGGCGCGGCGCCGCGGGGTGGGTCCGGGCCACAGCCGCCACCGAGCGGGGCCTCGGCTCAGCCTCGGCTTTGGATCGGCGCGGGCAGGGAGAGGCCGGGCGGCAGCGCCCCGGACAAACCAGAAAAACCGCCTCCTGGGCGCGGCGGCTCTCCCCGCCCCCGAGCCCGCGCCGTCCCGCCCCGCCCGCCGCCCGAGGTCGCCCCGCCCGCCGCCCGAGGTCGGCCCGCCGCGCCCGGGGCAGGGGAAGGGGAGGGGAGGGAGGGAGGGGGGGCGGGGTGCGAGGCGGCGGGAGCCCGTGTGGACTTTGCCCCTGCGTGCGTGCGCGCTGCTGCCGCGGGCTGCTCGGCCTCCTCCGCCGTCCATGGAAGGGCCCAGATCCCCGTCGCCGGGGGAAGACCTGGAGCTCCTGGCGCTCGGGGGGCCGGCGGACGAGCAGAAGCCCCTCAATGGCACCGTGCAGGTGGTCCCTGTCTCGGGCGGGGAGCCCCGCCCGGCCCAGGTAAGGGCGGCCGGCGCCGCGGGGGGTCCGGAGCCGAGCGCTGGGGGCGCGCCCCGGACGCTCCTCCCGGCTGCAGAGGGAACCTCCAGGGACAGAGGCGGTTTCCAGAGCCCTGGGACTTGGGATCCCGCCCTTTCTTTCCGCAGCCGGGGGAACCGGAGGGGCAGACGGGGTCTTCCTCTCCTTGCCTGGGCCTCCCCGCCTCCCCAGCCCCACCCCGCGGCGCACATCCCCTGGACGCACACAGCCTACACCCCCCCCCCCCATCTGCCCAAGACACAGGCAAGAGGCGAGTGTGAACTTGCCCCGCTCAGCTGATGGGAAGTGAGTTCACAGGTGTTTGTCCCCAGACTGTGCCTCAGTCGCTCTCCCTGCTCTGGGTCTCCGGGGGAGCCGGTGGTGTTCAGGCTGAGCTCTCTTGGGAACAGTGTTTTTCTCAGCAAATGCTTATAAAGCAGCAGAGACTTTGAATTCACAGCCCTGTACCTTCTGATGAACCCCTGCCGCTGGCTTGAGGTTTTCGGGGTGCTCCGAGCTCCCCAGATGGATGGCTCCAACCTGATCTTCCTAGGTCTCACTTCTCCACCCCTTCCCCTTTGACTCATCATCCTGTTGATTCCAGGGATAAGCAAGGACATCAAAAAGGGAGAGCATTGCTTTTGCTTCCACATTGATTCCTGGAAAGACTGGAGCGTCTGCTTTCCTAAGCACCTGTAGGTGCCCTGGAGACTGACTTGGGACTTTATGTTTGAATGATAGAGGAACACCGTGGAAGAATGAAGGTGGTGGGGGGGGGGTGACTGGGTGACGGGCACTGAGGGGGGCACTTGATGGGATGAGCACTGGGTGTTATTCTATATGTTGGCAAATTGAACACCAATAAAAAATAAATTTATATATATATATATATATATAAAGAAGAATGAAGGTTGAGGAAGATGCTCTGTTCTCTGTGCAGGGGCCACAGCTGTGGGCTGGCTGTGTGGGTCCTCCAAGGCAGGGTCCAGGAATGGATTTTGGAACACTTGCTTCCTGGAAGGTAGATCCATGCCACACCAACGACTCCTGGGACTGAATCCAGCGATAGGGGTTTTGGTGACAATTTCACCACTAAAAGGTGAAATTGCTCTGTGGCAAGGTGCCGAGGTCTGTATGTTCCCCGCAGTCAAATGGTTAAGGTAAAGTGGGTAGCCGGGCTTCCCTGGGAGGCCTGGGCATGCTTCGCTGGAAACAGATTGAGTAGGAGAACATGTCACATGTATGTAGGGCATCAGTATTTTATAATTGTTTAGTGCCTACCCAGGAGAGATTGCTCTTTCATGTTCTAATTACTTCCTCATCAGCCAGCTGTACACTGAGAGCCTAGACTTCCTTGTGAATTAGCTTTGTAGGTCACCAATTAGGAAAAACTAGAATGGCGTGAAGGTGAAGGGTTGCATGAGCACTTGGGGGGCATTCGAATATCTGAACAGGAAACATTTAAAAATGGGAGGGGAATCCTCATTTCATGTGTTAATCGTTCTCTTTGGTTCCATAGAATAAATTGAAGTGTATTTTTTAAAAGATTTATTTATCTATCTATTTATGTATTGAGAGAGAGAGAGAGAGGGAGAGCATGCACACGCACAAGCAGGGGGATGGGCAGGGGGAGAAAGAGAATCTCAAGAAGACTCCACACCCAGCTTGGGACCTTTGGGAAGACGATATCCCACCTCATGGGTGACTTCCTGGTTGGAAGGGATTATCTGGGAGAGTCTACGAAGGCAGTGGAAAGAATTTCTTTCCCTTGCTTATTCTGGGCTTGGAACGTTAGGGGAAATTAGCCCCATTGCTAGGTATTGTTTAGAATTTAGGACAAGAATGAGGTGGATTTTCAGTGTGTGGACAAGTGGATTAAATCCCACAATGAGATTATAAAGTAGAGCGATTTTCTTACATGCTAAGAAAATTTTTCTGGATGTATATAACATCTGCTCCTAATAGAGACAAAAAAGAAGAAAAGCCTTTGTATCCAAGAGAGAAGTAACCCTGCCATTGTCGCAGGGCCCTATGTCATGTATTTGGATCCTTATCTGAAGAGGAATGTGACTGTTTGGGGGACTGTTTGGAGGAAAGCCACAAAAATTCTCCAGCCATATAATGCAATCCTAGAATATAAGATGTAGTTCGCAAAAATCTCTGGAAAGTACCCTGCAGAAAAACCTGCCCGTGGCGTCTCCTCGTGACCTAGAACTTGGGCATGAGAGAAAGAAGATGCTAATGAAGGAGGCAGTGTTGTGTCGTTGTGATCTGATTTTTAGGGGAGTCTCAGCACAGGTGACACACACCTAGTGTATCGGGGGCTCTTCACTCCCAGGACACAGTTCCTGGGGGAACTTCTTAAAAATACAGATTTCTTGGTCAACACTCATGTGCAGAGTTGAAAGTAATTTATTCCTAGGGTGAGAGTAAGCTGATGGAATCCTTCCCCATGACTTAAAGTCTGTGAAGATTAATTTTGCAAAGGACAGTGGCTCTCCCCTAGGGCTGATGGCAGATGGTGAAGCTGTAGGTTGGCCGCTTTCAGCTGGACGGGAAGAGGCATTTCTTATAGGCGAGGGCTGTGTCCCTGGGAGGTGACCATCCCTAGGGAGTCACAGTAATGGTCCCCTCATACCACCAGGGTCCTAGCTTACTATTTCTAAGGGGAAACATATGTGAAGGCACAAGAGGCCAAAGAGGTTCACCAACTCTCATTTTGTGGCTCATCTGAGGCTCCAGCCCCTTTCGTTTTGCACTAATCTTAGTGTCCGGGCTGCCCCTTGTAGAAGGACTGAGTAGGGCAGGAGGTCATTTTGTTCTCACGAGCTCTGTAAGTAGGAAGATACGTTTCTGTTCCCTGGGAAGTTGAAGATTCCTTGTACTGGGACGTTTTCCCCCATGTGCCTTATTGAGCCCTTGGCTCTGGTGGCTCTGGCGCAGTTTTCAGCCTGGGGGCGGGGGTGAGAGGTGGCCCTGCCCTTGGACTCCAGAAACACACTTACCTCAAGAGCAGTCTCTTCTGTCCAAGTGTTCCCTTTATTACTCCTGTCACACCGGAACCGAAGAGGCTCCGAAGTGTGACCTCTACTCTGCAATTCCTCAAAGTGCCCTCTTAAAAATTCTAGAACCCTCTATGACTCAGCAACACACACGAATTCAGTGCTCAATACCTGAATGAGCCACAGATGTGGGTTTACAAGAACGAGGAAGTTTAAGAACCACCCTCCTTCTATCTGGTTTCTGTTTACCTTGGAAGATAGGCCGGTATCTGTTTATATTTGAACATGAAACCAGACAAAGCAGGGACAAATGAGCAGTGTGGACAGCTCACGTCCTGGGGGATCTCTCCATGGGTGATGTGGCAGGGAGGCCTCCGCAAACGGAGAGGTCTGACCTGGCTCCTGGAGAGTGATGGGGCTTCAGAACGGAAGTCTCAACCCTGATAAAGCACCTGATTCGCTCTGGGAGGCTCAAAATACAGACTGGACAGGGGGGGTGGTGTCCACCTGGGCGGCTCGGTCGGTTAGGTATCTGCCTTCCGTCCAGGTCATGATCTCAGGGTCCTGGGATCGAGTCCTGCATCAAGTCTGCTTCTCCCTCTCCCCCTGCCCCTGCCTCTCTCCCTCAAATGAATAAAGAAAAAAAAAATAATAATAACATTAAAGACTGGGGCCTACCCCCACCTCCTCTACGATCTGGTCCCCTGTGTCCAGGTAGGGCCTAGCTGTGTGCATTTAAGTTCCTCCTCCGCTGGGTTCTGATGTGCAGCCAGGCTTGGGAACCTCTCGCTGAGCAAGGTTGAACTGTAGTCCTAAAGTGAACAATTTCCTTTCCTTGTGGCCATCATGCCACAATCACGATGGGAGAGAAAGTGAACCAGGTGCCAGTTCGGGGCAAGGCCGCAGAAGTGCTGCTCTGTGGGCCTGGAGAACACTGAGTAATGATGCCTCCCACGTGTTGGGTTCCTAATCTTTGTTTAGCAGGTGCCTCACGTACGCCATCTAGTTTGTACAACAGCCCTGTGAGCTAGCTTTCTTATTTTTACAGTTGATGATGTTGGAGCTTCAGTCACTTGCGGAGTGAGCCAGTTGCTCGGCTTCTACGTGTGAGAAGGGAATGCCTCTATAGAAACACCTTTTCCCCATCGTGGCCCAAGGTGTCTGTGTGGGAATTCCTTATTGGCTCAGGGGGAAGCAGGGGCACGAGGTGGCCCCGAGTGGTGGCACCCCTGTGGCAGCCAGGCACGCTCATAACCCGGAGCTCTGCACGGTGACACGGGGCAGTGGACAAAAGGTGCCAGCTTTGCAGTGACCCGCAGCGGGGATCCGCCCTGGCCACTCTCTCACTGCGCCTTGGAGACGAGCTAATGGGTCCCTTGCAGGCCTGTTAGACCAAAATGAGATGGTGTTGGTGATCAGTTGACCATGGCAGTCATGGCCTTACTCAACCCACTGCAGCTCCCATCCTTCTTTCCTTTGGTTTCCCATCCCAGGCCCTAATTACGTGGTGTGGGGCACAGCGGTAGCCCCTTCGCCTTTTCTTGGTGCGTCCACTCTAAACCATACATCCTTTTGTTCTTTGTCTTCAGCTCAGCTCTTGTGCTACAAAACCTTCCACAGGTCCCCAGCACACACCGGGGTGGGTCCAGATGGCTCTGGCAGCATCCAAAACCCTCTCAAGTATCCTCCAGCCTTTCACCATCCCTAATCTTAACAATCATTACTCACCTCTGGAGCCCACAGTCCCATCAGAGGGGCCTCTTGGCCAACTCCATTTTGAATCAGCATTGAGGATGCTCCCTCCTGGCTTTGGAATGCCTTTCTCCATCCATCCTTCAAAATCCTGCCTTTCCCTCCCACCTCAGAGCTCCCAGGGTATTTTCTACCTCATATTTAAAAAAAATACATATTTATTTATTTGAGAGAGAGGGAGGGCACATGTGCGTGCAAGCAGTGGGGGTAGAGGGGGAAGGGGGGGAGGGAGAGGGAGAAGCAGACTCTTCTAAGCAGGGAGGCTAAGCAGGGAGCCAGACTCTGGGCTCCATCCCAGGATCCTGGGGTCATGACCTGAGCCACCGACTGAGCCACCCAGAGCCCCTCCCTCACTCTTGTGTGAGGTTCCATTCTGCTTCTTTGTAAACCTCACTGTGGAGTGTGGGCCCTGGACGGCAGGATCCTGCTGCCTTCGTTTCGGTATCACTGGCCCTTTACAAACCTTCAGAAGTGCTTCCCGAAACCAGTCATCGCCTCACAGTGTCTCTCTGCTTTCCAGGCCAACAAGGAGAACCCTTGGAGCTCCTGTAATAAGAAACTGATTGGGAAGTGCAAACTGTGGATGGTCATCGCCTCTGTTTTCGTAGGTCTCATTGTAGTGATCGTCGTAAGCTTGTGTCTTATTGGAGGTAAGAGGATTGAAACAGGACTGAGGTGATGCATTTCAAGAACTTCTTTAATGTTTGCTTATGACTTACATCCATATGGAAGATGTGCTCATTGCTATTTCATGATTTATAATATGAATTTAAAACTGGTTTTAATTCATATTAAAAATTTGGGAATTTGGGATTGTTGTATGGGTGGTAGCTATCCATGGTCCTTTGTTTTATTTCATTTTTTTTGTTTGTTTAATAAGCTCTGAAAGAAGTCTGGAGACCAGTGTTTTACTTTAAATAATCTGCTCACTGGATCTTGAAGATTACTTAAGCTTTAGCTTAAACACTAATTTGTATTTTATTGTGTCTCTACACCTGCTTATTTGAAAGTTTCTTCTTCTCAGTTGTTTCACAAAATAATCGTTGTACTTCATCTGATATACCTAGTCCATTATTATAATGACAAATAATGAATAGCCCATTTGAAAGCATCTTAAAAACTTTATGGAACCATGTATCTATGTGATGTCATTACTTTAACTTATTTTGGAAATACCTTCATTATATTTGTGTTGTATGTGTTTACAAAGCAAACTTGAATCAGATTCTTTTTAATAAACCCAATATTGGATGAGAAACCCCTGAGTCTCTCCAGAAGAGGTTCTGGGAAATTTCTTTAGGAACTACAGTTGCCCTTCACCTCCTGTCCCTTCTCCCAGTCTCTTCCTCTCCTCTCAAGGTGTTAAAGTCCATGAAGAAATAGGAAAATCTTTTTTTTTATTTTAAAGATTTTATTTATTTATTCATAGAGACACAGAAAAAGAGAGGGAGAGAGAGGCAGAGACACAGGCAGAGGGAGAAGTAGGCTCCATGCAGGGACCCTGACTGTGGGACTCGTCCCAGGTCTCCAGGATCACGCCTTGGGCTGAAGGTGCCACTAAACCACTGAGCCACCCACCCGGGCTGCCCAGAAATAGGAAAATCTGATGACATATGCCAACCTCCAGCGTGTGAGTTTCTCAGGCAGGTGCCATGTTTGCTTAGTTACTTAGGGCAGAGTTGAGGTGACATGATGGTGATCCTTTGAGGCCGCAGGCTGGTTTCGAGGTAGGGAGAAGTTGATAAGGGGTGCTACACCTCCTCCGAAATGCTGAGGATAAGAGTTTTGATGTGAGCTTTCATACTCCCTCTTCCCATCAACTCCCACTCCTGGGTGTTGAAACTGAAGTTGAGCCATGCAGCCTTTTCCCATCGCAATTAGGTGGTGCTATCCTGAACATTGGCTAATTTGTCTGTTGGCATCTGGGGCCTGTAACCAAGGACAATGCAACAGATCCAGCTGGTTTATTTTTTTATTTTATTTTTTAAAAGATTTTATTTATTTATTCATGGGAGACACACACACACACACACAGAGAGAGAGAGAGAGAGAGAGAGAGAGACAGACAGACAGAGACACAGGCAGAGGGAGAAGCAGGCTCCATGCAGGGAGCTGGATATGGGACTCGATCCCAGGTCCCCAGGATCACGCCCTGGACCGAAGGCAGACGCTTAACCTCTGAGCCACCCAGGCGTCCCGGGCCAGGATTAATATTCTATTAATATCCGGTTTAATATTCAGGATTCTAGAGCACAAGACCCAAGAGCTGTCTTCCATTCTCAGAAATCATCGGACCTCTTCACCGCACCACAGCCATCTGCAGAGGAAGGGAGTCCATTTCCTTCCATAGTTTCTCAAGGGATGTGAGAGTTCATAGGACAACATTCAGGGAAGAACTCTGTAACACTTGTAGTAGCAAACTTCATTTTCCATTTGGTTATAAGACTGTATTTGCAAATGCTAATGCTGTAAAGAGATTTGCAGACTTGCACATTTTTTTAATTGGAGAAATACTTTTAGTTTACGTGGCACCTCAGCCCTCAGGGGTTTGTGCCTTTGGGGGGGAGTCATGGTAGGTGGTATAGGAGTGGGGTTGGGGGAATGCAATAGGTAAAAGGGGTGGGGACAGGGCTCCCCTCCTTGACAGTCCCAGCCTCACCCAGAGTGGCTCCGTAGGTTCTTCTTGGATGACAGTAACCAATGATTGGGGATCCCTGGGTGGCTCAGTGGTTTGGCGCCTGCCTTTAGCCCAGGGCGTGATCCTGGAGTCCTGGGATCGAGTCCCACGTCAGGCTCCCTGTATGGAGCCTGCTTCTCCCTCTGCCTGCCCCTCTCTCTCTCTCTCTCTCTCTCTCTCTCTCATGAATAAATAAATAAAAATTTAAAAAATCTTAAAAAAAAAAACAATGATTGGCCATTGCCTCTTTGGCAAGCCTCAGTGATAGGAATAGAATTTATAGAGCTTCTGAGCTCTGTGTGGAAAACACTGCTGGCTGGAAAAGCTCAGTGTTAGGAGAGTTAAGGACTGCGCTTATGGCTGGCTTCATTGAGAAGTGAGGTTTCGGGACACCCGGGTGGCTCAGCGGTTGAGCATCTACCTTCAGCTCAGGGCGTGATCCTGGAGTCCTGGGATCGAGTCCCATACTGGGCTCCCTGCCTGGAGCCTGCTTCTCCCTCTGCCTGTGTCTCTGCCTCTCTTTCTGTATATCTCATGAATAAATAAATAAAATCTTTTTTTACATTTTTAAAATTTAAATTAAATTTGCCAGCATGTAGTATAACACGCAGTGCTCATCCCATCAAGTGCCCTCCTCAGTGCCCATCGCAATAAATAAAATCCTAACAAAAAAAGGAAGTGAGGTTCCTCAGGAGCTCTTGCCCTTTTGCCCTTTTGCCTCCTCCTTCCTCTCCCCCAGCTCCTCACTCTCCCGTCACAGGGCTCTGTAGTAGCTGCGGCTCAGAGGCTGAGGTGTTAATAACCCTGGAGCTGGAGTGGACACAGAAGTGGACCATGAACGGGTCCCAGTTAGAAGGGGGAACGAGTTGAGGAAGGGAGGAGGGGACAGTGGGGTGCCCAGGGTGAAGTGTTCGGTGCAGAGGTATATCTTGTCGCTGACACTGCTGAGGACCACCGTCCACCCTACAAACTGTACACCGTTAATTGCCTGCATCTGGGGTGGGTGTCCCACCGCTCTGCCTTTGACGTGCCATTGAAGTGATGGCAAATTCAGGACCATGGCTCAGCTCAAGGCGCTGAGCTGGGGCTGCACCCACACTGTGCAGGAGAGGCTTATGGTAGTGAAATCTTTTTAAAGCGTCCAATTTGGGGAGCAAAGCCCAGGGAATCCTGTTGAGTCTGGAGGCTTGGTTTTGTCTTCAGTTCATGAGGGAAAAGATAATGATGGCTTCTCTTTGTCTCCCTAAAGAGGTATAAATTCCTTGATGTAAATGGAAAGGAGAAAAAAAAAAAAGCCTTCACCTCTCTCTCAAAGTCATCTTTCTGGGTAATTTGGAGGATCAGTTAATTAAGCATCCTCTGGGGTTCTTCTGCCTTTTTCACCTATTTGCCCCAGCCAGGGAGGGGAGAGGAGCACCCCTAGTAAAGAAACCCCTACTGGAGTGGGCAAAGTATTTTAAATATTATAAAAGCCAAACTGTGAAACTGTGACAGGTAGGTGGATACTTGGAGATATAATTTAAAGGTGATCAAAGTTAACACTCCAAGGACCCTTATGTGATATTCCCCAGCATTATGGCTTTCTGTCTGACTTCTGAACTCTCTTCCCATACAGGTTTTTCTTAGAGTGGGAACGCTACGGTACTGAGATAGAGCCAGGGACTTCACAAGGGCCATGGGTTGGATTGTTTTGCCTTTGAGCTGGGTGTAAGAGCCACGGTTTATGCTCTCACAGTGTGTTGGCAGGCAGGCAGGTTGCACAGGGCAGTGCTCCCTGGTGTAGGGTGACTCATGGGAAAACCCTTGGCAGACAGCATTAGCAAACAAGCCAGGTCCTTGGGGTAGGAACTTGGCAAAACTCTAGGCCCTGTTCCTTGAAGTTTCCTTGTGTTTTCACCTGTTGTCTCCAATCTCATATGGTATCTCCATGTCTCACTAAGCATCTTCAGGCTCTTCTCAACTTGGGCCGGCCTCTTCCAATGTGTTGGTTAGCATGGTCTGTCCTTCAAAACTTTCTTCCGTCGGAATCCTGCTCCTTCATTTGAGGAATTTTTTTCTCTTGAACTTTTTTCACTGGCAAACTTCTAGAAACAGAGGTCTGCATTTGGATCTTGCCTCCTGCTCACTCCTAACCCATTGGTTCCAAGTTGTATTTCCCGAGGTTAGCAGTAATTGCTTGAGCGCGAAGCCCAATGGCCTTTCCCCCATCCCTGCCCTACTTGCAGCCTTCAGCTCTGTTGAGTGTATTGTACTCTTGTGGGTCTAGAGAACTCCTGGACCTTACATCTCCTGCTGTTTCTGCCCTTGGCGTCCACATGCGGTGCATGAGGCTTGTCTTCACACACTGCATCCTTTGCCTTGAGGATCTCATTTACTGCCAAGGCAGCAGCCACCCCTCTTACATGTGACTCGTAGAGCTGCATCCACACACTTTTCCTGAGATTTAGTCATACTCTTTGTTGAAGATCTCTACCTGGCAATAACCACCTCAGTCATTGCATGAAACTATTTGTTTGTATCCCCTTCTTCCCCAGTTAGCTCACTCTTTATAGTTTCACAGTCAAGCTCTAGCTCTGGTACCCTTCCATTTGTGCAACTTCGGGCAAATTCTTTCAGACACCCCCCCACCTTGACCTCAGGTTCCACATTTGTAAAATATAAAAAAAATCACTGAATCTGAGTCTGTAAATGGACCTTGACTCTCCTGCTTACTAGCTCAGTTGACCTGAACAAATTATGCATTTTCTTGAAGCTTCAGCATCTTCATTTAAAAATGAAAACATCAAAATGTAACTCAGAGGGTTGATTTCTAAAATTTACTTAAAAGAGTGTGTGTGTGTGTGGGGGGGGGCAGGTGGAGAGGGAGAAGCAGAGCCATGTGGGGCTCGTTCCCAGGACACTGAGATCATGACCTGAGCCAAAGGCAGATGCTTAACTGACTGAGCCACCCAGGCACCTGATGGGGTTGATTTGAGCAATTCTCAAGTGCATAGCTGAGTGTACGTAATGCTTGGTACAGCAGCTATTTTTCTTGTTGTCTGGGCCTGATATCTTGAACTTTTTCTGATCCCTTCTTGTCTCCTATGTCTAGGTAGTGGCCAAACCTCACCCAGTCTTATCCAATCATTCCTTGGTAGTGTCTTGATAGCAACTTTCATCAGTACCTGCCTGCTTCCTGCGGGGCACCCTGCCGGGATACTTTTATGTGTTGGTCTTCACCTTTCCCATCTCCATGGACATGTTGATATTTGTGCTGAGAAAACAACCTCAGAGACTTAAGTGACTGGCTCAGATTCCATGGCTAAGAACTATTAGCCAACCCTGAGGTTCAAACGAAGTCTGGCTACCGGGAAAGCCAGCTGTTTCTGCCATCGCAGGCTTTCCCCTACCCTCCTCCTTCCTTCTGGGTGCCACTGCCCTTCGGTCAAAATCAGTCTCTCCCAATCCTATGTCTAGTGGCCTCTCTGCCTCATCTCTCCCAGTTAGTTCCCTTGCTTCCCACCCATCACCAGATTTTCCTCCACTTCTTTCCTGGGAGACATTTGACAACCTTCATCATCTCCTGAATACATCTGGCATTTCAGGGTACTTTTTGCAAGGAATTCCAAACACGGCGGGGGAGGGGGGGTGGCTTTTGTTATGTTAACAATAGGAGGATCAAGGCAGATAAAGCAATGACAGTAACAAACAACAAAAAGTAGGATACAAATTACCTTTTCATTAAGACTTTTAAAAAATTATTTATTTGACAGAGAGAGAGAGAGTGAGAGAATGAGTGAGAGAGCATGTGCAGGGGGAGGGGCAGAGCCAGAAGGAGAAGCAGATGTTCCTTTGAGCAGGGAGCCTGACTCAGGGCTTGATCCCAGAGCCCTGAGATCATGACCTGAGCCCAAGGCAGGCGCTTAACCATCTGAGCCACCCAGGTGCTCCAACACTTAAAATATATAACATAAAATGTGGGGGGAAACTCATTGATTAAAGGGTTAGCAGTATTTTTTTTCTTGTTTTGCTGCAATTTCCTGTACTTGACAAGTTTTCAGCTACGAGGACATAACTTTATTGTCAGACCAAATAGTGTAATGACTTGCAACAAATAAGGGTGTGGGAATAATTCCCTATGTTTGGGGTCCTCAAAATCACTCCTAGATCTAGTGATTTGCTGGGAGAATTCATGGGGCTCAGCATATAGTCATAGAGATGATTATAGACGAGAGCAAAGGCAAAAAAGGAAATGTAGATAAAATGAAATTCCTCATAACCTGCAGCCCATTGACAAATACTTGAGTGGGGACTGGGACATTCCTCTGGGAACTCCCAACTGTCTTCAGGTTAACGCCTTGCTGGACGGGAAAAACAAACCACCCCAGCTTGACAATAGCTAGGCCTCCAGGATTCCATTAAGTCTTCTTTAACAAGTGAAAATCCTTCTGGAAACTTCCTTTTTCTCCGCCCCTCCTAACCTAAAAGTAATAATGCATGGCTCCTTAAGACCTGAGTGCAGCTCTTTCTGCCTGTAGGTCCCGTCCCCCTGCTTTAATAAAACCACCTTTTTGGCCCCCAAAACATATCACAAATTCTTTCTTGGCCATTCGCTCCCAGACCCCATGTCAAATCACATCAGTCGAGACTCATCGTAGCAGAATGGAGAGGAAACCAGGCATGAAGGCGAGGACACGCTTAATTGCTGCAATGATGAGATGCAACAACACAAGAGAAGTGCTGTCCACCGGGGCGCCCGTCTGGGGCTCTGTGCGGGGAGCTGGGGTTGGATCCAGCAGGTGGCTTCTGCCTGGAACATACTAAAATTCCAGCTGCCCAGAGGGAAGGGTGTTCAGCGTAAGCCGGGTTGTTCATACCAGGGTTCTGAGGCACAGTGAGGCCCTCCTGGGAGGGGAAGGAGGGAACCCTCCCCAGACCCAGGGTCCCCGAGGCCAGCCAGGGCCCCGCCTTGCACAGGCCTCTCTGCACTGGTCACTCAGGCCCTGTGAACTCTTGTCTGCACATCCCCTTGCTCCTTGGGTCTCACATTTCCTGAACTTTCTCAGGGAATAAGAATCCGGATTCTTACTTCTTTTCACCTGCCTTCCCGCAGCCTTTCCAAAGTCCAGCAAAAGTGGCTGCTTAGGTTATGTCTGAAGCATGAGGTCTGCGAGTCAGGTCTAAGGCAGCATAGCTCTGGTTGCGCCACCCACGCCTTTCTCAGGGCCCCAGAGGCTGGGATCCTGCGGCCCAGCCAGCAGTCGAGGAGCCCGGGAGCAGAGTGAGCACCTCGAGTGCCAGCCTCCAGCTCCTGGCTCCTGACCTGCTGTGTTTTTCCTTTGGCTTTAACTGCTTAACAGTCCATTAGCTCACCACGATTAGAGCCCCAGCAGCCGCACAGAACTCACTGTGCCAGGAATGCCAGGCCTTCGGGCCCTGGGGCTCTGAGTGCACTTTGGTTTCCCTTCTACAAACACAGTGTGTCAGAAGAGAGAGAGAGAGAGAGAGAGAGAGAGAGAGAGAGAGAGAGAGAGAGAGTCAACATTTCTCTCCCGTGGGACAGACTGCAGAGGGGTGGCTTCATGCCCATCCCTTGTCTGCTGGGAGATTCCAAGACATGGCTCACGTGCTCACGTCTAGTCCCTGCTCTGCTCTGTTCTGGTCCATGACATCGTCCCCTCCTCATCCTGGTCTCTAACGGCCCAGTACTAAGGTGATTCACTGATGTTCCTTGCTCCCAATCCCTGTCCCCTCCTGCCACCCCCATCGTTCAGCCCGTGTAGACCCTCTCCAAGCACCTGCCTTGACACCCGTGTACGGAACTAAAGCGACAGGTTCCATTTAGCCAAGAAATTCATGTTCTTCCCACATCCTCCCACTGGCTTTGCCCCCAGTTTGTATTCACTGGAATCTGGGACCTCTTATGCGTTAAAACAAACAAAATTTTTATCACAACGGAGGCAAGCCACTGTCTTTATTTGGGGTCACTGAGGAGACAAAGCATTTCTGCTTGTACTTGCTGACTGTGTCAGGCTTTCTCCTTGATCAATGCTCATTGGCCGATGTGTGTAAGCATGTGTTTCCTTTCCTTTTAATCACCTCCTTTTAGTAACTTACATCGACGAAGATGCAAACGAAATACTTGAATTATCATCAAATAAAACCTTCTTGGTCATGCTGAAGATTCCAGAGGAGTGTGTTACTGAAGAGGAATTGCCTCACTTGCTCACCAAAAGGGTAATTATATCTTCAGCATTGTTGACAGAGTTCTTAACATTAGAATGCGGATTCTTCCAGAAGAGTGGGCCTGGCACTGTCAAGTAAGTAGCTGCAGGCTTGGCTTCTTTGTCTGGATTTTGGCAGAAAAAGATGCTTAGAAGTGGTTTTTCTATAGTGCAAAGGGCTGAGAGAAGAGCCCTACCCTCCACGGAAAGGGGCCCTGGAGTGAAGCAGGAGAGCTAAGTTCTTGTCTCACGGAGTCCAAGAATGAATCTTGAGGACAAAGGAGAGTGAGTAAAGAGACAGAAGTTTATTAAGCAAGGATACAGAAAAAAGCTGTCAGGAGTGAGATGGGTCCCGACAGGGTCACCACCGTGGGCCCCCGCTGACAGTCTTTTATGTAGAACTGACCAGCTTGTGGCCTTATGATTCTTGTGATGTCTTGGTTTGAGTAAGGACCGGTGATGACATCTCTAACAACTTACTTCTTTGGGGGGCGGGGGGCTGGTTATTCTTTGTTGGTCACAGATAACTGTCGTAAAAAAGTCCTCTTCCCCACCCACACCTAGGACAGGGTGGCCTGGTTTGTTCCCTTATCTCTGGTTTCCTTACATGTCAGCATTTTGGGGATTCCTGTGAGCCTGACCCCGTAGCCCCCTACCGTACCCCCACCTGTCCCTTACTCAGGAGGACCGTGTTCTGTTTCCTCACTCTGGTCTTACGTTTGATTCAACCTGTAGTGTCCCTGAGGATCTGCGATGTGCCAGAAAATATGCCAAGTGTCAGGGCCCCCAGTCCAAGTGGAGGCAACAGTTAAATGGATAGTTCTAAAAAAGTGTGAAGTGTTTTCTCATGGAGGCACGCACAGAATATTTGACAAGCACCAAGGAGGGTCATCTAAACTACCTGGGGTTGGGATGGAAAGGACTTGGAGGACTTCTTGCAGGAAGTGCTACTCAGGATGAGTCTTGAAAGATGAGGCAGGAGTGTTCTTGATCAAAGAGCAGAGATCGCTAGGGGGTCTGCACTGCAGTGTCCTGCTGCCTCGGCCTACAGTGTGGTGGGGACCTGCAGGGATGAGGCATGAAGGTGTTCCTACTCTTTGGTAAGGCACTGAAGCATTTTCATCTGCTTGTTGACATGGTCAGCTTTTCATTTTAGTCCTGCTGTGTGGTGGTGGAGAAATCCTGGAGGCTGAGAGCTTAGTTAGAAGGTACTGCAGTAAGTCGTCCTGGTGATCAATGTGGGGGCCTCGACCCAGTGAAGTGGCAGGAGGGATATGGAGGATTCAAGAGACATTTACGAGATCTTTTTACTCAGTGGGACTTTATGGCTGGTGGGATGTGGGAGTCAGGGAGAACACGACTCCAGGCTCCTGGTTCGGTGACCTAGTGGGTGGATGGTGGCTTTGTTCTGTGGAGCAGGAAATGCAGGAGAAGGTCCTTTGTGCAATACAAGGACATGCATCCTCACCGTGAGTGTTAGTTGGGTTCATAGCCAGACCCAGAAAAGTATTTGATAAGACAATCTAAGCAAGTCTAGCCTGCCATCCATTGCACTCTTCTCTGCAGTTGATAGATAGGTGGAATGGTGTGAGTCACCTTCATTTAGTTTCCATCTGATTCCTACAAAAGCTTGGCCAGGAGGGGATTCCATCTCGGTCACCCCAGAGTTAGTTTCTGGGTACCCAAGTGCATGTTATTTGATTGCTCCTTGATCACAAGAGTTTGTGCTCTGAGATGATGACCTGGGCTTCTCTTCCTCCTTCTTTTGCTTGTTTAAATTTTATCTGCAAGGCTCTTTTCATCCTTTTCTTCCACTTGCTTCAAGGGCAGGTTGCCTCTTGCCTTTTTCCTCTTGATTTTTTTCTTTTTTTCAGCCAGGGGTTTTACATTTGCTGCGCAGAAGTGCGATGATTCAGCATCCAAATGTGTCACGTGTTACAGACCAAATTCTGTATGTCAAAGGGAAATAGATGTTAATCATTCAGCTAAGAGCCTATCGCTTGCACAGAGCCAACACGAACAGATTCTGTAGGTATTTTTAGCTCATCGCTGTGTAGTGGCAAAGGATCAGGGGCTGGCACGATCCTGGGGACAAGTTCACCGGCCTGTTTGAGCTATTCCTTCTCTGATAAATGGAAATCCTGTACTTTCCCTGTATACCCACAGGTGCATATGAGATGCATATAAAGAACTACAAACGTTAAAAAAAAAAAAAAAAAAAAAAAAAAAAGAATGGCCTGGTTTACAGATAAGAGCTAAGGCACCGAGAGGTGAAAAAGCTGCTGCCCCCTGGTGTCTCAACCAAATATGCTCAGGAACAAAAGAGAGAGCTTAAGAGATACTAGTCTTATTGTCAGGTCAAGAACCCCAGTCTTTCATTTGCTCAGGCCAACTTCTAGAGGTTTCCGGATATGGAAGGTGAATGGGAGTGGATAGTGGAACACCAAGTCCTCGCTTTTGCTTTATTGTCTTGCTTTCCCCCCCCCTTTTTTTTTTTTAAGATTTCATTTATTTGCTCATGAGAGACACAGAGAGAGAGGCAGAGACATAGGCAGAGGGAGAAGCAGGCCCCCTGTGGGGAGCCCGATGTGGGACTCGATCCTGTACCCCGGGATCACGCGCTGAGCTAAAGGCAAATGTTCAACCGCTGAGCCACCCAGGCGTCCCTAGTCTTGCTTTTCTAAACAGTTTTTCGAGCCTCTCCCTTATTCCACCCCCAGAGTTCTCTTCCTTTTGGGGCCTTTGCTCTGCTTAAGCCCTCCTGTTAGCTGTGTTACCCTGGCCTGTGCACTAGATGCAGGAATTAACAGTGGCACCTCTGGTAACATGGGGAAGATACCTACCAGGTCCCGAATTCGTGACTACCCAACTCTGGTTCAGCTCACTGGGCGCCTAGCTCAGGGGGCACCGTGTTAGTGTGGGACTCCAGAGCAAGGGGTGAGGGGCCCCCCATTTCACTTCTTCAGGCCCAAAGTAGTGTGGTTAACAGCTCCCAGGTGTGTGAACATGTCCTAATGACAGCAGGGCACCACGTCGCCAAAAAGAACCAGAGTGGACACTAGAAGTGATCTGGGACAACATTCCAGCTCTTAATGTAAAATTTTAGCTTAGCATCTTTTTCTGAGAGCCTACTATACGCAAAACAATACTAGGCCCTAAAGATTAAAAAGGAAGGAGAGGAGAGAGGGAACAGAGAAGGCTAGAAGGACAGCATCCTTGCCAGAACCCATTTGTTTGTGTGTGTGTGTGTGTGTGTGTGTGTGTGTGTGTGTAAGGAAGTGCTTGGAAAAATAAAACCCCATCTATAGGCTGCTCCTCCTCCTCCTCCCAGTTGCTCTGAGCAGCTCTGTGAGAGCCACTTTCTTACTTCCTGCATTGGCCTGTTGGCAGCGTTCTTTTCTCTGGGGCTCAAAAACTGTAAGGTGACTCAGTCATTTTTCCCAAACTTCTTATCACTTGTCACTTCTTTCCTCCTTGATACTCTGGAACCTTTCCTCTTGCTTCATCCCCACTGGGCAGTGTGGTAAAATGTGAAGAAGGTGGGTTTTAGTGTCTGTAACACCTAGCACTGAATTCCTTATGAGTAGAGTGACCTTGAGCAGGTTTCATAACCTTTCTGAATGCTGTTTCCTTTATTAGTAAAAAGGGAAGGGGGAGTAATGCCTCTTGTGTCAGGTTCTCATGAAGATCGCAACAGAAATGACAAGACTGGAGGCATACAAACCGTAGGTGCTCTGATCCCCCCTGCTCCACGTCGAAGGGATTGAATTGTCAGCAGGTGATTCAAGTGGGAGTGTATGGAAGTGTAGGCTCCTTGAGATTCCCTTTGGAATTGAGTGGAAGACAAAAGGAGCAGAGCTCTCCTCGGGGCACTGCTACTTGCCACCGGATGAGGTAATAGGGCACTGAGCCATAATGGGTGCAGCTGGGCCAGTCACCTTGGCACTAGGAGGCCATTGGATGCCACTGAGCCTTCCAAAAATATGTCAAAGACTAAGACTTCATGCTAGGCAGGAGTCGGCGTGGCTGGGCTCTCAGAGGCCTGGAGGTGGGCTCACCGCAGCCCCAGAGCTGGGTCCATAGTAGAGAGTATGGCCAGATCCCAGGGCAGTCCTCCCAATTTCTGCTGGAACCCATCTGCAAAAGACCAAGGCATGTAACCTTCAAATGCCAATTTTACAAAAGTGCAATGTAAGTACATTCAGCTGCCTGTCTTCAAGTCCTATTGGCTGGCATTCCCGTCTCTGAAACATGATGAAAAGGCTAATCAAAGACAAGGAGAAGATATTGGTAATGTAAAAGCAACTAATGCCCAGAATATAACACCAAAACTTCAGATACAGAAGATACAGATACGGTCAAGAAGCAGACAACCCAGGAGAAAGACAGGAAGCCAAGAGGCAAGTCAAAGGTGAACCATCCCAAAGGAGTTCATAAACACACATGAAAAGATACTCGACCCCACTAGTAACAGTGCAAATTGAAGCAATGTAAAGCGGCTTTATACCCCTTGTGTTGGCAATAATTTTTTAAAAAATCTCGCAACACTAGGTGCCAGCAAGGGTGTGGGGAATGGAGCACGTAGACCTGCTCAGATGGAGAGCAACTTGGCAAGAATGAGGTGGGTTGGAGATGCACCCACTCTTGGATGCACCAGTTCCATTTCTCTGCACATGCTCAAGGGAAGCTTTCACAGGTACAGGAAAAGAGGCGCAGAAATGTTCAAGGATGATTACTTGGGCAGAGTTTGTGATGAGAGAAAATCCCAAATGATGCACGTCACCAGCATAGGGGAATGGGAAAGTTGGTGTACGGAATCATTTAATGGGATCTCTGCAGGAGTTAGGAGTTACCCTGAACAACCTCCATCTCGATGGGTAAATAGCAAATGTAATTTTGAGTGAAAAAGGCAAGTCACGGAAGACTGTGTAGAATGTGGCACCTTTTATTTGAATAAAAGCAAACTCATTATGAATCGTTATGATCACACAAAGAAGTATTACATTTATAAAAACAGGCGTGAAAAGGAACACACGCCCACTTCAGGACAATCAATGGTTAGAACCTTCAGTTGGGGGTGGGAGGGAGGAAAAACAGTGTAGGAGTAGCTTTAGCTTTGTTTTGTTTTGTTTCTTAGAGTGAAGGGCTGAACTAAATATCGTAAAATGTGAAGGTGAGAAACGTGGGTTGTGGGCACGCAGGTGTCATTTCTGGCGTGTGATTACAGTATTTCAGGCATCCAGTAAGAACTCTGCAGTTATCCACCAACCTCATCCAGTCCCTTTATCCAGGGGAAAGTGCTATATGGGGCTCCCTTGGCTGTTTCTCTGTACAACGAAGCTCTATAGAAAGCAGAGAATAAGCCCTTGTCCCATGATGTGCCAGGTCCTGAGTGGCCTGTTCTGCTACCTGCCCAGCCACTTTAGTGTTATCTCCTCTCCAGGGTCCTCGGGGTCCATGTGGGCTCCGGCTGCTGACCATTCTCACCATGAAGGCCACAGGTGTCATCGCAACGTGTGAGAGATGTTGAAAATCCCAGCCTGGTCACTTGCTCCTTATAAATGAGGTTCTTTTAAATGAGTGTTAACTTGAGTTTTGATGGGGGTGGGCGCACACCCTCCTGTTTCTTGATCCAGAGCCTGCAGATAAGTGGATCCCAGCGCTAGCGTGGAATCTGTGTCCCAGTAGTTTTGCTTTGTCAGGTGATCTGCAGTGTGATCCATCTGTGATGCGTGTGGTTGTCTTACTTGTTCCTGTTTGTTTCAGCTCACAGATGTGTACACTTCATCCCCATCTCTCAGTCGTTACTTCACTTCAGTGGAAATGACAGACTTCAGGTAAGAATGTGGAGAGTTCCATGTTGGCCGTCTCCTCTAGAAAGCGACACCGATCACCATTTGTCTAGAAAGACTTCCCGAGTCTCAAAGCACAGAGGGAACCGATGAGAAAATCACAGACTGTTGGCTTTGGAAGGGGCTTTGGACACCCACTAGCTCAACTTCCTGATTGTACAAAGGAGCGCAGTCAAGCCCCTATTAGCTATATGTCTTAATAAGGTCACGCGGAAAAGAGAGGAAAAGCCAGTCCTGGGTGAACCATTCCTGTTTAACAGCAGATGCTCAAATAAGCTACAGGTAGGACTAGAAATAGATCTCAAAGGGCACCCGGGTGGCTCTGTCAGTTAGGCATCCGACTCTTCGTCTCAGCTCAGGTCTTGATCATCTTGATCTCAGAGTTGTGAATTCAAGCCCCACATTGGGGTCCACACTGGATGGAGCCTACTTAAAAAGAAAAAAAAAAAACCAGATCTCCAGTAGTAATGTGATATAAATGATATAATCTGTACACTAGCTTTTGCTTTTGAGGAACATAAGGAGTCCCTGCCCCTTGTATCATTAAGAATATAAAGACATGTCATAAAGGAAAAGCCTACCTTCTCCCTTCCACCCTACTACCTACTACCCCCGGATACTGCATGTACCAGTCAATTCCATACACGCAGTACATTTCACTCCCTTCCGCTGAATGGACTGCCATCAACGGGCTTGGTGTGGTTTCTTCTATACTTACATTTGCCATATATGCTTTATGTACTAAGCATGTAGAGCTTTTACGCACACATATAGTTTTACTTTTTACGTCTCTTAAAATATTTGTGTCTCTGTCTACAGGACTTAGATAAAAGGTATATGTGTGGAGGAGTCATTTGATTGTCTTTTTGTATTGTTAGGACAAGATTTACGTGGCAAAGCTTTATTATCCACTATTCCTAAGGTACCTCTGGAGTGTGACCATGGAAGATAGCTCTGTATTGAAATCCCCCCTCTCAAAGTCCACATTTCCCAGAACATAATCACGGTGCAGACGGGAGGGGAAACATGGAAAGCAGGTAGTGGCACAATGACTTGGGACCAACAGGGACCCGAAGTCTGAAAGCGCCTACAGTGACGGATTGCCCTGGCACCAACACTGTTCCTCTTCCTTTATGGAACCCCCGTGGTGCGTGTTACCTTGGGGTGACATCCCTGACATGGCTCATTTCCTTTTTTTTTTCTTTTTTTTCTTTTTTTTAATTCATAGAGACACAGAGAGAGAGGCAGAGACATAGGCAGAGGGAGAAGCAGGCTCCATGCAGAGAGCCTGACGTGGGACTCGATCCAGGGTCTCCAGGAACATGCCCTAGGCTGCAGGTGGCGCTAAACGGCTGCACCACTGGGACTGCCCCCGACATGGCTCATTTCAATCGCAGATTGTGGGTATTAAAATGCCAGTAGGAAAGCCCAACACATCTTCCTCCAAGTACTTGCCTAACTTGCAATTTAAAGATTGAGCCCAGAAAGGAAAGACACTCAACCTGCTTCTTTCCAAGAATCCAGCCCCATATCATGGCTCTAGAGGAGGTGGGATTGCAGGATGGGTTGGGGTAGACGTGAGGGAAAAAGACATCCTCAAGTTGAGTCAAATGTGGCTAGACCTCTGAAGACCTAATGTTAGGGAATTTGCTTTTCAAAGTGATTTGAAAGAAAAACCCAAGGGTTTTAGGATTTGGGATAGAGGAGCTCTGTACAGGAAGCATTTTTTTTTTTTTTTTTTTGTGCCAAGAGGTGCAGGCAGTGTTTTAACAATATTGAATCGAGAAACAAAAGCCATTGACCCCCCAAAACATGCTGCTTCTAGTGGGCAGGAGAGAGCTAGAGCCTGGGGATACTGGCCCCAGTCCTGTCCGGGCCAAGGCCCTAGGGAACCTTCTGGGAGGCTCCTTGGTTCATCAGCTGCCAGGCCCGTTCTGACCAGGAGCAGGCAGCCAGGCAAAGCCCCCAGGGTTCTCTGTTTTCTTGCAAATCTCTCCTTTTGCTTCAAAATCTGGCCTCCCCTCTAAAGTCCCCCGGTGGGTGACCTGCCGCAGTGGGCCTTGGCGCTAGGGGGTGGGACAGAGTTAGGCAGGGCCACCCTCCCTTTCACCTGGTTTGATCTCCTGAAAGCCAGCCTCTGGTCACCCGGCAGCCGAGGTGAGCCTTGCCCACCGTGGGCAAGGTGTGTCCAGGCGGTGACTGTGTGTCCAGGCGGTGACCACGGAGGGCAGTCATCGGAGGCGGGGCTCGGGTGCAAATGATGACACCTGCAAGCTCGTGTGGCCGGCTGAGTGTGAACGCGCACTTCCAGCGTGCCAGGAGCAGCACACCCGGCCGGGGGTTGCTGGTGTGTTCTGCGTTTGAACTGCAGGGTTGCCCACCCTACTGGGGGTCGCGGTTTCTAGGCGGAGGGGTGGCCTGGGTGACCTCTGGTCACCAGAGGGCACTGGCTCCCCGTCGTGAGCCGGGGGTGGGGGGCCTGCAGGCCGATCCGGGCTCCTGGGGGGGTCCAGGGGCTGGGGGGTGTCTCAGATGGGGCCCCTCGTGATTATTTGACTGCTGGCTCTTCATCTGGGCCTTCTTGAAGCAAGGTCACAGGATGCCTTTGGCAAACCTAAATGCCGAGCTGGCCTTTGACGAGCGGCGTCAGCTGCTAATTAAGCGAGGACGCCCTGTGATCATTTTTATTCTGGTGATGGAAAGGTACGTTCCAGGCAGATGAAAACTCCTTTTCCTTTGGTCCCTTTGCTGAGCCCTGCAGAGCTGGAGCCGGGAGACGGGAATGGGACAGGGCGAGTTTCTCTCTCTCTCTCTCTCTCTTTCTCTATCTAAATATCTAAATATTTATTGTCTATCTAAATATCTAAATATCTGTCTATCTACCATTCTATCTATCTAAATGGCTATCTATCTAAATATTTATTTATTTATTTATTTATTTATTTATTTATTTATTTATTTATTTATGTTTTATTGGAGTTCGATTTGCCAACATAAAGTTTCTCGCCTCAGAGACCAACCGGGCAGGTGGGATTTGCTGCTGCTCTTGCAGGGCGGCCTGTGGGGTCAGGAGTCGTCGGCCAGCCGGGGGCGGGGAGCCCGGGCCTACCTTGAACATTTTATAGGCCAAGGAATGAACTGGTTAAACCAAATAGTCCTGAGCAGCACCTGTCAGGGCAGGGAGAGGGTGGATGGAGCGTGGGAACATGGGAGGGGAGTAAGCAGGAGAACCCAGGGGCGCCTGGGTGGGCTCAGTGGTTGAGCGTCAGATCCCGGGGTGCTGGGATCGAGTCCCGCTTGGGGCTCCCCCGGGGAGCCTGCTTCACCCACCGTGGGCCAGCCTTGGACCTTCCCTGACTCTCCCTTCTACGGCCTCTAACACTGGTCTCCCAGAGGGTGGGTTTTAGGTGGAAGGAAGAGGGTGGGGTCCCCTCACCTTTTTGTGAGGAAACGACAGAAGAGGGTCCTTCTAGGACACCAGGCCCTGTGCTATTTCCTACTGGGAGAAGCCGAGGAACTGCAAACAGGCTCCTGCTGAAGTGAGTTTCCCGAGTGGCAGTGTGATCCCGCTGACATTTGTCGCTATCTCTGCTGTGCCTTTCAGCGGTGAAAATGCCACGATAGCCTACCACCTGCAGTTTGGGGTTCCTTCCGAGGACGACAGCTTTATGCGGTACATGATGAATGAGGAGTTGGTGCGGGGCGTCTTACTGCAGAGTCTGCATGACGAGGGGGTGTCTGGTTGTGAGACCCTGGGCCTTGGGCCGGCGTCGCTCCTGCTCTACGGTAAGTGGAGGAAGTCAGGAGGGCAGACGTGAGGCCTCAACGGGAGAACCAGAGCGAGGGCAGCTGGCGGGGAGGTTCCAGGTGCCTGCCCTCCACAGACAGACCGACAGACGGAGTAGTTGGAGGGCAGCCAATTAAATTGTAAGGAGGAGGACGGCTAAATGTTTCCTTGGTGTCCTTCACCCACATTTGAAGGCCTGTACCCCACTTGGCAAAATTATTAGTAGGCTCCATGGGAAGGCCGCGGTTTCACGGGAGAAGTGAGTGTCCCATTTGAGGCGACTGACCCAGCCAGCTTGTTGAACGATGATCCCAGTGGGGGGAACCCGTCTCTCTCTGTTGGGGGCCACTGGGTCTCTGACAGTGACCCAGGGGCCGGACAAGGCAAACCAGTCGCCTTCCTTAGAAAAGTAGAATGAACGTACCCTGTCTGCTTTTGAAACCAAGGGTGGAATGAGAGAACTGGTATGTCACTCAGTGAGCAGGGAAGGCCACCCACATGTCACAATCTGAGAGCAGTTAAGACTTGGCACAAAAGCGGGTGACAAGCCCCGGAGAGGTGCCCCCTTGCATCTGCACCAGGTTGCCCTCACCTCTGGTCTCCCGTCCCACTCTGACCCCTCGCTGGGCTCCCATTAGCCCCCCATGCGACTGTCCCTGACATTCCATCATCCACGGTCCATCAGAAACACTGTGCACCCACTAGTAGGAGCGAATGCTGTTAAGTGGCTGAGAAAGGCAGATCGGGGGAGGGTTAGCCACGAGCACAGGCCCCCCAGCCTAGCATCCAAAGAGCAGAGCAGTGAGGTTATGAAGCTCCCCAGCCACTCATAGTATGAGAAGGGACGTCCGTTATAATGACACTTATTTCTTATTTCACTTATAATGGGAAGTTAAAGTAGGCTAATCCCTGTGTAAGAAGGCAAAGGGTTATGTACTGCAGTTCTTCAAGCTTTCTTTTTCCCAAATAAGTGGAAAGGATGACATTCAGGAGGCCAAATCTTAGCTCGCTGGGAATGAATAGTTTCCTCGCTGAACATCTGAATAAATTGCATCTGTGGGGGGGTGTCTGGGTGGCTCAGTGGTTGAGCATCTGCCTTGGGTTCAGGTCATGATCCCAGGGTCCTGGGCTCAAGTCTCGCCTCGGGTTCCCCGCAGGCAGCCTGCTTCTCCCTCTGCTTATGTCTCTGCCTCCCTCTCTGTGTCTCTCATGAATAAATAAATAAAATCTTAAAAAACAAATGTGTCTGTGGGCCAGACAGAGGGCATACATGTAGAGAGTGAAGAGGTTATGCCCCCCTCTATAGGAATTTTAGAAAGAAAGAAAAGGAAGGAAAGAGAGAAAAAGATGAAAGGAAACAAGGGAGCCCTTCGGCCCCCTCCTGTGTGAAGAGGGGAGAGGGGAGGCCCACTGCCTGAGCTCTGTGTGGTGGCCACTGCTGTGTTGTGATGGGTCTTGGTTTTTTGAGCCCCCTCTGGAGTCTGGTGGTTACCAGCAATTTCCAAATGTAGGCGAGGAAGGTAGAGGAGGAGTTGAGAAGATTATGGGGTTGAGAAGGCCATACAGAGTGTGATGAAGGGGAGGGGGTGGCTTGTGAGCCTGAGGAGAGCCTGGACAGACCTTGAGCAGATGGCCTTGGGGACATTTCCCCAGGGCCAGACTCCGCACCGTCCCCTGGGGGCAGCTGGGAGCTCAGCCAGGGATTGTGCCCTTCCTCCCAGACGTTTCTGCTGTAGGGGATGGGTGTTTCCATGACCCATGTCCACTTTCTAGAGTACGCATGTGCTGTAGTTGAGACCTTTGATATTCTCAGGAATGTAAACGTCAGTCACAGGAAGGAAGAGGACACAGTGACCATTTGAGAAGTGAGGAAGGAAGAAGAGAGACCTAGGAAAGGCAGGCTGGCCAAGAGAGGGGGCAAGTTCAGGAGGGGTGGGCTGGAGAGGCAGAGGCCCCTGGGAGGGACCCAGTGAGACCCCGTGTGTCCTGAGCCAGTTTTCCGTGTTCATGTGCACTGTGGGCCTGAGGGTTGCTGCCCTCCCCACCCCTCTGGTTATCCAGGCAGTTAGTGGGCGGTTAGTTAGAGCTGGGCAGCTGGTTTCCTACCGAGATAATGTTCCGCAGGAACAGAGAGCGATGATTCTTTTTTTAAAAAATTTAAATTTTAGTTAGTTAACATATAGTCAATGTTGGACTTAGGAGTAGAAGTCAAGGATTCATCACTGACATACAAACCCAGTGCTCCTCACAAGTGCCCTCCTGAACCCCCAGCACCCATCTAGCCCATCGCCCCCCTCGCCACCACCTCCCTCCATCAACCCTCTGTTCTCATTGAGAATCTCTTATGGTTTGCTTCCATCTCTTCTTTTTTTTCTCCTTCCCTTATGTTCATCTGTTTTCTTCCTTAAATTCCACATGTGTGTGAGATCATATGGGGTATTTGTCTCTCTCTGACTGACTTATTTCACTTAGCTTAATACACTCTAGCTCTGTCCATGTCATTGCAAATGGCAACATTTCATTCTTTTTGATGGCTGAGTCATATTCCATTATATTTCACTCCATATATAGAATATATAATAAATATACACCACGTCTTCTTCATCCCTTCATCAGTTGCTGGACGTTTGGACTCTTTCCATAGCTTGGCTATTGTTGATGATGAAAGAAAATGACTCTTTATTTTTTTTAAAGATTTTTATTTATTTGTTCATTCATGAGAGACATAGGGAGAGAGAGAGAAAGAGAGAGAGAGAGAGAGAGAGGCAGAGACACAGGCAGAGGGAGAAGCAGGCTCCATGATGCAGGGAGCCCGACGTGACTCGATCCCAGGTCTCCAGGATCAGGGCCTGGGCTGAAGGCAGCGCTAAACCGCTGAGCCACCCGGGGTGCCCAGAAAATGACTCTTTAAAAAAATTTTTTTTCCACATAATGAGAACTTTTAGGATTGACTCTCTTAGCAACTTTCAGAGTTACCATACAGCAATGTTAACTCTAGCCACCATGTTGTACATTACACCCACAGAACTTATTTATTTTATAACTGGAAGTTTGTGCCATGGCTTCACCCAACCCCCCCGAGCCCCCTGCCCCACAACCAGTTTGATTTCTTTTCCTATGAGTTTGTTCTTTCTAGATCCCACATGTGAGGATCATGCAACATTTGTCTTTCTCTATCTAATTTCATGCAGCATGATGGTATCAAGGTTCAGGGAATTGTTTTTTTTTTAATAATTTATTTATTTAATCATGAGAAACACAGAGAGAGAGAGAGAGGCAGAGACAAAGGCAGAGGGAGAAGCAGGCACCATGCCGGGAGCCCGATGCAGGACTTGATCCCAGGACCCTGGGATCATGACCTGAGCCGAAGGCAGATGCTCAACCACTGAGCCACCCAGGTGTCTCCAGGGGATTGTTTTAATAGCTCTCACCTCCCTTTCCCCCTGTTTTTTGGCCTGTTTCACCTTATGGATGTTTGGGGGCCCAGGGATGAGGAGAGAAAGTTTGTTTTACAAATATAAAATGGCAGCATGAGTTATTTTAGACATCTCAACATGAGTCAGATATTTGGTAGTGTTTTCTCATATGGGAAGGAGTCAGCTAGTAGACTAAATGAGAAACAAAGGCACAGACCAGATTTGTGTGAGAGAAAAGAGGAAAAAGCTGTAGGCAATGAGAACAGTGAATCTTGGCTGCACATTTTTGGGCTGAACCAATGAGCTGCCTGTTGGCAGAGGAGCCACTGTGTGAGCTCTGTCCTTAAAAGGACTGCTTGGTATCAAAGACAGTCATTTGGGTTGTTTATAGATTGTCCAGGAAACTTGGGAAGTTTAGCCAAGGAGCACTAATTCTCAAGTGGGGGCAACTTTGTGCCCCCACTGCACCCCAGGGGTGTTTGGCAATGTCTGAAGATGTTTTTAGTTGTCCTGATGGGTGTGTATGTGAGATATTAGCATCTAGGGTAGCGTGAGGGATTCTTCTGAACATCTTCTACTACACAGATGGCTCTCTACGACAAAGAATTATCCAGCCCATAATGGCAACCGCGAGGACCCTGTGGTAGAGCGTGGACTCTCTGTGTGATGTCCCCAGGTCCTTACATGGGCATGTCCTCCTTGGTCAGGCCAAGTCCACACCATTTCCTCATCAGACTTTCTCACAATAGCACACTGAAAATTTAGAGGTTAGTAGTTAAATTATGAAAAAAGACTGAGTATTTAAATATCTTCAGCACCCAAAAGGCCTCACCAAATGTCATTTACCAAGAATTAGGCCAAAACAAATGAGCAATGTGTTACTTGCTTTGCGTAAAGCATTCAGAGATAGGTGTGTGCGCGCGTGCACTTGTATGTGTGTCCGCGTGTGTTGATCGAAAAGAAAACTTCCTCTGCTAGGAATTTCCAGGCATTTCAATTTTGCATAAGAGTTTATATTCAAACCCAATGGGGGAAAAGTGAACGCATAAATCTTTAAAAAAGAATCTTTAAAAAATAATCACGGTTTTAAAAAATGAGTGACCTCCGTTTGTCTGTATTCTCTTTTCAGAATGAAGTGGAGGATGTTGGTCTGTATCTGAAAGCAGCGCTCCACTGAGTTTTTGGAATGAGAGAATGCATTTTGCTTTCCAGAGAAGATCCTGCGAATTACCAGAGAAGGACTGGCAATGACGTGAAGGGTTGGAGGCTGTCCTTTTTCTCCTGATTCTGCACTTGGGAAGTCTGGGCTCTGCGTCCAGCAACAGCATGTAGGGGCGACCCCAGCTGGGTGTAGGCAAAGGCAGGAAGTCAGACGGTGGGTGGAACTCGCTGCTATTCTCAGAGCACCGCTTGCTTCCACCTACATGTGGACACTTACTCCATAGTGCAGAGGTGACCTTTCAGGCGGGTCCTCTCCGTGCAGGTGGAGAGAGTGTGCAGGCAGGAGGTGAGGGACTGCATAGCTAATCACTCACTGAAATCCTTCTCCCACTCGCCCAGGCCTGATGTGATGCACGATCTACCTCTAAGCAGGACTGTGAGGGAGGCACCTGGGAGACCAAAGCAGCAAAGTTCTGGGTCCGATTCCAGGACCTGCGGCTGCATACCTTAGCAGACCAGCCTGAGACCCGCCATCCAACATTACTGTGTTATGTGGAGCTACTGAAATGAGATGCGTGTTTCTTACTTCGCCCTTCCTCATTGCACCTGTGACTCTTGAACACCCCTTTTGGAAACGTGGGTCCTTGAGCGTTTTGAGTTTTGAACGCACTGCTGTCGTTTGGGATCGTTTTCCCACTTAACAGTTTCTCCAGCTTCCATCAGAGGATCACTGAGGCTGCTTACCTCGTGCACGCTGGCTCATGGCTTTTTATTGTCCCTTGGGACTAGGCTTCGTCCAAAACTCAGTGTCTGCAGGCACTGGTTGTGTATCTTACTGAGGGTGGTTGGAAACAGAAAGAACCACTTTCTGTTTGAAGTTAATTGTGGGAGGCTGAATGCCACTCTGTTTGCAGGCTGGGGGGAATGTTAGTGACTGTGTTGATCATCTACGGACGTAGAATTGTCCAGCACGAGGAAACAGTGTTTGTTTCCTTGGAAAAAAATTGTTTGCAGGAAATTTTCCAGGAGAGAGTGTTGTGTGTTGTGGTCCCATAAGGAGATGTTCTTAGCTCCAGGATCTCAGTTAAATTGGCCGTGGGTAGATGTCAGTGTGGGGGGCTGCTGTGTACGGGAAGTGTCCAAGGGGGTGTCTCAGGCTGGATTTGCCCTGGTCTTTTTGTGCTCCAGGACTCTGGATAATGTGAATTCACTTTCTTATTTAACTAGAGGATGCATTTATTGTAACCTGGTGTCTCATTTTGAGGCCAGTTCCTCAAACTAGCCAAATAGGTGCACCTCCCTTCTTCCTCTTTATTTTTCACATGTCAAATGTAAACTGTTGTGTGTTTGTATTTTTTAGAATGTAATGAATGACTTTAATGGGGAGGGATTTAAAAATATTTACAATAAATTATTTTTGCACGGGCATTGTCACGTTCACGTTTGCTTCACAGGTGCGACTCTCCAGGCCCGTGACGTGGGCTGGCATTTTCTTGCGGTAAATGGTGCTGGAACTGGTGTTTTCATATCCCTGACGGCAGTTTCCCCTTTTGAGTAAGACTCAGCCGGATGGGCTGCAGTGGGCTAGGTCCTTCTCTGTTCCAGGGAGAGCAGCGGGGTGCTCTCTCCCCTCTGCTTCCTCCTGGGGCTCCCCTGGCAGGCCCAGGTGTCTGAAGGGCCTGGAGCTGGAAGGAAGACAGTGTGTTCGTCCCTTCTCCCTTGGAAAGCGCTGAGACGCAGCTACCTGGACCCCTTGCAAGTCATACAGAAGACTTTGCATAGGCTTGACTCTGGCTCTAGTGGCATGTGCAGAACTGGACTTTGTGAGGTGTCTGAAGAAATGGCATTCACGTCTACACTGCTCTGCTATAGGAGATAAATTTATTGGTCATCAGGCATCTTCATGATGAGCATAATCCCTGGCATAATAAGGTTCCAACAACTATCCCTGAAGTACAAGGGATTTGAGAAGAGACACTGGTCTTTTCTGGAAGTCACTGAGATGCGGGCAGGAAGGGTACAGCCAGAGCAGTGGAGCGTGCCCCTGCTCCCATCCCCAACAAAATTTCTGTCCCTGAATTCAGTTCTTTTCTACTTTTCAATTTAACTTAGCTCCGTAGATTTTTTTTTAAGGATGTGTTTTGCAGAAAACTCTGGGAGATAACAGTGAAGAGCAGGGCAATAATAAGAAGCTGCTGGTCTTGTTAGGCAGCGAGGCTCTGCGCAGACCAAATAGGAAACAGCAGGAAAAAAACAGCCTGGGATGAACAATAGAGACAGACCGTGGGGTTGTGGGTAGTCAGAAGGGAGAGTGGTCAGTGAAGGCCTTGCCTAGGAAGGACGCCGGAGCTGAACTTGAAGCCGTGGTGGGATTGGAATAAACAGATTGGCTTCCCTTAGCACATGTTTGTGTCTGATTAGAGTGAAGCTCACGTTCTTTCTTTTCCCATTTATTTATTTTATTCTGTTCTATTTTACTTTAATTTTTTAAATTTTTTAAAGATTTTTTAAAATTTTATTTGTTCATGAGAGACACACACACACACACACACACACACGAGAGAGAGAGAGGAGAGAGAGGCAGAGACACAGGCAGAGGGAGAAGCAGGCTCCATGCAGGGAGCCCGACGTGGGACTCCATCCCGGGTCTCCAGGATCAGGCCCTGGGCTGAAGGCAGGGGCTAAACCGCTGAGCCCCTGGGTTGCCCTATTTTAATTTTATTTTTAAGTAGGCTTCACACCCAGCATGGAGCCCAATGTGGTGCTCAATCTTATAGCTACAAGATCAGGACCCGAGCTGAGATCAGGAGAGAGATGCTCAGGGTGCCTGGGTGGCTCAGTCGGTTAAGCATCTGCCTTTGGTTCAGGTCATGATCCCGGGGTCCTGGGATCCAGCCCCACATCGGGCTCCCTGCTCAGTGGGGAGCCTGCTTCTCTGCTCCCCGCGCTGGTGCTCTCTCTCACTCTATCAAATAAATAAATAAAAATCTTTTTTTTTTTTTTAAAAAAGGAGTCAGTTGCTTATTGACTGAGCCACCCACGCGCCCCTCTTTTCCCTTTTAGCTGTGGGCTCTGCATGGACACCTGCCCTATTTAGCATCTCATCGGTGCTGAGAAAAATGAGAGAAGCCTCTTCACGTCTTCCCTTCCCTGATTCCATTATGGCTTCATTGCCTTAAAGTAAGCTCATCCTCACTGTCCTTGCGTTGCTGGCAGTGGGGCCCACAGATGCCTTTTCGTCCTTCTTTGATGGTGAGAGAGCAGATGCTCTTAGCATCCGAAGGCAGTCCCTCGTCGTGTACTTAGGGAACCGCGGTCTGGAGAGGTGGGAGGATGAGGCTGGGGTTCCGCAGCTTTGGGGAGCAAAGTCCAACGTGCTTGGCACCTTCACACCGTCAGTGGCCTCTGACTTTGGTGGCCCCCGGGGCCATGTTTCCTTCAGGCTTGACTGAAATTTGGGACCCCCCACCCCCAAGAACTCAGATGGTGAGAGGGGAGGGGATGCATTCAGTGGGGTCATTATCAGACAGCAGAAGACTGCGATGGTAATGACCTCTCAGGGCTCCCCAGAGTGCCTTGCAAAAGCACCCCCTGTGGGAAAGTCGGGGGAACTGCTGACCCACTTCACAGCCTGCAGAACTGAGGGGTGCTCAGATCTAGTGACTTTCAAGTTGCTCTCTGAGCACAAGGGGCCACTGGATAAAGTAGGGAGTCAGATCGATGTAAACAGCATCTCCTTTTGTCTGAGGCATCCTGTGACATCCTGGGGATCCCCCTGTCCTGTCCCAGCTCTGCCCCTCCCTCCATTCCTCAGACTATTGGAAGCACCTGTCACCCAAGGTTGTTCTAAAAATGTCAGCATTTGAATTTACTTGTTATCAACGGTCAGTTGTCCTGACCTAGCTTTGCCCTTGTCTTTTACCTCTGTTTGGTTCTGAATAAGAATTTATTCACAGCCTAAAGATTATTTATAGACGCTACTACAAACATAGAACGGAAACCACAAAACCTGCAGTTGCCGCATAAAATGTGTCTGTGTGAGCTGGCTGCTACAGGTGTAAGACGAGCTGGGGGCGGGGGGGGTGCGGGGGGAGTTTCCTGATGATCTTTGTGACCCGAGGGAGCAGTTTAAACCCTCAGCCTCGGTTTCTTATCAAGAACCCAAGAATTTGGGGATCCCTGGGTGGCGCAGCGGTTTGGCGCCTGCCTTTGGCCCAGGGCGCGATCCTGGAGACCCGGGATCGAATCCCACGTCGGGCTTCCGGTGCATGGAGCCTGCTTCTCCCTCTGCTTGTGTCTCTGCCTCTCTCTCTCTCTCTCTCTCTCTCTCTGACTATCATAAATAAATAAAAATTTAAAAAAAAAAAAGAACCCAAGAATTCCTTCCGGGACGGGTGGCATCCCCAAGCACTTGAAATGGAATGAAACATGTGCGAGTGTGTGTGAATGTGTATTTTCCATCGCATTCATCAAAATCCTGAAATCTATGGAAAACAGGACTAGCATTATGTACAGACAAAGCATTCCCAAAGGGCTCTCCTGCTCAAAAGTGATCCCCTTCCCTCATCCCTCTAGATGTCTTGAGAACAAATTTTGTTGGCTCAGCATTTATACCGAATCTATTGCTGGAGTAAATACTATATATTTACTATATATGGTAAAAGGCATATACTATTTGGGACAAGTAATACTTTCACAGGCTAAGACTCAAACTGATATAACTTATGTCATACCAAAAATATTTAAGCCAGTCAACTTCAACAATGGTCCAGTGTCCAAATGAAAAACTCCAGGATAAAACCCAGCAATTCCATTTCTAACCCACTGGATGATCGCTGGGTGACCCTGAAAATCAAGCACGTCAACACATGTTTTTCTTCATACATCATCAAGTTTTTTTTGTTTGTTTGTTTCTCTTTGCTCTTGGATAGCATTTATTCAGGGTCTGCAGTAAGTGGATTGCATATATTAGATCATTCTGCTGTTGGTGGGTGATAAAGCCGAACCTTCGAGTTACACGCTCAAGGTCGTAGAGGGAGGAAGGGATGGATAGAACCCTGATGTGAGTCACTGATTATCTGATCCTAGTGTCCATACTCTTTCCCTAAGTGAATCCTGGCCAAGGGTCAAGGCTGGGGTCCCATGGGAGAGAATTTTGCTGAAAATAGGAAGTTAGTAGAGGATAAGATACCCAGATGTGATTGGCTCTTAGCTGAAGATCACCGACCAGCCAAAGTCTCAGCGAACCTGTATTGATACATCCCACCTGATGTCACTGGGTTTCTCCTCACTGGCGTAAATGCATAAATCACAGATGGCATAAAATGTACTAAAATACATTTTAAATAATAGTTATTTTGTTACTTTGGGGGACCAAACAATAATTCACATAATGTATCTACTACTTTGTCAACAAACCTCTACTATTTTAACATCCTTAAAATTAGGACAATGGCCACGGGTTAAATAAAACAGGAAGTTGAGAATGCAGGTGTGACTATAGAAATAGTCTAATTTGCTAATTATTCTTGGTCCCATCTCATTTGTGGTTTAATATTTTCATGCCAGTTTACTGGTACCAGTTCTTATGAGTTACAAGACCCAAACACACTTCTGTTAAGTTTATCTCCAAGTATCATCCTTTAGGCCTGGGATCTACAAACTTTTTTTTTTTCTGAAAAGGGAAAAAAAGTGTTCTTGGGTTTGTGGGACCTCCAGTGTGTCACAACTACTCAACTCTTCTGTGGCTGAGCAGTATGAACATGTATACAGTATACATGAATAAGCATGGATGTGTTCCAATATCATTTTATTTATATTAAAAAAAGACAGTAGGTCAGATTTGGCCTCTGGGTCACAGTTTGCTGACCCTGTTTTAGGCAATAGATGGAATTCCAGGAGCAATGTGGAAAAAATTAGGAAAAATAATCAGAACATACAGAAAGTCTCATTAGAGAAGGGATGTGTGTGTGTGTGTGTGTGTGTGTTCTTTTTTCCCATGTGGACACATTTTTTTCATATGTTATACATAGCATATTAGTTCATCCACGCATACACCACTCAGTTGAGTATAGCCTCTTCTATGTAGTATGTTGGAGGAGTGTTGAATTGGAAACCAGGAAATCAGGCTCTGGATAAAGTTCTGACACTAACTTGCAAGGTACATTGGCCTACTTATCCTCTCTAAGCAAAAAGGGTAATGGAGTTAGAGTGTCTCCATAGGTCTTTCTACTCTACCATTCTCTAATGCTATGATTTTCTTGATAAGATTTCTAGGGAGAAATACAGGTTAAAAAACATGGGATAAAATTATATTAAAAATTATATAAAAACTTGGTCCAGAACATACTGATTCAGACCACATAACCAACAAACTCATAAGGGTCAATGAGTCAAAGGACATACCTAAGTGGCATGGGGTGCGAAGCACACACAGGTTCTCACCTGGAAGACTCTGGGTGAGGGGTAGGGCCTTCAAACATGTGTCGAACGAGTGGACACCCCTGGGGACACTTACTACGATGGGTAAAAGCTTCCTTGTGTCTTTAGAAGACAATCATTGTGGACGTTTTATAAGAAGAACTTGGACAGAGGAGCAGACCCTTTGTGATGCTCATAGCTGTAGGGGACCAAGAAACCTTTCCTGCCACTGAGCAAAGTGGCCCATTTCCAAAGCCATTTGGAATCACAGATGGCCACTCTCTTCTCAAAGAGCGGTGTTCAGGATGGGTGGTTGGTGTTTGGATGACTATGGAACAGGATCTATGAGGCCCTGTGGTTTGCAAACCAGATTCTGCAGAGACCCCTTAAGAAAGGGCTGTTGTGTGTGGAGGTGGGGTAAGCCTGAAGGGCCCTATACCCCATGCCTGCTTCAACCAAAGCCCCACAACCCCTATCTAATAGTTACTGCTATTAGACGAGCGCTGGTCCAACTGTTTCATTATCAGTAGGAAACCCGGTTCTCCAAATGTGGTGTTGGTGGATGTGGCTGTTGCAGGGAGTAGGAGAAGACTCTCCTAGGTATGATGAGTTCATATTCATCTTCTGGGGAAGACGAATGCCTTGGAGAGGAAGGCACACGGAGAAGTGCATATGAAACCTCGGTTTTTCCCAAGGACTCCCTGGGTGTCTCGGTTTTAAGGGAAATGTTCTCATAGCACCTCTCAGCAGAGATCCCTGATGACTTTCCCCCAAGGACGCTGTGATTAATGAGGGTGTAGCAGAGATCTTCCGAGGAGCTCTGGTCAGCACTGTCCTGTTGGGCACAGAAGAATCTTATCAAGAGTGGGCCTCTTGCCTTTCCCTTTACATACTCCAGGCTCAACACAGACCCAACCCCGAGCAAGGTCTGTCTTCCATGACCATCTCCTCTCCATCTCTTGGCTCTTTTTCCTAAATGACTGCCTCCACCTAACCCCTAGCTCAGGCATCCAGAGAGCTCACGCTGTCTAGAATATTTATTCCGCCTCCCCAGGCAGGTCCTCTCTGCCTCTTGTTCCAGAGTGACCCCTGCCAATGGGTATAATTCCCAAGTCTCAGGCCTTGAGGGGAGCCTGCTCATAAGAACAACCCGAGGCCACCCTAACATGATTGGCTTATGATATTTAACTACTCATTCTAGGGATTTTTGTGTTATTCAAAAGGGAAACCACTCAAGAGAAGCTCCCAGTCAGTGGAATCTCAGGAGATAAAGAGCAAAGCAGCAAAGTACAAGAGGGAGAGCCTGGATCTGGGACTGAGGCTTGGTTTTGGATCATGCCGCTGACTTCCTGCCAGTTATCTGGCTTGGGGACAGTATCACTTAACTCTCAGTTTTCTCATTTGTGAAGGAGGGGAAATAATAGTGCCGGTCTTCTGGGGTCGCTGTACCAGGTGCATGAGCCACTACAGGCAAAGCTCTCAGCTCACTGCCTGGCATCAGCATGGGGCTCCGTGTGCATCAGTCCCTTCGCAGTGAGATGGGCAACAGAGGTGGCTGCTGCTGGGGCCACCAGGCCCCACACAGGGCCCTGGGCTGACAAGGACTGGCGTCTAAAGTCTTTCTTTCATATCAAGGATTGAAGGGGTCCTGGAGGCCAACTCCTGCCATCTGGGGAACCTCAGCAAAAGGCCCAGAGATGTTTGCGTTACCTGCGTGGGAGCAGATGACATTTCTTTACCTGGAGAAAGGAAATACAATCAGCGTCAGGCCGTGGGGAGGCCTGAGGAGAGAGGGTGGGGAGTAGGGGGGAGGCCGGGTGGGGCAGGGAGTGTGGAGACTGGAACAGAAGCAGTCAGAGAGCCAACCAATAGCCCATCAGGCCACCCCAACCTGCAGCGCACCCCAGGGGAGCCCCAGGACCAGCTGAACGAGAAACAGCCGAGGGGGGCAGGCGAGCTCAGGCTGAGAGGCTGAGTGGAGGGAGACACACTGGGTGGGGCTTTGAGAGGGAAACCACGCTTCCCTCCAGCCCCTGACCCCTGCCTGCCTCACACAAAATTCCCAGCATGCCCAACCTGTACCACTGTGGAGACCAAGACAGATCAGAAACAGGTCCTGTCCCCCAGGGGCTCACAGGCCAGCACGGGAGGCGGTGGAGGGCCTCAGAGGAGCCACAGTGTCCAGAGGCACCTGTGTCCACCGCAGGCCACAGGGGTGGGGTGGGGAGGGGTGGGGGTGAGGTTGGGGGGGCTGGGGGGTGACTATGTGGGCCTGGTGCTCCAGAAAAGCTTGCTGGAAGGAAATTCTTAAATTGAGCATTCCCGTTCCTGCATTTGCCAGCAGATGGGAACAGCAGCAGGCCAGTTTCCCAAGGCCATGGGGCTCAGGGGCACCCCAACCCAATGCCGCCCCCTCGCAGACCCAGCAGCTCGGTAGGGAGCTCTCAAGTGGGAGCCGCCCCGGATTACAGGGATTGGCCTGCCCCGGGCCTGGCATTCCAGATGCTCGCAGCTCCGGAAACTCCCTCGGACCTTGGGACGTCCCTGGTCATCACCACGGGGACCTTCTGTGAGTCTTAGCAGTCGAGGTCTTACTGCTCCCACGGTTTGCTCTGACGGAGATTGGGGCTCCCCGGGACCCACGAGCCCCCCCGGGTGACGCTGGGCTGCCAGGGCCGGCTGATTCACTTGCACACTGCACCGAGCTAGTTTGCAAGACTCAGAGTGAATGGATTGGGCTCTGCTCTTTGCACCTAGGAAGGCAAGGCCCAAACCCCCTCACTTTTCTTCTTTAGAAAAGCGAAAGGTTGTGGCCCCTCCTCAGGCCTATACTTCCTCTCTCTCTCTGCGTCCTTCTCCAATTCCTCCTCCTCAGCTGCAGGGCTTCCTGTCTCCAGGGACCGGGGCCTCACCTCCTAGGCGATCTTCCAGCATCTGCTCCTGCCACCGGCCAGCACAGCAGGGCCTCTGCACTGCAGCCCAGGTGAGGTCTTTTCATGCAGGGGCCTCAGACCCGGCCTGGGTTTAAAGCCCCCCGACAGGGGCGTCTGGCTGGCCCTCTGCCAGGCACCTGTCTTTGGCTCAGGTCGTGACCCCAGGGTCCTGGGGTTGGGCCCCACGTTGGGCTCTGTGCTCAGCAGGGAGTCTGCTTCTCCCTCTCCATCTGCCCTTCCCCCCTGCTTGTGCTCTCCCTCTCAAATAAATAAATAAAATAAAATAAAATAAAATAAAATAAAATAAAATAAAATAAAGCCCCTCAATAGTTGTGTAGTTCTCAGGACAAAACCCTGCAATCCTAAGCTTGCCCATGAGGCCTTGCCCCTCTGGGCCCTCTGGGTCGCAAGGGTGCCCTAGTTTCTCGGAAGTACTTCAGGCACCTCTGTCCTTCCGGTCATTGTTCCCGGTTCACCCCTCCAGCCTCCTGACCTCAGGGAGGGATTGGAGATCAGTGGTCGGTTCCTGCTTCCAATGGCCTCTCAGTCTAGCAGAGAAAGACCCAAGCAGCTGGACGAATGACACAGATGGATGTGCAAGTATGACACTGGCAGGATGCCCAAAGAGCTTGGGAAGCACAGAGGAGGGGCAGTTGGGAAATGCAAGTCTATCAAGTGCAGAAAAGATAAGAAAGCAATGACTTACTCTCCTCTGGGGAATCTGGTTTTGCTTTAAAGATGCATATTTTTCTCCTGAAAAAAGAAAGAGAAGGGAAATTGGTGATCTTCGCCCTTCAGACGCTCTCAAAGGAAATGACACTCAACTCCAAAACCTTATCTTTAAACTCTTTCATTTGTTAAAGTCATACCTCCTCCAGCATAGAGGAAAACGGAGGTAGATAAAAGAAAAAATGAAAGTAAGACCAAGTAGAAATCTCCACCTCGGCCCATGTGTCTCTCTCTCCTCACTTCTCCCTTTTCTATGGCTGAAGTGGGATTGATTTATAAATAGAGAACTATGGTGATGTCCCAGGTAACTATCTGGGGGATATTTTTCCCTAACAGAGTATCAACTTCTTTTATGTCATGTGAGATAAGGAGCCAGGATTATTTCCGATTCCAACCCCAAACCCCATCTCTGATCTCCTAGGAGGCAAGCAAACAAGCAATCAAACATGTCCCATGTGAGCACAGAGGTAACTACTCTGTAGAGACCAGTCCCCGCAGAAACACAGTATATACAGGAAACTCATTATCATCTCAGGAGACAAGGACATGTGCTCCAAGCAGCAAGACCATATGTCCTACTTTGCTTAGAGAGTCTAGTTGATGTCCTTATGAGTCAGTTAAGGACCTTGAGCTATTTTTAGTGGGTCTTTTACTCCAGGGTGGAGGATGACTTATATGAGCACCTCAGCTGTCCGTTCTCTGTGCGAGGGGCAGAAATGTGTGCTTCTCTGTACATGGAGCCTGGCCCTTCGCAGTGGGATTCAGGGGTCCTTCTTCTACCTTGGGAGCCAGTTTTGTCCTTGCTTCTGAGGCTTTCCCATTTGTGGAGGGCCATCAAGGCTATTGTTCCTGTTTCTTGCCAGGCTCGAATTGTCACTTGCCTGACTGACTCAATTCACTTCCCTGCCTGCCTCTCAGATGATTGTGTCTGGGTAGTGACAGGCTTCCCCTGTGGTGACAGACAGTGGGCAGTTACAGGTGATTTACAGCAAATATCACATTGAAACCACACTTAGGCAAATAACTCTTGAAAATAATTCTCCACTCACCATGGAAGGCAGAAACACCCTTCAGCAAAGTAGCAGTAACAGCATCTAAAATGACCCAGAGATGACACTAAATCACAATGTTGGTCTCTACAGCATTATTAGGATAACTCCCTTCCCTTGACCATTTCTGTGAAAAATCTTCTTTTTAAAAAAGATTTTACTTATTTACCTTAGAGAGAGTGAGAGAGCACGCATGAGCGGGGTGATGGGCAGAGGGAGACACAGACTCCCTGCTGAGCAAGGAGCCTGGTCCTGGTCCAGGATCAAGACCTGAGCCAAAACCATCCAGGTGCTCCTGCAAAAAACCTTTTTTCTCTGCCCTTGTCCAAAATAGTATTTATTCTAAATGACTTGGACACATCTATCATGCTGGAATGACTCCTTCCTCTCGAGACATTAACTCACCCTTTGGAAATATGAAGATGATGCTTATCAACTCCTAATTGAGGAAGGAACTTTCTGGTGTTGATAAGCATCATTTTCATATTTCCAAAGGGTGAGTTAATGTCTCGAGAGGAAGGAGTCACTCCAGCATGATAGATGTGTCCAAGTTACTTAGAATTGCTTGCTTATCTCTGATTTCAATGATTTACTTGGCCTCTTGTGAGAAAGGACACACAATAGTCATCTCCAGGAAATCCAAGCATCAGTATGTGGACATTTTAGAAATTTCTTTCTGGTACAGGTTAGGCAATATTTATGGAGAATTCTACTGCACTCTGAAGTTCTCCTATTTATACCATACTACGTTAGACACCATAGTATGGTTGTTGGGTGGAAAAAAACTGAAAACAACACCGGCTCAAAAATGGTATCACTTGGACTGAGTTCCCAAACTGGTGCTTAGTACACAATTTAATTGCAGGTTCCTCCAGAAAGGTAGTCTTAACCTGTGGGCCAGCAATTCTTCAATCTGTGCCACCAAGTCTGTCACTTGGGCTCTCTCCATCCCCACAAAAAAGTGAGATAATGTGCATGATAAGACTTTGCTTTTCCCTCTAGAAAGTGACCTTGCCCGGAATAATCCTTTTCTTTTGCTGATAACTTTCTCTTCCCCACCCTCCTTCTATAGAAACATTCCATTTAAAAAAAAAAAAGAAAGAAAAAAAAGAAACATTCCATTTTGTAGAACTCCTTCAAGAGCCTCTCTACTTGCTAGCTGGGGTGCTGCTGATTTCATGAACCTTTTAATAAAGACAGGTAGATCTTCAATTTTGTTATGTAACAGTTCATTTATTTACATCCTACACTAGGGCTTCAAAAAGTCAAGGACCACTTATTTTGTTCATCATGGTATATATCACTGGCATGTGCCAGAGTGTCTGGTAAATATGTTTTCAATAAATAATTTGATAAATGAATGAGTAGCCAAGGACAGAGCAATTCTAACTGGCTCAGTTCATCAAATCTGCCTCCTTTACCCAAAGTACAGGAAAATAAACAGGACTTGTGATCTCTTTTGGGGCAGGCAGAAAGGCTCAGGATCTTTCTGCAGTCAGACATCCAGGCTGAAGTCGAAGTATCATGCTGGGCATCTTTCTGAACTTGAGTCATAGTCAACTACCTGCAAAATTGAATGTGAAAGCCCTGCCTTTACCCGTAACACTACCCACAAGCATTTGTAAAATACCATCCAGAAAGATCAACCCCAGCGAGCTTCCCAGGGAGTTCCCTTGCCAAGGGTGATAGAGGAGGAGAGGCTGTGGGCACCAGCATGGCAGTGTTGGGACAACCTCCCGGGGCCCTGCAGCATCAGTTTTGGGGCTGAAAGGCATGTCTCCTCTTCAGGCTGTCATGCTATTTTCAGCCATTGTTTATATCTCTCGTGTCTGTGGCTAAAGAAATACCAGAAGGAAACCACCGAGCCTTATCTTTATCCATGCTCAGAAACCAGTTTCACTTGAGGAGATTTGGGAGATGAAAAGAGATAGCTGATTTTGACTTACTGACTGTACTAGTACCTCTGGAAAATTTGAGCCACCGTTGATCGGTCATAAATCGGGGATACTTAGACTGCTTACCTCCTGGAGTTGTTAGGGTCAAATAAAGTTCAACATGGCAAAGGCTGTTTTCAAACTGGTCATTTCCCCCACTCAATTATTCTGTAATGTAAGTTTTTGTAGATTTTTCTTGCATTTCAACTGGGACGTTTTGGTTTGGGGTGGGTTCTGCAGGAGACCAGATGCATCTCTGTGACACCCGGCTATGTGCCAGCAATTCCGGGTTCCTGTCTCTTACACAAAGCTTCCCTGGCCTTCTAGACCACCCAGTCTCTCCCTTGTTATGATGCCCATGACCTTTCTGGTCTGTTTCATTATTTGGACTGTATGCTTTAACATATGTCCAGTGATATCACCCCAATATATGATCCTTAGCTTGCACTGAAGAGATGTACCCTGTTGAGGGAAACTTTGGGGTCCCCAGCTCCTAACATAAGCTTTGGCTCAGTGGTTGCTTTTTAATTTAATTGATATTCTTTCAAAACCTTCTCCTGAAACCATGGGAGAAGTACAGATAATTCTACAGGCCACGGAACAACTGGCTTTGACACTCTTTGGAATTCTTGGATCCTGACATCCTGGTTCCATATTTTAGTGATTCCCAGGCACTCAAAGGGACTAGTCAGAAAGGGTAAATGAGGAAGTCCTGGTCTAACAGCATCAGGGTAATTGCAAGTGTCTCTCTCCACAAACCTTTCAACAATCATGATGATGTGGGAGATGTGGTCACCTCAGAAATAGAAACTCAGAGCTTAAAATGGAATGGTCAGGATGGAGCTTGAGGACAAAGGTATTTGGGCTAAATAAACAGAGACAGCAGGAAATAGGTCTTATTTCTAGTTGCACTTCTCCTGCCCAAAGGTTCAAAGTGTTTTTGCCTTTTGTCTTGTCTTTACCTTTACTATGACAATAACTGCTGCTGGGCCAAGCAGGGTGCTCCATGGTGGACATCAAGTCCAGGACCCAACAGACTTTACTCTTCCTGGGCAAAGGCTGGGAGGAGGTTTGTTGGATTTGTTCTCACCTGGATGTTCTCTGTTTGGGGCTTTGATTTTTCGGAGTCCAGGGTATTTCTTGAGTGTCCTGCGGCCACCTAAAACCCAACATATCAGGGATGAGCTAAGTTCTTTCCTTTTCAGGCTTCCCACCTCCATTCCTAATTTTTCCACTTTTGTCATTTCTGCCATTTGTGTGGAACCCCAGAATCACCCCAGCTTCTGCCTGTCACCTCAGATCTGTTCACAGCTCCTCCTTAACAAACATGGCAACCTTTTATCTGACGGTTGACATTCTCCAATGACTTCCACGCATAACCCGTCCTAAATCCTTTGTTCCCACACGGCCAGGATTCCTCATGATGACCATGAGACTATCAGTGTTCAGAGAGGCCTAACCACTTGGTGTAGTCTTTGGGATTGCGCATAGGGATGTGGAAGGGTATTGGCCCTGTCTCACGGAAATCACCATCTCTCATAGCACCAAGGCAGACAATGTGGGATAAGAGGAGAAGAAAGGATTAAATAAAGAAAATAAATCTGTTCATTGTGCAGGTTGGGTTTCTGTATGACCATTGTTTTTTCATTCATGGGGATTTGAGAATATGGTGAAAAAGGAACTAAAAATTAACTACTACTTACTATATGTTTATTACTTTCTCTCAACCTCTCTCTCTCCACACACACACACACACACACACACACACACACACGCAATCCACTTACTAAATGTATATAACACACACATTTTATCTATTTCATTTAATCTCAGAATAAATCCATGAGGTATATATGATTCTATTTTTTACCAATGAGAAAACTGAGGCCGAAAATGTTAGGTAACTTGTCTGAGGACCAGCAGTCAGTAAGGAAGACTCTGCACTCCTCTCATAGAGGACTAGGTGCCACTCTGCTTAGTGAGGGGGGCAGATTTCCATGACTTTTGTAACAAATCTGATCTGGAGAGCCATGGTGGGGATCTGCTGATTGGATGATAAATGGGAACTAAAAGTGAAGGTGAAAATCAGATCCCAGGAAATATAGCCTTTAAAAGTTATATTAGAATCCTAAAAAAAAAATTTCAAATGTCACATTAATCATGACTTTCTCAGTCACATTATATCTGTATTTTATTTTTCTTCTCAGGACAGTGATTTCTTCATGTTTCCAGCCATTCATCAAACTCTTTTTGAGGGCCTACTATTTGTCAGAAATAATGCCAGGAAACAGGAATTCAAAAATGACTTAAGAAATAGGGCAGCCCGGATGGCTCAGCGGTTTATCGCCACCTTCAGCCCAGGGTGTGATCCTGGAGACCTGGGATCGAGTCCCCCGTCAGGCTCCCTGCATGGAGCCTGCTCCTCCCTCTGCCTCTGTCTCTGCCTCTCTCTCTCTCTCTCTCTCTCTCTGTCTCTATGAATAAATAAAGTCTTTAAAAAAAAACAAAAAATGACTTAAATAGTCTCTACATTTGAGGATCTCATACATGGATATGAAAATGGGGATTTATAAGCTGATAACATGCAGGAGCTGCAGATGGCTCGAGCCTGTGAGGAACTAGGGAGGAGTTTCAGAAAACCCTGGGTCTCAGGGAGGGGCAGGCCACATCCCACGGGCTTGCCAAGCCTTCTTCTCTCAGGTGGCATTTTGAGTCCTGTGTCCTAGTTCCCAGTGGCAGGAGCCAACACTTGGGATAACAAACATAACCCTTAAAAGTACTCCCCACCCCCTGTCCCAGCAAGCTCATTCTCCATAGACCATCTCACTAGGGATTCTCTTATTTTGGGTGGTACAAATTTTTACAACGACTGCTTTGAGGTTAATGAAGCTGATGGTCCAAAAAAATAGTATTTTCTTACTGAGACTTATAGTGTGTAAGGCACTGTGCTAGCATCACACGCACTGGAAACTTCCAAGGTAGGTATTGTATTATTATTTCCTCTTAAAATCAGGAAACTGAAGTCTAGAAAAAGTAAGCCAGATTCTTGACCAATTTTAATGACCTCTACTTACCCCTTGCAGAGAATGTGCACTGGATGAGGCCTCAAGTGTGGGCAGAAACCTGCTATTTATTTGGAACTAAAATAGCTATTTAAAAAGTAGTGATGTCTTTGAGCTCCTTGCAGTCATTCAGAGTTCAGGAGAGCATCCACCCACCCCGCCCAAACCCAGCCCTCAGAAAGTTGTTCCATTTCTTAAGTCATGGTTCACTACATTGGCCTCCTTTGATGAAGTCCTTCTGCCTTTCAGAGGTTTTCCCCCAGCTGCTCACTCTGATTCTGGGGAGAAGGTCAAACCTATGAGGAATTGAATGTAGGGTCTGAAGATCAGTAGGCACTTATTTTTTTTTTCCAGTTCTTTACTGGGCTCCCCCAACCCTGCCCAAAGACCTTTTACTCTTTCTGGCTGCAAGGCCCTGTCCCATCCCCCACTGCCTGCTCCTCAGAAATCTGGACTCACCTGTTTTCCCTTAGCAGAGAGTTCCCCATTCTGGTCAGTTCTCCTGGTGACTTCCCCTCAGCCAGCCTGCTGCTCTCGCAGGGGCAGCTCGGGGCTTACTGCCTCGGTGCTGCTCCAGCCGCACTCTCAAGGCAGAGAGCTGAAAGGAGAAGAGTACCTCCTGCAGCCTGGGAGGAGGACGTCAAGGGGGAGGAGAGTCTGAGGTGCACACATGCTCCACTTCCTAAAATGTCAGAACCCATAAAAAGGAGCAAATTTTGCCACTTCAAAATATGCATCATTGGCATAGTGATTACTTTAAGCCAGTTACTTTAAAGAAACTTCAGACATGATAAAACAGGCTCTGAAAAATCAAGTAGAAATGACGGTACCGTGAGAGACCTTTCCACTAACAAGGGAAATCACCATGTGTGAGGGCATCAGGAAGAGAGCTCTAAACCTCTAGAAACTGTTCCTAATGCAGAAGGCCATTATATCTGCATCACAACATCACCCTTGCTCACTCTGCCTTTTCCTCCCACGATGAGGACTCTCCATCCTCAACATCTTCTTTTGTCTTTCGCTGAAAAAGGTATTTAAGGTGATGGTTTCAACCACTTGGGGTTATTGCCCAGTTTCCCTGGGTCTCTCCCTTGTATACAGGAGGTATACATGTGATTACACTTTTGTTTTTCTCCTGTTAATTTGTCTCATGTCAATTTAATTCTTAGGCCAGCCAGAATGGAGAAAAGTTTTTCCTTCCCAACCCCTGAAGGAACTGGGCTACTGGCCTTAACCAGAAGCCATTGGTCAATGAGAGCATGGAGCTTTTGGGGAAGTCCCATTTGTAATTACAGACAGGCCATGTGGTTTCTCACTTCAAATTCCTAAATTTATTAAATCACTTTGTAGTCTTGGAAAAGTCAAAGGGGGAATTTTGTTGTAAAACAAGAAAAGGTTAAAACAAGTTAAGTCAATCCATAGACCAATAGAAAATGTTAATAAAACATATATCTGAGAAGAAGACTTTATCCAGAATATATAAAGAACTCTCAAAACTCACTAAGAAAACAAACACCCAATAACAAAATGGTCAAAACATTTGAACAGACATTTCACTGAAGAAAATATACAGATGGCAAGTACATACTTGAGAAAATGCTTAATATTATAGTCATTAGGGGAAATGTAAATCGAACCACAATGTAATACTTTTGTTAAAAAGGTATTTGTTAAAAAACAGCTCAATCAAGTAAATCTAAAGATTTAGTTGGTCTTATAAGTAATTTGTGAATTGGACAGCATCCCATCCAGCAAGTAGAGATGATGCTCTGAGGAGCTGTACAAAATGGAATGTTTTCACCAGAGTGGAACAGGAAAGTTATTAGCAAAAGAAAAGAGAGAATTATTCCAGGCATGGTCACTTTCCCTTAGAGGGACAGACAGGGGGTCTTATCAGTAGATTACCTCCTCTTCCTTTCAGGAATAGAGAGGACCCATATGACGGATCACTTCATTGATGGTGATCAGAAAATTTCTGACTTACCAGTTAAGGCTTACATTTCTGGGGGAAATGCAGTTGGGTGTTAAGTCCTCATTTGGTGATTTTGCCTAAGTGGTGCCATTTGAGGTCTGTGGTTTTCTTATTTACACCTATTTGAATGGCTAACATTGAAAACAACTGCAAAACTGATTATATCAAGGCCTGCAAGGGACGCAGGGCTTCAGGAGGTCTCATGTACTGTTGAGCACTGTCCCAGTGTGCTTTGAAAAACATCATGATAGTTTCTTATGAAGATAAGCATAGCCTCTTCATACAACCTTGCAGTCTCACCCCTAGGCATTAACCCAAGTGAAATAAAACATAAGATCTCAGGACACCTGGGTGGCTCAGCAGTTGAGCATCTGCCTTTGGCTCAGGGCATGATCCTGGAGTCCTGGGATTGAGTCCCGCATCAGGCTGCCTGCATGGAGCCTGCTTCTCCCTCTGCCTATGTCTCTCTCTCTCTCTCTCTGTATCTCTCATGAATAAATAAATTAAATATTTTTTAGAAATTAAACATAAGATCTCTAGGAACCTGCATGCAATAGCTGCTTTACTCAGAATTGCTCCTCCAACCCTGGAAATAATCCAAATGATTTTCAAGGGGTGAACAGCTAGACAAACTGTGCTGCATCCCTATGATACTGACTGGTAACGAAAAGGAATGGATTCCAAATCTCTGCAACAGCAGAGGCAAATCTCAAATGCTTTACACTAAGGGAAAGAAGCCAGACTTCAACTCTACCTCCTATGACAGTCAGCACAAGGCAAAACGTTAGGGACAAAATACATCAGTGGCCAGAAGCAAGGGGTGAGAGAGGGACTGACCTTCAAGCAAGGACAGGAGGGAATTTTTCTGTTCTTTTGTGTCTTGTGGTGGTGGCAACATGACTGTAGGCATTTCTCATAATCTAAAGAGCTATATACCAAAAATGGGTGCATTTAACTGTATGTAAATTATGTCTCAGGGACAAGGGAGCAGAAGGCAAGCTGAGGACAAAGCACAAGCTGACATCCTGCAATCTCTACCCTCCCAGGTGGGACATGTGTGACATTCCTCCAGGTGGGACATGTGTGACATCCCCTGTCTTAAGGTTAATGCCTCGCTAGAGGGAAAAAACCAACCTGAACTTGACAACGGCAAGGCCTCCAGTATCCTGTGAGTCTTTAACAACTCAATATCCTTTTGGATCCTCTCTTTTCCTTACTTCCCCCAACTCTCAAGTATGTAATCAGCCACCCCGCATGACCCCAGATGACCATGAGGCAGCAGCTCTTCCTGCCTACGGGTCCTGTCCCAGAGCTTTCATAAAACCACCATTTTGCATCAAAGACATTTCAAGAATTCTTTCTTGGTTGTTGGCTCTGGACATCATCCCACCAAACTTCGCCTACATTCCAAAACTACATCATCAATAGAAAAAAAAGAGAGAGAGATTAAAAAAAAAAAAGAAATGAACTTGGGGACAAGAACCATGGATTTTGGGTGTTATCCTTCTATTTGATGGCTGGTTCCAGTTTGGTTGCTCATTTGTTTTTCCATTTCTTTAACTGGCAGATGTCGAGCACCTGCCATATGCTAGACACTGCGGGTTCAATGTGGAGCAAAACAGATACAGCCTTGCCCTCGTGGAGCTCCTTGAAATGAGATAAAGCAAAATACGGAATGCTTTCTTGCTTGTCCTTGAGCAATGCAGGGATCACAGTCGCAACAGTCAGGAGCAGCATGGGGAAGACACTCGTTGTGCAACCCCAGAGCCACCACACATCACTGTGCCCTTGTAGCTGCTTCTCTAACTAAAGTCTGTCTCTGAGGAGGATTTCCAGGAGGGCTTTACTACCAGTGGGAAGAGAGCCAACAGTCCTTGTGGAGGAGGAGAAAATATCCTGCCCCCAGGAGGAACTGTAAGGGAAAGAGGGCGATGCCAGTCTAGGGCACTTGATGTTCAAAGCAAAATACATTATTATTTCTAACATTTTAATACTCTAAGGGCAAATACAAATGAAAAGATAAGAAGTTTAATTCTCTCTTTTGAAAATGAGGGCGGAGACTTTCTCCCCTCTCTTTTCTTAGAGCTTTTACATAAGAAAACTTTTAAGTTCTTTTTGTCTTTGAAAGGCAAGTAAATCTTTGTAAAGGCTGAATAAGCAACCCAGAAATGTTTCCTCCAGGATCTGGGACCTGTCTCCTTGAAATGGAATCATCATTGAAGATGGTGCCCAATCTCCCAGTCCCCCACCTCGGGAGAATAGCTGGACAGCTATGATAGATTTTAGGGAATGTCTTCCAAATTATCTAAAGCCTTCTTTTCTGTGTGTAAGTCTGCCATTCTGTGTATGAAAAAAGTGGTGTGTGTGTGTGTGTGTGTGTGAGAGAGAGAGAGAGAGACAAGAGAGAGGCAGAGAGAGAGAGAGAAGAAGTCTTAACACATTGCTGTATTTATAATTAATCTTTCTCTTCCCCATGACCTTCAGGAAAAAAAAATGTAAAAAAATTCAATTCAGTCTAAAAGTCCCTCTCCTCAATGGCTTCTGTACCTTTCACACTGCCTAGAGGTCAGCAGAAGGGAACTGCAATTTTTCAGCACCATGGAGGGAAAACAAAACAGCCAAGGACATTTAACCAACTAGTAGGGCTATTGCTGAATCCTCATCAGTCTGAATGAAGATATCCCAGACTCTGGGTGGAACAGTTTGAGCATACAGCCTGGACAGTGCCCCATGGGTGGCTTAATTAGTTCCAACATTGAGCAAAGGCTTTCTGAGTCCAAAGAGTCAATGCCACAAGGACGAGGGTTGGAAATCAATTTGCCATTGCTGGAGATCACCCCTAAACTTTTGAGCTTCACTTTCACTCAGGCCACTAGATGGAGAAGCTGAGCTGAGTGGAAGTGTTAGGGACCCACCATGAAAATTTCCCATGGTTGTGTGAGGTAGCAGAGATGAGCAGGACATTGATACATAATACATATATTTATTGTTGTGAAAATGACTCTGGACTAAATAATTTATCTCCACTGCACAAATGGAAGCATAGCAGTGCACATCCCCACAAAAAGAAGCCACAATAACAAATCTTTGAATCAGACCATCCTTTTCATCCTCCTCCAATTTCTCAGAACTGACCTCAGAATACATGAGAAACTACAGGCATTGAAGTGGAAATAAAACCCTGATCTCTGTAAAGAGATGATGGTGAAATCAGTGGAAGGTTGAGTTGAAATCTTCAAATTTACTTTCCTATCCTTTGGCATTCCTGCAGAGAATTGATGACCAATGCAAGGACTGTTTTGCTGTATCTCAAGATCATAGGCTAATATAATCAAAATAACTATTTGATTTGCAATGTGTTAAATGTTTTAGGTATAATTTCTCAATTGTTCATGCAAGAATTGTGTGGGATACATACTATTTCCTCTATTTGAGAGAGGAGGACACTCAGGCTCATACAAGCTAAGTGACTTGCTCAAGAAGACCCCATACTAAGCAAGAGAGCTAGAATCTGAG